TAAAAATCTCAAAAATTTACATGATCTAATTCACCGAAGTACATGTTTACCTAGTTGGGTGACACCTTTTGCTTGCTATAACATCGTTGTTTATTGAAATTCCGCTTGCACTTGTGCACTGTTGTGTGTTTCCGGTGTGTGATATTGCCATTTGGCTGAAAATATTTGTCAGCTAAAAGGATATTACGAGTTTTTCGGTTAGCTTATGAGCCAGCAGCTTAAATAACATGTGTAAAAAAGTCGAAGCACACTTGACGTTCGACAATTTATGGCATAAAATAAGCGAGCGCTTCAAAATTAATGGACAACGACTGATGTCGGTAATTGCAGTCAGTTCACTTTGAATTTGGATCAAATTGCGGCCAAAAAGCCACATAAGCATACACTATACACGTACATTTATCAAATCGAATGTTGTGGCGTTTATTTGAATTACATAAAATACCGAAAAATACGAGAGAGAGAGAGAGAGAGAGAGAGACGGAGCGGGAGCGAATGAAAAAAGTAAATGATCCAAAATCATAATGGTAAAATCTTCACAATTCCCGGCAGATGAAAAAGCGTGTGCCTGTGTGTGCCGGCATTGGTTGTGATGTGTAAGTTTTTTCACGTCTGCCGCTTTTGTGTATGTGTCGAATTACGTGTATCGTTTTTCAGCTACTTGCTATTATTATTCTAACCGATTGCGCGATGTAAATCGTGTGGATGAAATATAAATGTCTTTCTTTTCTGGACCGCTGCAAGGCAACTACTTGTTGATAATAACAGCATTATCGAAGGCATTTATGTTGTTCATGGCTCGTTGTTTAATATTATCTCAAAAACATATTTCACATCTATATTGATAAATGTGTATAAATATATTTTGAAAGAGAAGAAAGAAAAATCCCATTCCCGTTAAACACATACAATTGAGTTTTTGATGTACATATTTTTGTTTATTGCTCGTTTTATTCAGATCGACATATGATTCTCCGTGAAATGAACTTATTACCACACTGCACCACTTTATGGTGCACAGAAAAGAGCGAGCGCGCTCACACACACACATACACAAACAATGTGAAGTGGCGCTCGTCTCACTCTATATAGGTATGTGACGAGAGGAAACATCTGATACAGTAACCAAAATCGCAAAATATGATTGCCGTAATGTCATTTGATGTGTTTCTTGCGTTGTTTCGTTTACCATTATTATTGTTGGTATTGCTGTTGTTGAGTTTTTTTTTGTTGGTCGGTGCTGTATCTCCACCGTATATGCTCTTTCGCTTGTTTGATGAGTTTGACAATGGTTTTCATGTTAAAGCACAGCCAAACATGCGATCAATCTACACACAGATTGTTATGTTTGCATGCGATTGCATTGTATATTGTGTGCACAATCAGCAAATATAGCTATTGTCTAACGTGATGATATGATATATTCCATGCACATGCACACACACATATTTGGTTTGGCAAACGAGAGAAAAGAGAGAGAGATTTTATTAGCTTGTTTCATTTTTGGATAACAGCAAAACATGTACCACATATACATCGAGGAAATTGCACAGATTTCAACAAGATTTGATATGTTACGTGTTTTTCTTGTCTATCTTATTATACGACAAGACGGCTCATATGAAATATTTTTAACTCGTCTGATTCTTATTCATACCCTCGTTTAAAAGTAACAACCACTCATTCACTCCCTTTCTCTCGATCTACATTTTATTGTAATCGTGTTTTATCCATCTGTCGTCAGTATCATATTCAAAGTCAGTTCGTTACTTGCACTTTCGAAGAATACCGAGTTTTCTCTCTCTCTCCTTCTCTCTTTCTCCCATCAATTGCGCCAATGGAAATAGTTTCAATTACGTAGAATGATGGAACTGGTTGTTTAATATCAAATTCGATTCAGCATTTTTGCTTATAAAAGCATCATTTCGCAGTTTTTGCAAATGTGTCACGACGTCAAGCGATTAATGATTGAAGAACGTACCATTTTTATGTGCGTTACATGACAGAGATGGAATTCTAATACTGGATAAAAAAAAGAAAAAGGTGTACAGCCGTCGGGAAAGAGTGATGTGAATTAAATGAGTAAACTTGCTTTATCAGTGAAAAGAATTTTTATGTCATCTGCTGGTGTGATGAAAATGATGACGATGATGTCATTCAATTTGATTGGCTTTACTCAAAAAGTCACTTCATTTTAATGAAGCAAACTTCCATCAATGTTGTATTTTGTATCATTATAATTATTGTTATTGATACTGCAAAGGTATCTTATAAATATGAGCGTTTATTGCATACATTTTAAATGTTAATTGTTCACATTTCCTCGAGAGAGAATTGATGGCAGTCGATGACCAAAAATATGATTTCAAATATGTGCCCCCTCACCAGTCACCACCACCAACAACAACAACAGCTGTAGCCACAGCAGCGATGACAACGACGACGGCTACACCGGCAGCACTGGTAACGGTGATGCAAAGACGTTGTGTGAATTCATGTAATTTAATAATATTATATTCATATTTATATTCTTGCATAGTACAATCGAAAGTAAATCGGCATTCAGTCAAACGACCATGAAAATGCATTTATTGTTTGTTGTTGGACTTAAAGTCAATGTAATTGGTATTTTGCAAATAAAAAGAGAGACGAGCAGAGAGAGAGAAAAAAAAGATGACGATGATGCATGAAAAGCACCATAACGCGATTTCTCCGGTTTTATAAAATGGGAAATTAATAAATATTTCATACTACGTTTAAACCATTAAAAGAAGAGAAAAAAAAGTATGAAGATTTTATGCAACAATTTTTGACCAATCGAATACCACAAAATTTACGGTAAATAATGAATCTTTTCGCGAAGAGCACAATCGTACGCGCATTTATTTTGCGAACATTGGCACTTGTTTTCGACGAAATAATATGCAGAAAAATATTAATGAAATGACAAGACCATGGATGATGCTATTGACTCGATGCCTTCTGTTAGTTGTCGTTTAAGAAGAAAGAAGACGACAACGATTATATTGATGATGATGAAGAAGAAAAAGATCCAACACAAACACATACACACCAGTATATTATTGTTTTTGAAAATAGTAGCGAAATTCATTTATTTGCCTGAATATCACTTGAGAGCGGGTGACCGAAGTAAGAGAAAGACACGTCGGCCACGATAACAGTGGCATTCAACAGAATTTGAAGTGAAAGTAAAGAACAGCAACAACAAACAACTAAATATATTATATACATATATACATGAAGATGGTTTGTTTCCTTCATTGAATTTTTGCAATCATTATAGCAACAACACAGCAGCAACATCAGCATCATCAGCAGCGGTAATATTATTGATATTTCTTCTATGTAAAAGTACTTTTCCTTCTGCTTTTGCAACTGAAAACTGCTCTTCATCGGTGTTTTTTGTTTTATTTCATTTTCGGTCGGTCGCAATATGCTTTCATTTTACCATGCTGGCCGAACCACTCTTGTACACAGCATTCACTCTACTCATCTTCCTACTTTTCATTTCAATGTGCCTGTTTTACAGTTGCTATTTTGTCTTCGCCATCTCGTACCTGCTCTTACTGTGTTTCAACCAAACCAAACTGTGGTTTTTCTCTCTCTCTCTCTTTCTCTTGCCTTGTACATGTACATTGTACATGCTGCCATCATTGATTTATTTAAAATTCAACTTTAAATCCGGGAACAGAATTTGATTATATGACAACAAAATGCGATTGCTCTTACCATAATTTCATTACGGTATTGGTCGAATGCCAATTGCATTCAATACAAATCTTTCGACAGTTTTTTTTTTCGAAAAAAAAAAAACATTTACTTTAATATGCCACCTCGATGGTTTCAATTGTTCGCTTTCGATGGAATACCTCACAATGGCCACTTCGAATAAATTTGGCAAATTAATGTTGGTCGAATGATGTGTGTAAATACACCCGATGTTGACAGATCATCAACCATTGCAAATTGAAATCTATAAACGAACATTTACTAAATAACGATACAAGTATCATGAATTTTTCGGAACGAATGGAACACACACACGCCCGCATCATTCTTTCCACGGTTGTTTGTACAGTGCACATCATCAATCAAAACGATGAGATAATTCAAAATAATTTGTTGTTGATTTACAAAGTACATGATTGTTCAACTAACTAAACTAAATATAATACGGCTATAGAGAACAAAGAGGTGTGCAGAAGAAGAGAGGTAGAGGCAGAGACGATGCAAACATACAATTACCGAAGCAAAGCGGAACAACTATTAAATGTTTTTTTTACATATGAAGTGAGTTCAGCTTTTTTTGGACTTTCAACTTATTCACACCTTCAAACAAATTGATTTACCAACAATATTATGAAGCAGCAATCAACAGTAATAACTTTCTGAAATTTCAATACAACAAACCGATGTATTTATGCGCGTTACCGGTCTGTCTTTCTGTCTGTGTGTCTACATTTATTTAAAGTGATTTAATTGACATCGCATGAAACCATTTATTTATGATTTTCGGATATATAGCTGTTGTATTTCACATTGAAATGCTTTCATTTTTTTTTTTTTGATAAATTAAGAGCCATAGTTTGATTAGCGCTTTCATCATCAGTTCAATTGTGGCATGTTCCATATGGTTCGATCAAGCATTTCATGCAATTCATGTTCACACACCGGGGCTTCGGTGCGGCCAATGTAAATATGCTGAGAAGCTTATATGGTTCCATATATAAATTTAAAATGAAAATTGAATGGAAATGAAAGTCTGATTTAATTTCATTCGAATCGATTCATTTCAGTGGATTAGCATTGCTTGCTTTTTCCTTTTTTTTTGCAAAAGTCTCGTTTGATTCTAAGATTATATCAGGAGAACGTGACAAGAATAATCAAAACTGTCGAATCGAATAAGATTAGAATAGAGAAAGTTTGCGTGCGTTTATAAGAGAGAGAGAGAGGGGAGATAAGGAAAAAAAGCATTTTTTTTAATTTTGTCACCGTATTTTTTTTTAATTGCAATAAATTCATCTTAACAAACATTTGATTTCAATTTGTTTCGTTTTGTTTTCGTATAAAAACTTAAATCTTAAACAACTAGTGAGAGAAGTATTTACAAAAGAGAGAGAGACTAGGTGGATAATTTAGTATGGTCCAGATTTTCCGGGAGGTCCGTATTGAGTTGATGGCGATCCTTGTCCGCTGCTACCAAAATCAATGCCTGATCCACCGCCACCACCAATTGGGCCCGGTGCGCTCAAATCCAAACCAGAACCAGAACCACCGCCAATACCAGCTGCTGGATAACCACCGCCGCCCGATTCCTTTTGTGTCTTGTATTTGATGAAGTAAACCTGCAAAAGTAAAGAAAATGTAATATAGAACTCATATGAATGGGAACAGTTGAGTTTGGATTTACCTCTGGTTTGCTGGGTTGAGTTGGGGCAGCAGTTGGAATGACAATATCTTGTTGTTCTTCTGGTTTCTTGACAAGAACGTAGACCAAGGTTTTTTCTTCATTTTGTGGTTGAACTGGAATGATTGGTGCTTGGTACGATGGTGGTGATGGAGCTAAACGGAAAAAAATAGAGAAAAAGTTACAATCCATAACAATGTTTGTGGCAAATTGTTTGCATATGATATGTGTTTTGAGGGTCGCTTTACTTTCAATAACGAACAATCGAATAAATTATTCGAATAGACAAATTCTTTGGGTTTAAAGCCAAAACGACAACTTCGTTTACGATTTTTCCGGTTTGAATTTATGTCAGATAAAAGAAAAATTGTCTTTGGCATTCTTACCTTTGATGAAGATGATTTTGTAGTGTTTCTGGGCTTGAGCAACTGGAATTTGACGTTGTGGAATAACTTCTTCTGGCTCTGGTGGTGGAACATGTACATAGATGTGCTTTTGTACAACAGCAGCTCCGCCGCCACCCGATGGGTAGCCACCAAATCCGCCACCGAATCCGCCACCACCACCTGCAACGAAAAACAAAATATTCGAGTGTTTTTTTTTCGTTTGTATATTGTTTTGATTTACTTTCAACACATTCTATCCAATAGCACCGCTAATTTATTCACGACATTTATGTCTTCACAGAAGTTAACTTCTGTGCATACAAAAACTTCAACAAAAAAATCGAATAAATCCCAAGAAAAAAAAACATGCAAACGGAACAAAGATTCCGCTGCTGTTCAATGATACAATCCAAGATGATTGGAATTATCGGCGCAGCGCGTGTGAAAATCCATTCTCGTTCGTTTGAGGGAAATTATGTTATTATTATCTGGTTTGTGGTAATCAGATATTTTTGATTATGTCGTACATTAAAATAACATTGAAACAAAAAAATGTGGAGATTATTTTCATTTGGTTATTGTAGGAAATTTTCAATGTGAAAATACAGTTATCATTAAATCATTTTTATCGCTGTGATTCAGCCAAACTTTTTTCCACTTTCATTCATGTATCGTGGAAAAATGGTTTTTCTCTCTTTTCTATCTTATTTATTGTGCGCACTTTTATTTTTGCATTCCATTGTTACACATAAAATGCAATATGTGCAATGTGCACGGAAAAAATATGACGTTTCCATGTATGTTTAAATATAAATATGGTGAATCAAGTGTTGATACTCCACCGACTTAGAATGAGTGCACTGACGTGCAATTTGCATGATTTAATATCGTAAAAATTGTGCAAATTTTGTGGAATAGCAAATTTCCATACGAAATTAATTCCTGTTAATTAAAGTTGGGTGTCGATTTTTTTTGTTTTCCGTTTTTTTAATCATCAGACTGATGATTCTGAAATAAGACGATAAATGCTCTGGATTTTTCCCATTGAAATTGTTTCGGACAATGAATAGAGAAAATTGATAAATTGTAATATTTTGCGATTTTTTGTATGCAATACTGTATCAATTAACTTCACTGATTTAGAGCATCCAAAAAATGCACATTCTATTGAACGAAGCTATGAGCATTGTGAATTCTTTTTCAAAACAAATTATTCTTTTGAGTTCATATAAAAATGAATGAATGAAACAACTTTTGACAAGAAATATATTCTGTTCTTTTCTAGTTGTATTCATAATATAATGAATCGGGAAAGTGATTGAAGAGGACTCTTTTTAATTATTTTTCCATGAGCTTATCGACTTTCGACTTCTGTTTTTACATTGAATTACACATTTACAAGATTCTTAAATGGAAAAATTACGTTTTCTATTTAAACGAAAAATCACATCACAAATAAAATGTATTGTAGTCATTGCTTTGGAGCCGTTTATGATACAGTTGCATTCAAATTTGTATGACTCGTATACGCGACGAACCGAAGTAAAACGGTTTGTGCGCGAATGTTTCGAAGTAATCTATCGTATCTTGAACAGCTGATATTTGTTTAATGCAATATCGTTGCCGAACGTATGTATTCGTTCGATTAAAAAAAAATTAGTTTGTACGATTGAGTACGAACAAGTATGTTTTTTAACGCGCTAAATAATTCTCAACCGTTTGCGCTATTTTTGTTTACTTTTATAACTTAATTGATATTGTTTTGTTGATTCAAAATAATTTTTGGTTTATATTTGAACACACACCTCCAACGCCAAAACCACTTAAGCTTGATGAACCGCCACTACTGAAACTACCACCGAATGAGCTGCCTCCATGTCCAATACCAAAACTAGATCCACTAATACCCGACAAGCCAGAGCCAATGCCACCGGATCCACCGGATCCACCAGGACGCTGGTATGAGTAACCAGCTTCAGGTCGAGCCGCGGCAAAAGCCAAACACGATAATACAATAAATGCTCGCATCTTGTTTAATTTCGAGTTCTTTTTTTTCGTATTGTTTTAAAATGATTATTGTCTCTCTCTCTTGGCGAGTTGATTGAATAAAAATTTCGATATCCAACAATAAAACGACCCGTGCTCACAAACGTTATTGTGTAGATACTAAATGTTGACTGATCAAACCAACCGAAGTGATTCTATTTATATATGATCAGACCCATTCAGATTATCTACAAAATTTGATTGTACTGAAGCCAAAATGAAAGACTTGCTCTTTTCGTAAAGAGCAACAGCATTCACCAAAAACAAAAAAAGCATGAACTATGAGTGGGGCATCCTGCATTGAGATGTACAGATTTTACGTCGGTAAACGTCGTAATGAAAGCCACATCAACAATAACACAGCAACAACAACGACGACGACGACAACAACAACGACAACAGCCAACGAAAGCGCAAAGCGACATGTAAACGACGCAGCGCAAAAGTTCACAACAACAAAAACAACGAGCAATACAAATGAATTGTAAAGAAAAGCAAAGGTAGCAGAAGCCAGTGTATCATCTGCCACAAGTTCAACCGTGCACAGAGAGAAACAAAACGTACACACAAGAAGAAGAAAAAATTGAAAAAAAAAAAAAAAACACTGAACGATGAAAAAGAATGCAATAGTGGCGCGGCGCGTCATCGGGATTTTCTCTTTATTCGGCATCATCGATTGTTATTGCTGCTGTTGTTGTTGTTGTTGTTGTCCGCTCGCCATCTTCACCTTTATATTCCGAACACAATTTGGCTCTATCAAATGAATTACTAACAATTTAACCGAACAAGCAGCCCAGCAAAACGTTATACACATGTCCAACCTATATGTATACAATCATTTCAAAAGCAATGAACCAAAAGTAACATCGAACAAATATATAAACACACATACACAATCAATGAAATAAACAAAAAAAAGAGACTGGTAAACTGAAGAAGTTTGCATCGCACACGCGGACTTGATGACGAACCACGAACTACGTGCGATGCTGGTTAAATTTTTCTCTCATAAAATTTAATTGATGCACATCAACAATATATAGATAGTAGGTAAATACTAGATAGCTTCTTTGAAATCAATGAAGAAGAAAAAGAAGAAGCATCTGCGGCAGCTGAAAAGTGCATCAATCCGCATCGATAGATATTAGATAGAAACGACATTTTTATTATTGTGTGATGTTTTACTTATTTTTATTTTGTGTGTGTGTGTGTGCTTTATTCCACATTTGATGTGGTTTCGATCTGAAGAATGTCGGTGATTTTTCTTTCATTCCAAATGCAAACTATCCATTTTATTTCAATAAACGGTAATATAAAGAGAAACAGAAAAGTAATCATCAAAAATTTCCAGATAACAATTCAATGTTGATGCTCCAGAGGCGATGCCCATGCGAAAGTGATCGTTTTTGGGTGAATTACATACATTCAAACTGCATTAATGGAAAATACCTTTCGGTTACAGCAAAAGGTACACGCGCATGTCACACCTTCAAGTTTTTTTTTCGAAATACTTCTTTTTGTCACATACACACTCTTGTGTACTCTTTTCTCTGCCGTAAAAAATATTATCACATTACAATCGAAAGTATTCAAATGAGCGGCTGAAAATTGGAAAATTGGATTCGATTTAATGTGTACAGTTCGGAATGAAAAATGACCATTGCAAAGAATTTGAGGGTCTTGAAATTGATTTTCGAATTATTGCATGCGATGTCATACACACATCATCTATCATGCGATGACGGTGACCATGAGAATGAACGTCAATCCACGCAACTTATGAGCGAAAGAAAGACACATGACAGACAGCATGGCACATACACCGAAACTTTTAAATTAGAGAAGAAAAAAAGTTGTTACTTAAAGCCATGAAAAAGTGAAGCAAAAACGAATTTGGAGAAGAAAACAACCGAAAAACTCGATGCATAAGCATCGTCAACAACAAAAAAACTACATACAAAGTTGAACGGATCAGCAAATTCGATCGATGCTCGTTTTTTTTTTTTCAATCGATTAGGTCTGAAAATCGATGTTGACCGAGACCATACCATGAACTGATTCGAAGTCAATGCCTTATTTTCAATTTATCCCCATTGAAATTCAAATTATGCGTGAGTGTTTGCATTTGAGACTTTTTCACAAAATTGTGCAACGGCTATTCCAAGAATGAAATGAAAATAAAAATTTGATAGAAAAAATAATGAAATTCTTGTTGTCATAAATGCGTCTTTTTAACTATATTATTTCACTGGATAAGATGGCAGTTTTTCTTTCGCCAAAAAAAAAAAAACAATGAGACGATAAAAGTGTTGCCGAATTGGCAATGGCGTTGGTGGTTTCAAGGGAGCCAAAGACTGGTTTGGGTTGTAATATGGTGGCAATGTGATCGAAAATATTAGCAACATTAGTAGCAACAACATATACAGCCCACATAAGGGAATTATGTTACAGTGGCAACATGCTGAAGTTTTGAAAATTCATTCATTGAATCATTCAACGGGGCAGCATGGTGTTTTTGACTTTTCATTACCTTCACGTGCGTAATAGCTTATTTTACTCTCAGAATGGTTTGGCAAATGATGATGATGTATGTGGCACATGAACGTGCAATTATGTGTACATCAATGACTGTTATATAACATACCGCAACCACACATACCACACACACTCTTTCACACACACACACACACACAGACACATGCAAAGAGGCGGCCACTCCAAAGAGCATTACCGAGCACAGCCGCACAGCGAATGAAAAACGAAACATACACAAAATATAAAAACGCAGGCCATGTAAAGTGTGCAAAAATGAAATTGAATTAAAAAAAGGGTTAGATGAAACAAAAATAAAAAGAAGAAGAAGAAAAAATGGAACGAACTAATCAATGCTCAATTTCGTGTCAAGAGTGTGTGATTTGTTTTTACTCTTCATTCAGTTATGTTTCATCGTTGTTGGTCGTCATTTTTTTTCGGTTAAATGCGATTCATAACAATGTGCAGTAATGTTTAAATGCTATCATCACAGATCGCAGACGAAATGAACGCACGAGTAACGACGTTCAAAAGTGTCTGGAATGGCGAATGAAGCAAAATCAAAATTGTTTATGATTATATAAAATAATGCCACTTTCTCATTAGTATCTTAGTTAACACATTTATTTTTATCTCTTCACCATCGTTTTACAATTCTTTTCATTCCCTCTTGCTCTTTCTCTCCCTCTCGCCAGTTTACCCGTTTATCTTTCAAATTGCTTCTTCTTTCGCATTTTTTCCCTCGATGACTTTCGAAGATGCGCAACGAGTGCGAGTTACTTTACCTGCTTCGTTTTTTTTGTATAAATTCAATCTACAACATTACTTTAACACTTCGCATATTTTCTATACAATGTTTTTTTTTTTTTGAAGATTCACTTGCTCAGTGTGTGCTCCTAATCTTATCTTCTGCCGGAAATCCATTTGAGCCAATCTCATGCATACACGCACACATACATAATCTTGCTAGTCACTTTCAATTCACCTTTCCAGTTAAAAAAATTTACTCTCGCCAATTCACGAAATGCATATGGAATGCGTTGAAGGGACGGCAAATAACATGTGTTTATTTTTTTTTCTCGCTCGACGATCTTTTTTACTATCTTTTTCGGGTAACATTGAGAACGTACCATGCAGACCAACATTCCGACATAATTCCACATCCCAGCTGTAGCGGTAGCAGCGATAGTGTTGAAAATGATGCTAGTTTACTGATTAAACAATATACATAATTCGATTTAATTTACTCGCTATTTTGCTGCTGATGTTGATGGCAATTCATATGTCTGCTATTTTTGTTTGTACACATACAAAAAAAATTTGTACCTTCAGAGATTGCATTAGATAAACATGACGACCTATTCCGCTGCGCTGAAGAAAACAAAAAACAATACGAACGTTGAGAAAAAAATATAACGTAACCATAAAGAAAATTCGTAATACTTCAAATTGAAAGTCAACGTTCGATTACCAACAACAAATTGCAAACAAATGAAGAAAATTCATTATGTGTTTGTTGGTGTTGACAAAATGCTGCGAAAACTAAAATTATATTTTCATTTTGAAAAATGACAGAGGATTGGAAACATTTTTCAAAACGTTAGTCACATTAATATTGTGCAATCCTTTCGCCTTTGTTTCACGAGTTGTATATATTCTACTTTCCATTTTGTACGGTAAAACAATCCGAAAAAAAATACAGCTCGCCAATCAACAAATATATGTAATTTTTCATTTTGTATATACCTTTCAACAAACAATTTCAACAACAATAATAATAATTTACAATTTACCGATACCGACCGCTGAATAATCCCATACCAAACCACATGAAAGCGCGAGAGTATTGTGCAATATTGGATGTGTGTGTTTTTTTTTTTGGTATCATCATCGGAATTAGCGCAGATAATTGTATCACATTAATTAGGAAGACATTTTTTAATAAAATTCGCATTAAACAGTTGTCGGTGTCGAATAACAACAACAAAAAATGAAAGAGAAAAAATTGATCGCCACAAACATTAATCAAAAGCGTTCTGATACAATCCCAATTAAGAGTCAACGTTTATTTTTTCGCTTCGATACACGCGATTTTATTGTATACATAACGAAATCCGTGTATTTCCCGTGACGCCAAAATTCATTTGTGGTACGTCAGTAAGTTGAAATACTTTCACACGTTGCATTAGTTTAAAATGTTTTTTAAAAAAAACGTGGGCGAATTTAACGAATTGGGTTACGATAACTTTGAATTTTCTCTCTTATTTAATTGGTATTTATGATTGATATGTGTGCCACAAAAATATCATGTTGCAATATGATGAAGATTCGGTAGAATTCAATTGACATTCCACATTGCATTTCAGATTGATTCTTTTCTGTATATTATTTGCATACGTGATTTAACTTTCTCTCATCGGATTGCATAAGCAATAATAGTAAACAAATAAAACGGAATAAAACCGGTCGATTAGCATTAATAAGCATATATTGAATGGGATGCGTATGCGAGATATTTGAAATATAAAATATTGACGGGTGAAATGACATTGATACCGAACGTCACTAATCGGATAAAAATTGAATTTATTTACATAATTATCGAAATGCACATAGTCAAAATGCCGTGGACACCGTGTATCACATTGAAATCGAATGTTTTTTTGTGTGATAAACGATTCTTCAGTTCTAAATACTCACTATATCCTCTTAGTGTCAACCACAATCTCACAAAACGAAAAACGCTCTAATAAAACGGTTGAATTAATGGAAATTTAATGTATTTAGCTATGACCTATTGATTGATGAAACAAGTTTAATGTTCGTTAACCCGATTTGTAGTTGAAATTGACATGGGACATAGTGAGCAAAAGGGAAGAGAGAGAGAGAGAGAGATCAAGACAACGAACAAAAAATTACTTAACGATAAAAACATTGTGTTGGATTTCATTGCGTTCAGGCTCCGGTTACATTGGAAGAGAAATGATTAAATGGCGCCTAAAATAACCAATTTATCATTTTCGGTTGCCTTTCAAACGCTTTTTGATATTATAAGCATTATTAATGTTTAATATCAAACGAGGACTGAACGCGTTTCAAGTCCTACTTATTTTTTTGTTGTTGTTGTATAAATTCAATATTGCAATAGCCCCAATAGACAAGTAACATTTTTTTCGCTCTTTTCATATCGTCAAGAGGAGAAGAAGAAGATAAAAACATTACAAATGATTTGATCATGTATCTATATAATATTTTTTATTGTATTTTTTTCTCTATTGTTCATAAATTGCAGATGATTAAGATGATGGTTGTAATTGTCATAGTATTTACAATATGCTGGCTGCCGTTTAACGTTTTAGTGGTAAGTTGATTTTCATCTATATTGAATGAGGCAATCACTCTAATGTTGTTATTGTTTGGCCAATAATGATCACGAAGAATGAAGAAATTTATTTATTTTATTTTATTTTTATTTCCAATGGCCATATTTGCTCTGAATTCAAAGCGGTCATTGTGAACAACAATGCTATCAACAATGCTATATTTCGTCTATGACATACTATGACTTATTTGAAATGGAGAAAAAGAATTATAACGGTGATTAATCATTTTAACGAGTAAAATTGTCATTGTGCGTGAGCGCATCGACAATGACCAGAATCTCCTGAAAATACGCCAAACCATGCCATGTGAATATGCAAGAATTAGATTTACAAAATAACGATGCTGTGTTAAAATGTGTTCTTTTTATCGTCGTTTTCTTTTATTTCATTACATCTGAGTGAGATTCACAAGAATCGTGCAGTGTCGGTAGAAAGTGAAAATATTCAAAGAGGAAATCGCGGTTGCAGTAGAAAGTGTGGCTTGCACCCAATGCAATATGCGAACCATAATGATGATAAAAAATTTAAATAAAACCTACGATTCATATTAATTTCTCTCTCATTTTGTGCATATTTACGATTCATGACTATTCACTCTCAGTTTCGACAACAGAATCTTCACAGTTTATATAAATAAAAGAGAAGATAAGACAAAAAAAGCACAACGAGGCAACAATACACAGTGTTATCAACCGTTGCATTTATTTAAAAAAAAATACATTTTTTTCTCTGATTTGTTAATTTCTCTTTCTCTCTCTCTCGAATTTCTCGGGATATTCATTTTTTTTTTTTCATATAGATTTTGATGCACAACACCGAACTGATGCATTGGGAATTCATCATTTATGTATGGTTCATACTCCATTGGTTGGCTATGTCACATTGTTGCTATAATCCAATCATTTATTGTTATATGAACGCACGATTTCGGATTGGTTTCCTGCAAATACTGTATTTTGTGCCGGGAATTCGACGTTGTTGTTGCATAAATGCCTACACTCGCGATCGATCCACAAGTCTTCGAACGGGAATTGCGTTAACGGGTATGCTGTTGCTGTGAATTTTTTTCTTTATTTGGGTTTCGATACATAAGTGACATTTTTGCGTCAAATATAATGAATATAAAACTGAAATTAGCTTGTAATTTATAGAATAAATATCTATATGCGTGCTCGCCATACAAGAGGAAATATGTCGATAGAATTGCGTAAATTGTTTGAATTTCTGTCTGAAAAGCATTTGATACATGTCCTATGAGGAATTTCACGCTTCCTTTTCAGTAAATTTGCATTCCATATCAAGAGATTTTGTGAATTATTTGATTTAATTTTATCACATATTCAATATTATACATCATATATAATAATGTGCTGTACACACATTAAATAAAATCAGACAATATATTTAAATTTTGTCATCTGGATATTTCAGCTCATCTGGATAACGTTAGGCGATGATACGAAATGAAAACAATAGAAGTGTTGTTATATTCAGATGAGCTGAAATATCCAGATGACAAAATCTAAATATATTGCCTGAATAAAATATGTATAAATTGAGTGGTATCGAGTCGTACAAGCTTATTTCAGTGCGTTGAATATATTTGGCCAGATTTAATTTCGTTTCTTATTTAATTAATTAACCAACTTCTGTTTGCTATTTATCTTCTTGACATCGCGCGCCCGTTCATCATTCACACACACATTTCATTTATATGGATAATGTGTTGATTCCTGTCGGATACGCAACATTTTCTTCGTCCATTTGCCGGAATGAACGTAAAAACAAAACACAAATGTCTTCACATACTTCATTTTCTGGTGCTCGCAAATCATCAGGAATTGATGAATCAGGCCATTTGCATCGTGTTAATACATCAACAACATTCATTAGCACCCGACGAAAGACGAATATTTGATGATATGACGAGAATCGACAACATCAACAACAAGCTCAGCAAAACAAGAGGAACTTAGTATGTGATCTATAAAGGGAAAAAAGTTTTCAAGAAAGAAGGAATATTTAAAAAAAACGTTATAGTCATTTAGTTTCAATGTGTTAATTTATGTCAGCGTCTGTGTTCAAATCAAATTTGTTATAAGATGTCCGTGTATGGTAAACCGTGTAACAATGACAAAGGTTTTTGCCATAAAAATTGGGTGAGCAAAAAAAGTGACCGAAAAAAAGCGGTTTGTGGAATTTAGCAAGCATAAGAAGTCTATCAGCTGTTTTTTTTTCTTCAAATGAGTAAAAAAAATACCTAGCGGAAACGATCGTTTAACGCACCGAATGGACGAAAAAAAAAAAACAGTTTCAAGTTATAAAAAAACGGTGTCGTTTTTCACTATGAAAATAACATAAAATGTAAGGCAAAACATACGTGTCGTAATTGTTCTTGCAATTTTTGTCTTCAAGTTGACGGTCAACAGTGAAATCGAAAATAATGCAGAGCAAATTCATTAAATGGGAAAATTAACCGTTTTTGTGCTGTGTGTGTATATGTGAATTGCAGGCAAACGACATTAAGTTGAAAGGAAAAAAAAGAGTAAACTCATTGGAATTGTGAAACATTTTGAAATTTGTTAGCCACGAAGCGTCAAAATTAGAGATGGAAAGCAATTTTTACCGTAATCCGCATGGACTACCATGAAAATCGAATGGTTGGTGAACGGTACACATTGACCATATTTCATTCACATTTCAGCGTATTAAATTGGACGCATTGAATTTCAATGGAATCTAAACATAATTTACCCGGTTGTTGTTTTGTTTGTCTTTTTTTTGTCTTGCGCGATGTTTCTGACAACTACCTGATTGCATAATAGTGAAGGCGCCAAATAATCTAATCGCTTGTAATACCATTTAATCGAAATTGTGCACATATAAATGAAGACATATACACACACACACATTTAAACAGATACCCAGAGAGAGAAAGAGACAATGACGCATCCATTCAATATTTAAAATGTATAAATGTTAAAAGAGTGTGCACACTGCACAAATGGTCAAAAGAGAACGTACTTTTCTCTTCTGATCGCAAAGGAATCAATTGTACGGCTTGCTTACGACATCAGGTCATACATGAAAAGCACGAAACAATTAGAAGCATATATATATGCTGCTCGTATCTCCGACTCGATTCAAATTATTTTTTTTTTTTTTTTGCATTTTCTGGCCAAATTTTTTTTGCCTCCCGTCTCTCTTATATTTTTCTATATATATTATTATGTGAAATGGTTTGAAATACGACCAAATCGGTTTCCGCTCTCTTGCTTTGCAGCCTGATATGAAATCCAAATTGCATCGTCTTATGCAAATATTATAAAATACTATACATTTAAATATTGTTAAGCATATAGCATATACCAAATGAAAGTATGGTCATTTGATTGGCTCCACACATTATATGTCTGATGAAAATAAAATGTACGGCATCACGAACGTAAATTAATATTCGAAATCGATGTGTTATTTGATTCAAATTAAAGATTATATATATATAGGTTAAATTAAATGTAATTTTTTTCAATGTAAGGAATTAATTGTGGCACCAATACTATTGAATACAGCACAATATTACCGCAAATGAAAAATTAAACGGACGGTTCTGTGTCATGCAGCAGTGAAAGAAAGAGCAGAATCACTCACATATCATGTGGCATAAGAAAACAAAAATTAAAAAAAAACATGGATCCAGTGATAAGAATTTGATGTCTGCTAAACATTTTCCCTCACATTTGTCGATTTTTCTTTTCACAAATTCAACAAACCAAAATACCCACGTCGACTATTAATGGTTTAAAATATTGGACTGACATACAGTAACTGTAAAATAACGTTAGAATTAAATTAATGAAAATGCATTTTTTAGTTTTTAAATGTATCCGTATTCTTTTTTTGTTTAATTTGTGTTTAAATGATGTATAAAAGTGTGAATTTCGTTTTAAAATCAATTTTATTGCCATTATGGAATTGCATTTTCGAATTTGTAATTTATATATGTAATGGATTTCTTGCCAAAGTTGATTTGAAAGTGAACGAAAAATGTTTCCATTTGAATTTTCGTCCGTTTCATGACATTTCCGATGATATACAAACCACAGTTACTACTGATGCTTACCATTATATATAACTATGTAACATTTCATCAATCAATATTAATAAATAGGTTGCAAGATTTCGATATCAAAACATTTACCTCATTTAGCTAGCATATAGCTTTTCTATGAATGGAGAAAATACTGACAATGCACACATATTCATATTCTTGGCTTTCAACGTGTGTTGTTACGTGAAAAAATGCATTGAAATTTTCTATGCACTAAAAACAACATGAACAAGTCAGGTCATTTTTTTCGTTCGAAATGCTATTTAATAATCGGAGTATCAATGTTACAATCACTATCTGCATACTTAATATAGAATTAAAGGCTCTTTAACAAACATTTTATAACATTTTGAATGCGAAAATAAGTCCAACGGAATGAAAAAGGAATGATTTATTTGCGAAAGAATTTCAATTATGACACTGTTATAAAGTTTTTCGGTTAAAATTGAAGCACATCTAAATCTAAATGTATTTCAATGATAATAAAACATTAATTGAGATAAATCAACAGAACTGTACACTTTGTAGCAATCCTTTTCAGAGCATCATGAGTGTTGACTCAACACAATGAGGTCTAGACTATAGAGATAATGTTAAAAATAAATACAAACAAAACTGTAAACGTTTCAAAATATTTAAAATCAAACGTGGTAAGGTTGATTTTTAAACCAAATTAAAGCCATTACAGGAATCAAATTTCCTGTAATAACACCACAATCCCATCTAGAATTTCGTAACAATCGATGAATTTTTTAATGACCACATGGCTGTGGTCGGAGATATTTGATACTTGCATTACTATCAAGAATGTGTACTATTTATATTATATTTGAAATTTTTAAACCTTTGAAATCATCATCCATCGATGTAAATAGAAGAGTTTTTAAATCCAATCTCAAAAATCCTAAATTGATAAATTTGGACTTAAATTCAACTTCTACTGCGTTCTGTAAGTATTGCCTGATCATTCGAAATGCATTGGTTCATTGGTTCTATTTATGTTATCTGATTTTTTTTTTGATTTTTTTTTATTGGAATACGACAGCGATGAATTTTGAATAGAATGCATCAATAACTTTGCATCAAAATTGTTTCTTGATTTTACGATATAGTAAAATATTGATTGAAACCAATAAAATGCATCAAAAAATGAAAATTTTTCGTGTTTTTTTTATCTTCGACTCTCAATGTTGACACGGGAAATGTCATTGATTGGTGTTTCTATTCAAACCAGACTACAAAACAAATAACCTATCACTCACGGTTTCATTTAATTCAAACGTTTCTTTGGGTCAATTGACTGCATTCAATTTGATTCTTATGAATAAATTATAATTTCGATTATTGAGAGGTGATTCAACTTTCTCTCATCGGTTATGCAAACAATGGAATAACACCGATCGATTTGCATTAGTAACCATACACATTGATATGGTATGAAATGTGATGTGACATTGATCCCATTGAGTCGAACGTCACTAATCGGATTTATTTACATAATCATCTAAATAAAATATCAAACGTTCGATGAACCAAATAGAAAGCAATTTTTTTTGTGAAGAACCATAAATGATATACATCATTATCATACTTTAGTTGCGTTTGAAAAGTGAACTCAATTTCAATTAAGTTCCTCGTCATCATAACCACTTTCATCATAAAAACTTCAAACTTACACAAGAGACTGGTATTCTCAGCGCAATATGTGTGAGGAGGAGCACTGAGAAGCAGACTTTTAATATTATGTTCTTCATTGAGCAGGAGCACTGCTCGTCAAAATTCACTTTTAACCGTCAATGGACGGCACATTTCCTGAAAAGTAAAACGGCTGTAAAAAAATGTTTTAATTAAACAAATGTTGGTTTCAGTTTTTTAGTTTTTGGTTTATTTTGTGTGTGATGACTTTTGAGTTATGCATAACATATATTCATCTCGTTAATTATATGATATCAGTAATAATTAATCATCATTGTCATAAAATTGTATGTTTTGTGTTTGTATGTTTAAATCCAGGCTTTTAGTTTTGCAATATATATGAATTGAATTTTTGCCGAAAATATAATTAATTAAATTGAAAAAAAGAATATATATAGCTTCTTGGACGATAAACATTTTATCTTTTTTCTTCATTACTTTCTGCTTCGTTCTATCTGCGACAATATATATATATATATATTATGCATATAAATTACAGTTGCTTCCATCGATAAATACGATTATTATTATCGCGTGAAATGTCATCATAGTGTAAATTTTTAATAATGAATAAATGATTAAGGTGCAGAATGAAACAATTGAAAAGTTGACATTTACTTCATTTCATAAGAATATTTGTTTGTTTTGTCTTTTTTTGACAGCATTGTGTGAGATTGATGCGATTTTTGATTTAAACATCGTGATTTTATTGAATTACGACAATATATTCTCATTCTGAGTTTGATACTTTGAATGAGAGCACGAAAAAAGTCTTAACACCAAGTTAATTTCGAAAAATCAAAATTTTGTAAATATTGTAAAACAAATAAAATCTCAATATTTAAATCACTGCGATTGCCAATCTCGTTGCGAACATTTAATAAAAACGAATTTGAAGCGAAAAATAATGCGTATTTCATTGGAAATCTTAAAAAAAAACACTTTAAGCGACAGAAATTGAATATTCAATTATTAATGTTGTTGACATGGTTATAAATAAGAATGGGACTTTTCTTTCAATGAAAAGGGAATTTTGTTTTTGTATCATTTTAGCATTTTTTTAAATCTTTTTTTATGCATATTTTATGTATATCTCTATAAATGTATTTCACGTGACAAAATAATAATAATAAAAATTGAATTGTAATAATTCAAATGAAAAACAAATGGCATTTTACAAATTAAACAGAAAAAAAAATCATTCATTCATACTGTCTTACTAGTCTTCTCTTTGTACTGCATAACAAAATCATATAGCTTATGGTATATTTAATAGTAGCAATAATTTTTTTTCGTGTTTTTTTCTGTTTTTTTTTTTCTTTTCCTTTTCATTTTTAATTAAATAATTTAAATGTGAGAAATGATTCTAATGCGTACACATCTAGCGGCTTGATTACACATTATTTCTTACAACGTTTGCAGTTATGCCTATATTTCTATGAGGTGCATGAGGTGGGACTGGAGGCCTATAGTCTTCATTACGGTTGAGCCCACGGCAATGGTGGTGCTTTCTTAAATTGACGCTTGTAGACGGTTCTGAGTGCGATGGAACTTCTTGTGTATTGCTAACATGTTTGAGTTAAAATACGAAAAATAACATTAAAAAAATGTACATTTTGTATTTTCAAAGTTTCACAAGTGTACTTAAAACGAAACTACTTAAGATCTTTGATCTTTGCGAAGAAAACGAAAAAAAAAACGATTGCCTACCTGTAGGAGGGTCCAGCAATGCTGAAACGGGCATCACGATTGATTCGACTGATATCGTCAAATGTCGATGCTTGTTGTATGGAATCTGGTGCTTCCATATAATTCAATGGTAGTGGATTTCTTGTGATGCGAATTCTCGAGTCTGGAAATAGATAAATTTTTATATACATTCAATCATTGGTCCATTGTTTCGACTGGAGAATTTTTTTCTATGTCATATGAAATGATTTGGTTGTGTGCTTCACATACCTCTGGGATTAACGAATTGATCGGGATTTTCACGAACCATCGACGAACGATCCATAGTCGATCGCCCAAGCCAGACCCAATTGTGTGCGTTTGTTGTGGATTCACGATGCTTACGCGATTCACGTAAAATGGGAAAATGACCCGATGCAGATGTAGCATTTCCGACTGTCATACCAACGACTGGTCGATCTTTGTTATTATTTTCAATATTCATCATTTTATGCTTGGAAGCGTACACAAAACAAGATACTACAAAAAGTACAATAGCGAAGCAAATTGTTGATAGCAACAAATATGTGCCAATTTCCAAAGCGGTTGAGTTGCCGATTGGATTTTGTAGCGATAAAATACCATGGCGATGTTGATGTGAATCACCGACGCCACCCATTGATTTCTTTTCATCATTCAATGGTATGTTAATTAGAATGTCGGTGAGTGAGTTCGAATCTTGATTGGTTTTACGGTCGCGACTACCCACACCATCGTTTTGGAATGTATCTGGACTATCCGGAAATTCAGCCGTATTAAAATCAACCTGAACCGACGCCAATGTAGATGCAAGTGGTCCCTGTGCATCTTTCAATGACTAAAATTCAAAGCGAAAAAAAAAAATCGAAAATAAATTAAAATCATATGAAAAATACGGTTTATTAGCATCAAATTTATGTTAATTGAAACTTGGCCGTTTTTAATGGCAGCGCAATACGTACTTGTTTACTGTATTGATTGTTTCGTTTAGCGCGGCAGTCTTCGGGTAAAAGTAATGTTACACGCAATAAATCACCGTTTCCTTCACCAACAGCAATCACACGAGGATAACTTGACGCCAACATTGGAGCGAACGCAACCACTTCGGTATCCAAACTTTCAACCAGCAAATAGTAATTATCAGCATTCACGTCACTGCAATAAAAGCAAATTAGATAACATCGCACCATTTTGAATAATGACTTTTTGTATGAAACATTAAGCCCATATTTTATAATTAATGCACTTTTTTTTATCACAATCTCTATCTATTGTTCTATCTATATTTCGCAATGTGTATTTGCATGTTGTAACATACAATTTATACAAGTCAAATTAAAAGTGAGCCGACGCTATTCTACAATAACTTCATAATTCTATGTTTATCCATGGCAATTTGCTTACCGTAATGGTGTTTTTGTGCCATCGGAAAACTCAATATCGATGTCCAGTAAGCCTTCCTGATACTGTGCGGTTAAATGTCTGGTGACAAGAGTTTCGGCAATATATCCGTTTTCTAAGACACCGTCTGAGTTGATGTTCAACTGCAAACCGGTCACAACCTGAACGGATAACCGTGAAATGGTGACTTTATCACTTCCAACGCGAATCTCTTTCGAACCAATAACACGACCATTGATCGGTGATAATACTTGTACATCAGTTCGGCCCATGGTACGACCTTGAAGTATGCGACCGCTAAGTGTTGCGATTTTTGGATCAGCCACCCGAATGAATGGCTCAACCAATTCCGTGATACGTAATGCCATCTTACGTGTTAAGTACGAGCTAACACGTCCCGAATGCTGAAACATGGTTCAATTTTAAATTATTAGATTGCGCCCGCCAAATAGAAAGATAAAAATAATGAAACGTTTTATAGTTCCACAAAATGGGCACACGCATACTTGATCAACAGCAATGAAACGTGCATAAACTTCGACTGGAGTTTGTTGGTAACGTGTTCGGCATGAATGCTTATCGGAGCCATTACCCACTTCTTCAGAACTCTTGTACCAATTGTTGGCTCTCTTGCGTCGTTTCTCCTTGTGATGTTCACTGTTCGCACGCACAGAAGAAGAAAAAGAATTATTTATCATGCAAAAGAAATGGATTGATTTAAAAAAAAATTAAATACTTTTTAGCATCGACGGGAATTTTCCATCCTTTGATTTGTGACAAACGAAAATCGGTCACAGCCACTTCTAATGGATATTCTGGCATCCATACGGTGAATCGAGCCAATCCAGAATTTGAACCATATTTAATAACAATTGAAGCATTTGATGATCCTTCTGTTTCAGTTCCGTCGACATAAACTGAACTACAGGACGTTGACACCTATGTCATAATGCATTAATAATAATAATAATAATAATAATGAATGTATGGTATTGCTTTCAATGGTCCATGTGCTCAACAGTGTACAGTATACACATTATACGTTCATTCATTCTTTCATTCATTCAGTTCAGCACACAATGGAAGCACTTTAATGCAAAAAGTAATTATGAGGCTCATGTATGGAAATGCATACCTTTATGACACTTTCATCTTCTGAATGGCACGAACTTTGAAGCGTTATATCAGCAACCTTTCCACTTTGTGAAACAATAAATACTTTCATCGTCTTGTACACTTGACGGCCAGTGAGTACGGCTGTATTCATTAATTCGCGATCCTATACACGCAGACACATGGTTTGTGAAAACAAAAGCATTTAAAAGAAATCGTATCAAATGTCAAGTGATGTAGCAAATTGCTATTATCGTCACAATTGTATGTGCGATATGCGGTGAACGTGAATTTCTCATCAAAATGTATGCATTACCTTGGCTATAGGTAGAATTGATTGAATATCGTCCTTCATAATTTGAAAACGTGCAATAATTTTTTGACGTTTCCCATCAAATGGCATTGTGGTAAGTACTTCAGATGAGTAGTTTTGTATTCGACCATCCTGTTTTGCATCTTGTACGAAATTCACCGACCAAATAATTTTTGCACTATCTCGATTCTCTTTGGTTACATTTTCCACTTCGATTAACCATGAAAATATGTCGAGCACTCTATTCAAATTGCGATCAATTCAAACAAACAATGACAACAGCACATTTTTTTTTGTTGTTGATGAAGAAACGAAACAAAAATAGAAGGGAATTAGAACGCATATGCTATCAATGGTGAATTTTGAAAAGAAAATAATGAAACATACTCATTTTCATCGATGCTTGGTGGTGACAAAGTGCTTTCGCTCTCTTGTTCATTTCGGAAAATGGTGACACGAGCAACGGTTTGCTTTGTATTTTCAGACTCAAACGAAACATTCCATTGGTCGGTTGTGGCAGTTGCTCCTAAAATCTTAACACCTGACTTTGCTCGTGCTCTGTTTGCATGAAAAGCGAAAATAATTATATATATTAATTTGCAAATTGCATTTTTCATTGAAAGTATGTAAGTTTTTAAATAAAAAGAGAAGAAATTAAAAAAAAAGTCTCACCTCACTACGAATATGGCTATGTTTTGTGCAGATTTTGTTTGTAAAAATACTGGAACATGAACTTTGGATAATGGGTAAAGTGGTTGATGTGGAATTAAAAATGTCAGTAAATTATCAACTTTAAGTTCTTTGTAAGCGGTTAATGCTGGTGTCAATGGCACCTATAAAATATGTAACAAACAGGAAAAAAAAGAGAGAAAGAATAAAATCAGGTCAAATATTATCAGAGTAAATAATTGTTCAACGTTTCGTTCACATTTTTTTTTTCTTTTTTTTTCATTTCGTCTTTATCTTTATTTATGCACGAGCTTATGTAGATATACATAAATCTATATTTACCTGAGCAAATACAGTAGCTGGTTGTATTTGTACTTTTGGCTCACATTGTTCGGGATTTTTGGCTGGCGGTTCAAATACACTGTATGACACTTGGACCATTGGTTGTGGCGTTTTAACGGTATTTGTGTGGCCATCTTTGTCGGGCGGTGATAGTTTTGGCCACCAATCCGGTGGTATGACCACTTCGGCAACGCATACATTATCATCGCCATCGGGCATACAGTGATTGCGCAATGGTTTATGCGAATCTAAATTAACATGTAGTAGAATGCAGATTTTTCTTCGTTGTAAATAGACGCCGGCATCGGTGGCACCGTGAAATAGAACACGTAGTACAGGCGAATCTCGCGGTATATAATTCCGCACTAAACTAGCTGATATGTCTAAATAATTTGTCGTTTGTTTTATATCATAGTTAACTTTGCCATCGGACTGTGTGTGTGGTGTGTGTGACACGGACATAAAGAGACAACGAGAATAATGGAAATGAATGTTAATTTATTTTACTAATACTCTAATCACATCGTTAAATGTTCAAAATGTTGCTTATATACTAATTGGTACTCTCTTCATTTTGGTATTTAAAGAAGAATAGGAAAAAAAAACAGAGATATTTACACAATTTATTACTTGTCCACTTATGACTTTTTAAATAGTAAATGCAATTTCGAAATTTCTCTCTTTTGAATCAATCTTGACAAAAAAAAGTGCCTTAAAATGATTTTAAATGGCATCACACCACCTACCTTCGACTGATAGCCAAAATTGTCCGAATCTTCGGGTACAATGAACCGCGCTGGTACGGTTTGTTTCGTTGAAAATGGTCCATAGCTGGCACGTATTGATACTGGATGATTTGCTTGAGCGACGGTAAAACGATTGAACGATAACACTGAATCTTTTATTTCTTTGCTTGATGTCGGTGTATTTTTTAGATCTGAGATCGGATTATTTAATAGCTGTTGCTGTGGTTGTACAGATGAATGCTTAAAGAAGAATCCACTATCGGGTTTGTCAAAACTAACTTGAACTGAACTTGCAAAATCTAAAGGGGAAAATCGAATTTTTTTTTAAGATTAAGAAAAATGAAGAAACAGAGGGAACAGGAAAAGTAAAATGTAACAAGAGAATTTGTTTCAATAATTTATTGTGAGAAAAAATTCCAGGAAAATAACAACAACAATGTACATGAAATGATGGAAAAACTGATTGAAACCAGATAAACAAAAACATTCATTTCACATTGACTTCAAACGATTTTCATCATTTCAATTAAAAATATTTTTAATGAACAACAGATTTGATGATGTGTTAACGCAGATGGCCTGTGAATGAAACAAGTAAATTCCAATGAAGAAAAAAAACGAAACCCGAGAAGATGAGTGTGTGGTTTATGTGCGTGCATTTTTGTTGATGTTTTTGGGTGTGTGTATTCTTGTGAATGTATACGTGCGGCAAGTGGCAATGCAGCGCCGACTGGCTAGAGCTTGTTTGATCATTTTTATAAATAAAATTTAGATCAAAGACGGCGAACGACTGCTTTTGTATAACCAAACATTCAATTTAATTGCTTCGCAGTCATAGTTCTCACATAATATTTCTCTCTTTTCCCTTCTCTCTCCCGGTCTCACTCGGTCGCTCGCTCACTCACTTTCGATTCTTCATTCTCAATCGTCTTCAATCGTTACATTTACTAACTAGACTGCCTTTTACGGATTTTAAGTGGAGAAATGAGAACGAAAAGAACATAACAATTTAAAATATCAAAAACTTGGGCAAAGTCAAGTGTGTGTATTTGATGTTTTATTCACACCGAGACATAACACATCATATGCTCTCTCTCTTGATTGCAATCGGTTGTTATTGCAGCCGTCTTTAAGTGCAAACTATAAAAACCATAACAATTCGATAAGTGCTAGTTATGTATGGCGGAAATGTTCTACTGTATTGAATTGTTTGCAAAATGAACTTAAGAACATATAAAATAACTTCCATAGCACGGCGGTTAAGGTGGTAGAGATGTTGGTAGTGGTGGTGGTGACAAAAACGAAGCTAGCAACGTGTGGAAAGGCGATTTTCAATTAAATGTTCAATATTTGGCAAATATCATTTGCCATAATTCACCATAAATAAAAGGAAGCCATTGAAAGCGATTAAAATGTATTTTTTCAAGTATATCCAATTCAATGTATACGTAAGAAATGCGTCTCAATCAATTGAAAATTAGCCTTCAAGTGGTTGAATATGGCATATTTTCAAAACGTTTGCGTGCTTTTCAAAAGAATTTGTCGGCATTGTAAGCCATCCCCATACTTATAAGTGTGTTATTTTACTCTTTTTTTTCTCTCATCCACATACACCACATTTCCAATTATATGAATTTTCAAATAATAAAAGTGTCGATTTCATTTTACTGAACACAGCATAAGGATGAAAAACGAGGAAAAGAGTCCGACAAATGCAAGTAATTAAACGGATACACAAATATCACAGCATGAATAGAGAGACATAGACTAAGATGAGAAGCTTGTTAGTGTGTGTCTTGTTTTTCTTTTTTGAATGCAGGAATATTCCATTGAAATGGTTATAAGATGTATGGAGAGGATTGTGGAAACATGTGCGCACAATGCAGCATGACTTCGGGGTCCACTTGTAAAGAGGGTGGATGAGTAGAAATAGACAGATGTACAGACGCGAATTAAATCTTTTAATGCACCATCAAATGGCAAAGTCATCACGCGCGCGTCATCAATACACAGAAAAAGTCAAAAGGACGTTCATGTTCGAATTATTACTGTTAATGGCAGTTAGAGTCGGTATTATGTAAGCGCGATGAACATTCATAACAGAGGCTCAATGATTTGCACCACTTTGCAGTACATATATTACATTACACATACATGCTCTCTCTTCTCTCTCTCTCTCTCTCTCTCTCTCTGTCACACACACACCCAAGCCCACGATTTGTATTGCATCATCGATGAAAGAAATACGGTGAGCACGCAATTCCGAAACGAGCAAAAATCTTAAGTGGAACAACAGTGTTGTTACAAACACTGCAAAGGGATATAGTTCCCTTATTCGGTCGGATCAAATGACTTTTTACAACGATATAGAATGAGCGAGCGCACACAACTATCATATCAAAATGAACCTATATTCACATTGTTTTTTCTCTTCTTTTACATCGTCCTTCATTCCCATTGTGTGCATTACAATTCCCTTTTCCGCCCGTAAACATAATGTGTTTGTGTGTTTTTTTTTTTGTCTTCATCTTCAATGTTTGTGTACATATTTGGTGGTAATATTTTCTATAGAAAATTTACGTATTTTCTATTTTTTCCCTTTCCAATATACCCCGCATATACACACAAACACATACACAAACTCTATCCGAATCATTGTAATCACAGCGTGACTCGACGATATAGACGGTCTTCGATACAATTTGATTTGCCCATCAACGGCAAACATTTTTCTGTGACATATTTACGCTTATTTTCCGTGTATTTGCTTTGTTTGTCCAAACAGCTTTGACATTGTCATAATGATAGATAGAGAATGATTTGTATTCGTGTTTGTAGTGTATACATAAAACGGTGCACAGAGAATGAAGAATCAATTGACCACTTTGAGCGAATCGACAGTTTTGCGCATATATGGTATATGGTTGAAAAATATGTTGTAATACGTGCCGAGAAACCGTATGTGCCTCTAGATAGAGAGCATTTATTTTTACTTTTTCGCTTCATTTTCATCTCTATACACACGTATGCAATGCATATAGAATGTTGTACAGGGGCTGCAAAAAGAAATGATACACATTGAAAATCACTTTGATTTTTATTGATTTATTAGTGTGTTGCATGGCAAATTTTGCATTTTCGATACGGGCTCTGCGACACTCGATGCAATTTTCATTGGAAATCGGCAATGGTTTGATAGTTGATACAAAAATATCTCATTCGACCGATACACACATTTGGTATCGCATTATTATTGATGAAAAACTTTCGGCACTGCGAAAAATATAAGGAATTTATCTGATGTAGCAAAATGTTGTGTCGCAATGTCGTCCATACTGTCGCAACATTTTGTCGTACCCAAAAGGGAACGATAAACAAAAATGAATAAAACGAATATTTAATTTATCCAACTTTCCATCTATTATACTCTCATTGTTTGCTTTTTTTACTCGTTTTTTTTTATGCTGTCGCTCTGGATTTCGATGATTCGGAGACATTTTTGCGCGTTAACAATGAGAAGAGTCGTTTGTGAGTTATAGTTTTCTTATTATTCTCTGCGTTTTTGTTCAAATGTTTCCAAATAGGCAGGCGGTCGAGTTTGTACACTGTGAAACATTATTACGATTATAGTACAATAAATGTATAGAATTGATGAAATGAAGCCCCCGGAGTCCGTACATTGTGTTCGTTGTTGTTTTCGGAATCAATCAATTTTATCAAAATTATCGACATTCGGGCTCTAGAGAAAGTAAGTCGTGAATGATGGATTTTGGTGTTTTCACATTTAATGAAGCCTTCACCATCAATTTTAATCAAATTGATGAAAATTCTTTCAATCAAACCGAATAAATAAACAAACAAACGTGAAGTTGATACTCAAAAAAAATAAAACAAATTCAGACATCTCAATTTTAATTTAAAAAAGATAGATAGATTTATAGAAATTTGCATTTTCGAGAATAAATACTTACCAAAACATAAATAAGAAAATACTATCCAAAAATACATGTTTATAATCATTCCGTTTAATACGAGATAAACTCCATTCCATTTTTCTCAAGCATGAAAATATTGATGTTCCGAAAAAAGGCGTTCATGATCTTCACATACAGCATATTAATCTCGCACACATCCACATAAATACTACACATTCATGTAGGTAAGTTTGTGTATTATATATCTTTTATACGTTGAATCTTTTTCTTCTTTTCTTTATACTTTTTTTCTGTGATTGTTGTACGTTGTTTTTTTTTCTCTCTTCTCTTCTTCAAAAAGATAAAAATCAATGCACCTCAAATACGTACAAATAACACACGGACTCTGTAATACGGTTCACCATGCACTTTACACTCTCGTTTGACACTGGCAAAACTTGCTCAAAATAATATATTAACGAAGCGCATCTATACACCGATTTTTTGCTCCTTGCAAAACAATTGCCACTTTATTTTCAAATCAATACACAATCGCCAACCACTCAAATTCAATAAACAATTTATGAATTTGTCACATTAAAATTCTGTAAAACAACACATGCACAGTGTGTTGAACTTCAAAAATTGCAATTCTCTTTCGCTGTATATGGTATTTTCGTACTCGTACAATTCCTGCAAAAATGAAATTCAGCAATTAGAATAAAATACACTTGAAAAATGAAAGCCGAAAAATATTTGGAAACGAAAAATACACGAAATTTTGTTACGATTAATGAAATGGGCTTGAAAAGAAGAAGGAAAAAACTTCGACAGAACGAAAAAAAAATATAAATATAAAAATCTTGTACACTCTCTCAGCCGCTGCGCTCAATGGTAGTAGCCGTCGTCGTTGTTGTCGACGTCGATACTGTTTTGCCTTAACACAGAGCGCAAAGCCAACGACTACGTCGAACAATACAACACATAGAGAGAGAAAGAGAACACAAAAAAAGAAGAGCTGGCTGCTGCGACTATTGATGGTGAAGTGAAAATATGTGAGATGCACTGTTGCCACTTAAAAGGCCCATTTATGTATCGATTGCGCGTTCGTATGTCAATTTGACGTTTTCTCTGTGTGTGAATTTATCGAAATACGCATAGATCTCCTCAAACACCAAAGAAGCTACACATGAACAGTGCGGTATCCAAATTCTCTTTCTCTCTCTTTGCCTCGCTCTCTTGATTTTCGATCAGAACTAAACTTCATTCTTTTTTCAGTTATTTTCTCACTCTCATTCAGGCTATTTCATTTTTATATGAAAGAGCGAGAATTATTTGAAAATAATGTATCGACCAAGAAAAAAAAATAAATAAAAGAATTAACTATATGATTAGGGATATTTACCGAGCTGCTATTTCGTGTTCCAGTTATGTAATTACTGCCAAGGCAACTAGAGAATCCTTTCCCCGCATACTTGGTAACATGTATAAAAATGTGTTGGAAAGAAAGAAATTATTTCACTGAATCCAATCTAGAGCATATGTGTATAGGGGAAAAAAATTCACGCCCCATAGGCTACGCAATCTCAGTTGAAGAAAATATTGATTTTTTTTATATTTTCCCTCTCTGTCCTTCTCTCTTTGGCTCGTTTTATTTTAAAACTACGACGAATATATATTTATTGTACGTCGGTGTTATGCGAGAATGCCAGTGTGGTTTGAAATACAGAGCCAGTATAAATTCTTTTTCGTGTCCACACTTTTCACTCGTTGTGTGAAATACAATCCCACGAATTCCTATCTTTTACACACGTCCCCTCTCTCTCTCTCTCTCTTTCTTGTTATGCCCATTCGAAATTTCGGATGGATTTGAGCAGAATGAAGAATGCGCACGCTTCCCGAAAAAAAACCTATAAATTTTTCACGAGTTTCATCCGAACCAAAAATTTTCTCAACGAATTTTCTCCAACGCACTTTTGCATGCAGTTCGATTTGAAGAAGTTTTTACTATGATAAGGATCAGAAAATTTAAAAGAGACCAGGAAAATGTTGAATGAATGCAAAGTTGATTTTGGTATTTAAAAAAAATCGAATGAATGATGATGGTATATCAATGCATTGTTTACATCTTTTCATATAAATTAAACAGCGATATTATATGGTGCCGATACATGTCAAATGCAGTCAAGTAAACTTTGTCCCCCGATAGGGATAAACCAATACACACGTGCGAATCGACGGCGTAGCAATGGTTTTTATTTTTGTAAATAAAAGCATGTTGTGTGTGTGTATTGTATTTGTTTTGACATTGCTGATTTGTATTTTCGTCGAGTTGTCAGTTTTCAATGCCGAAAAAAAATAGAAGCAAAATGTTTTTGTATCGTCTTTATCCATAGTAGTATAATTTATTTTCCAAGAATGTTTTTTGTATTTTAATCGAACGAAACATGTTTAAAATTGAATCATATATTTCACCAATTATTATTAACTACATAGACAAGTATGTCAAAGATTTTCGACCACAAAATGCACAGGTAATTTAAAATGAAAAAGAAAAAAAAAAATGATAACAACAATCGGCGTGGCAAAAATTCGACTCTCGTTGGCCTCAATTATTTGGCTTAATCAAATTATTTTATGCTGCGTATCTAGGTATCGCTGTGGGGCGGTGAAGTTTCCTTTCAAAATCTTGACATTCGATTGGACGTCTTACAAGAAGAACTTCATTTGCCGTTGAACATTGTTTCTGGTCACATTCATGAGCTAACGGTTCGCGTTCCGTGGACGAAAATAGCATCGGAACCCATACAAATAAATGTCAATACAATCGGTAGGTTAACTTACGCAACTAAACTATTGTTAAAAGAAAAAAAAACATGTCTGTAATTTCATTGTAGAATTTGTGGTGAAGCTGAAATCAGGCGATGGCGAAAAAAAGGAACGAGATGACGCAAAACCGCCACAATCGCCTCAAATAGCACAAGAACCGCCTGGCTATATGGCAACATTGATTAATAAAATTGCCAACAACATTTCAATCAAATTGAATAACATCATTTTCAAGTATATCGAAGATGATATCGTGCTATCGATGAACATACAAATGTTATCAATCGATTCGGCCGACGACAATTGGAATCCGGCATTCGTTGACATAAATCCAGTGAAAGTGATGCTTAAAAAAGTGATAAACATAAATGATTTAACGATATGTCTGGACAAACGGAATGCACAAGGTAAAATCGATGTGTGTCAAGAGCCAATATTATATCGTTGCTCATTACAAGCACGAATGATTCGAAAATATAATTTAACAACGGCACATCTTGACTCAATCACCCGAATCGATATATTCACCGAAAATATTGACTTTAAAATATCGGTGCAACAATTTCCAATGCTCATTCGTATGTATTTATTGGTGCAAATGTTACGAGAATTCCATACAAATTTGCATGGTGCACGACGAACGGGACAAGATACAACAACCGGCAGCGGTCAAACGGTTGACTATATTGATGGTTCGTATACAACATGGATTTGGAATATGTTACCCGAATTATTTCCGGCATCAATCGAAGAGGAGCGTTTAGACTCACAAGGCCATATTTTTCACAATGGATTCTATGCGAAAAATATCAATATTACAATAAAATCACAAGAGGTCGTTGCGAACAGTATCATCCAAACGAATACAGTGTACAAATATCATCCGATTTTGAAGATAACATTGTCGGGTGTTTCATTCGATGCGATAAGCATTGGCAAGAAATGGACAAATGTCAAAGGTGGCATTTCATATATCGGTGTATTTCCATTGGGAAATTGTACATGCGGTAAAAAACTTAATTTACCAACGATTTTTTTGTCGGGACATAAAAGTAAGGCGGACAGTGAGACATTTCTATCGGATTCATTAAAAGATCCAAATAAAAATGTAAGCCCACCGCTATTGTATGAATGCGATTTTCAATCGCATCTACTTCGTTTCACGGAAGCAACACTGCTTGCAACAACGCCGGCCTTATCAATTGACATTGTTAACTATCGACACACGATGGATGACACACGTTCGTATGGTACGCATTCAATAGGTAGCGGTGACCACGATTTAGTGACCGAAGAATATTTTATGCGAATTTTTTTTGGAAAATTTAATCTTAAAATTGACACAAGCTTACTTCATTTGTACAATACACTGAACGATCAATGCCAACAATACACGTATGTTGCACCATATTTGGCAGCAAATCGTACGGAAATGCTATCACAACTAACACCACCATCGACCGATGACTATGAATCACTTCTTGATTGTATTCCACTTCGAAAATGCTGTGTGTACCTGAATAAATCAACAATTGAATATTATCATTTGAATGGCGATCATTTTCAAAGCAACGAATTAAATGATTTTAAGCAAATGCCGTGTCTTATGTTCAACGTAAGTCGTGCCGAATTCGGTGTTACGATGCCATTGTATCCGGAAAAATTGATAAACACTACGTGCCAATTGCCCGATCCAACCGAAAAACTTAAAGAAAATTGTTTCAATCGATATGGAGCCGTAATTGAACAAACATCACTTGATATCGTCTACAATAAAAAACGATTTCAACTATTTTCAATGTCAAATTTCAAGCTCAACTACGACACACTCATACAGCCAGAACTATGGAAAATGATTCGAATGCAAAATTATACGTACCAGCTAATGGTATCGAGAATTGAATTGACATTTAATAAACCACAATATTTACTATTCGCACAATTATTTGGGGCATGCACAAAAAATGGCATTTGTGCTGATATTCCTGTTAAATATATTAAAACATTTCATGCAATCGATATGTGCCAAAGTAATTTACCGAAAATTGAATTGTGCATGGTAAATGGCGAAGCGTCTGTGATTTTTATCGACAATGTATTGGGTGTACGGGGCAGTGTTGGTGCAATCGTTGGTTTTGCTCATTCACCACATGAACTTGACACATTCAATCCGAACGATGCGTACAAGGGTAAAAGCATCTTCTTTTCAAACGAACACTTCGAAAGCAATCTATTCGAATGCACAGTGCAATATCCGATACACACACAAAAAATTAAACATCCACCAATTGTAAATATTGAATTGCAGAAGTTGATCGTAAGCTTTGATTCACTGCTTCATCAATTTTTGAGCTATGAACTACCGTTTGGAAACTCAACAGGTACATTTATTTCGTTTCTATTTTTAAATTGGTTATTACAAGTTCAGAATTATCAGTGTCAAGCCCAACATCTTTTTTTTTAAATCGAATTTTACTTCTAACTGTCTACCAGAAGTATCAACAATGTCCGATGAAAAAGCGCAAAAGAAAGTTCGTAAATCGAGTAAAGTGAGCAAACCGTTGCTTCGCACTGAATCAGTTCATTCGAACTCAATAACAACAATGTCGATTGTAACATCGGCCACAAGAACCAAGGAACATACCGATCAACAACGATTTATCGAATGGTAATTTTAGTTTAACTGATAAACATTTGGTCATGATAACATTTTTAATCATCATTTGTTGTTTAGGTATGAGTACATCAAACAAACCATAGTCTATATTAATGCGCAATCGATGACAATTGTTTGTCCAAATAAATGTTTGTACATGGAACAGGAGACAAGCACGCTAAAACATTTGATTGACGCTGAAAAACATATTTTAATGACATGCTTTAGGTATTTTATCATTCTTTGATGGAAAAAAAGATGGTATTAACCTTTTTTGTTTTCTCTTTGAAGATTACCAAGTCTTGCTATTCAAACGACAAAATTCAAGAATATACAAAGTGTGTTGAAAGCAAATTTTCCAATTGATTTGACGGAAAATTGGATGCTCGGTGTAAATAGCTTTCCATGGAATATTGAATTGAATGATTTCATCTGTTTTACGGTCATCAACAATGATCAACGAATATTTTTGCCCAATGTTAACACAAAATTAACGTTAGACTTGACGAAAAAAGAGAATACGGGCGGAACGGTCATTGGCGAAGAGATGTCGTTTGTAATTCATTTGGATACAACGCCGATTCGATTGAATCTGGATTCGGCTCAGGTTTGTGTAATTTTCATTTCGTATTTTTTTTTTTTCATTTTTTTGAATTTAAATATTTTTTTCTTATAGATAAAGCAAATTTATGGTTCGCTAAATATTTTGTTGCTGCGTAAATCGAAGAAAAAACAACCAAATACGGTTATTGATGTGCCAGCACAATTCTACGACACCCAAATCAATGATTTCTTCTGCGAAACAACAAACAGTGAACGATCAAGCGAAGATGTCATTTCAAATATTGATAAAAATGTTTCGAAAATTCATTGTTTATTGCAATGGACAATAACAAAATTTACATTATCACTGAATGACTCAACCACGCACACCAACAATGTCGAATTGCTAATCGATCTTGAGGATATTATTGTGAGCATTGACAAGCAAAGTGCGTACACAAAAGCAAAAGCAAAATTTGGCTCAATAAATGGCATGCGCAAAATGAAAAATAAAATCACCGGCGAAATTGATGTATTAAATATGATAAGTCGTTCGGATGCATTGACCGTTGAATCACAAGAGACATTTTTGGAGGTGGTTGCAACCATGGCCGTTGCATCAAATGTGCACAGTCGATGGGGCACATCGGCCACAAAAAAAGTAATGGGATTCCGAAATGATATCGATACCATTACCGAAATATTGATCACCATGCAATCGATCGACTTAAAATTGGAGTCCGATGTTCTTTCTGTGATATTAAGCATAAACGATGAAATGTGTAGCGTTAATTCGTTAAGCGATCGAAATGAATGTGATGTTGACAATGCGACCGTGTATTGTGTACGAGATCTTCCGCTGTTATTTTTTGATTGTAAAGGTCTTCAATTATGGTTGCCAAATACAAATGGTGAAATTGCAACCGAATCAAATGTTTTAATCGTTAAAATGAACGCCATCACAATTGCACCGTCGGTTGAGAATCCGGTGATACGGAAACCAGTTCGTGAGGATATTTATGTTAAAGCGGCTCAGCTTCGGATGATAAATACGCCCGGTTCGATTATTGAAGATCGACAATATGAGCTATTATTGAAAAATGTGTCCGTTTTTACGGGAAATTGGGATGAAATTCTACAATTTACGTGTCCGGCTAATAACGAAAATCCAGCCTTCGATTGGAATAATCAAACTGAAAAACCATCATTAAATATCAATACAATTTTTAACGATTGCGTACTATCGGTGATTTATGCGCCAGCAATTGTTTTTCAAAATATTGTCGTTTGTGGACAAGCGCTTGAAATCAATTGCATTAGTGATTTGTGTCTGAATTTAACACTGAACGACATTGAATTGCTCAATGATTTACGATTGAAATTTTCAAATGTGTTTAGACAACAAACAATCGAATCAACATGCATACCAGCAAAACGACAACGAATGGATAAATGTACCACTCATTTTCGAACAATTAACGATCAATTTGACAATCATTTGAGCGATTCGGGTTTTAAGTCCAATTGCTATCACGATAAACGTAAGTCTAATGAAAAACTAAGCACACAAAAAATTGACATTCCACACATGTTATCATTTGTTGGTGGCGCATTCACTGTACAATTATACAATAAAATTGTACAACATCAAAATATACCATTAATGGCCGTACAAATGATGCAACCAAATTTTTACTGTGTTCATGAATCGGCCGAAACAATGGAACGACTGTCACTGTTCAATTTAACATTGAAAATGCACAATCAAAAGGTGTGGGAACAAAGTGACATTATCTTTGATACGCATAAGAGTGAATTGGATGAAACCGGCATATCACCAGCATTAATTGAATTTCAACGTGTTATATGCCGAACGGACAATGATAATGACATCAAAGTTCAATGCAATGTACGTAAACCGATTCAAATTAAATTGACACCGACAAGTGTCGAGAATCTATTTGGTTTCAAAGAAACGATGGAACATGTTTTCTACAAAGACCGGATAATCAATAGCCAAGTGAATGAACGGCCGATTCTTCATTTGAACAATATCAAGGAAATTCGTAAATTAATCGGTGGCCCGAATAGCATTGAATTTAATATGACAAAGATATCAATCAATTTTATGACATCGATGGATCGTGTGGTTAGCCTATCGCTATTCAAATGGAATAATAAAATTAGCGTGCACGAACGCATGAAACAAATTACGTATTCAACCAATATTGATTCGGTGTCAGTGAATACACAAAATTCAATGCTATTAAATCCAACATCAATGACCTTTGAATGTGCACTGTCACAGGAGAAATGGAGCAAACGACTTGTGATTTCAACGAATTTCACATCAAATATTATTCATTTGCAAATTAATCCAAACGATTTTTGGACATTTGCCAAAGTTCAATTGGATTTTTGGTCGTGCATTAATCGCTGTTTCAATGCAACGAATCAACATGCCAAAGAAAAAGAATGCCACTTACATCAAAATAAGCCAGAGTATAATGCGGAACATCTTAATTCGTATGAATTACCAAGAATAGCTCCGTCGAATAGTCGAACGAACGAGGAGTACTTTCAAGATGATCTTAGGTTGGTTGGGAGAATTTTTTTTTTTTTTTTGGTTTTTGTAAAAGAAATGCAACAAGAAATAAATAAAGAAAAATTTCAGGCTTGGAACATTTGAATATATCATTTCCAATGGAGATAATTCATTGCCGTCGCCATATCAAATTTACCTACTGAACAGCGGAGCTGATATGCAAATATGTTGGCGTTATCCCCATCCAAGAACGATCAATTTCATCCAGATCTATCCCATTCCAGGACAGGTAATTTTCAATGCAAAAAAAAAAATTCAAACTTTCGTACCATGCTTAATGAATTTTCCATTTCGAAATAGTTTGATGTCAATATGAAATGTCAACTGGAGTATTTTCAAGAATCGCATAATACATTTTTTCCGTATGTAACATTTGTAATTGGTAACAAAAAATCGCATGAAGTAAAGCTACCAAAACAAAAATTAACCGCATCGGTGTGGCGTATTGTATTAATTGAATCAATGGATGCCACCACCTTCATCGAACCGGATGAAACGAATCCATTGCAAGATTTCCTGTCGCCACGAACAATCATCAGTTTTATTCGCATCGATTCAATATTCAATGTGGAAAATGTACCAAAATTACAGGCCAATTTCAAAGTAAACAAAATTACAATGTCGATATTGAATAGTTGTGTGAATGTGCAATCATGCCCGCCGGAAATTCTATCCAAATACACATTAAAAGTTGAAGAGCACACGGATGTTACACAGGAGTTTTGTCAAATTAATTTCGGTAGCATAAATGTCAATATCAATGTTTATGGTGATATGCTGGCAAAAGTGTACAATGAATTTACATTCGGCATTAATATATTCGATTCAAGTTATTTGAATGTGATACCACTAATTGATACGGTTTCAATTGGCAGTTTTATTGAATTTTCGACGGACAATCGCCCAAACGTCATACATTTAACGGCCGATAAATTGAGCATGAAATATGGACCGGCTGCCGGTTGTGCGATTGCAACAGCAAAAAGTGTATGGCAAAATACACCAATTGAAATTCAAATGCCAATCATGTCACGCCTTGTGATTTGTAATTCAATGTCAGCATCTGTCAAATTTGGTCAAGATTCAACAGAAGAAACAATTTGGTTGCAAACAAATGAATGTTTTTACTATGCATTTCGTACGGAAAAATCGCCACAGAAACTTCGATTCTCGATCAAATCAGAGAATAGCATTGTTGAAGTGTCCGAAGCATTTTCATTGAACGATACCAACGAAATGAAAATGCTAAATGTTGCAACAAATAAAATGCTACTGGTGACCACACGCAAACTATCGACCACACAAAAACAGGTGATCATCAAAGGTCAAATTGAATTGATGAACATGACCAATGAATCGTTTCAAATTCATTATAAAGATAAAACCAAATTACAATACATGGATGCGGAAAATTCCAATACAAATCCAAGTGTCATTTTAATGACATCGATGGGCAATGGGTCATTCTTTGACGCATGCGATGACTCATGTGATGCATATATTCGACTTCAGTTGGTACATGAAAATGCAAACGGATGGTCTGGCGAAATTCCGCTGGGAAAACCGACATCAAACATTCCGTGGCTGGTGAAAGGTAAATTTTCTTTCTTCATTTGTGGTGGTGGTTATGATATTAAATCTAATTTTTTTAAACTTTTTGCTTATCAGTGCCACTCAAAACGGATCAAAAGTATGCAACATTCTCGGTGAGAATACACACGGAGTATATTGGCGAACGAATATCGGGCAAATTGCAAGCAAAACGTATTTTAATCATCTTGTGGCCATTCTTCACGGTACGCTCATTGTTGCCGATGCATATCAATATTCAAGACAAGGAAAACAATAAATTGTATACAATTGATGGAAAAGGAACCTGCACTGATTTACAAATTGCTGGCACTTTTGATACAGAACATACATTTGCACTCAATTTAGGGTAAGATTGATATTTACAGTTTCCTATTGGAAGTATAAATTAAAACGTAAGGATTTTTCACTGAAATTGGGCATTTATTTCAAGAGGATGGTACACATTTTTTTATTCAAAGTATTGTCCATCGCTAGCCACTACTTTTTCCCATTTTCCAGGCAATTCATGGATTCCGTGCCAAAAGAATGGTTGTTGTTTTGAACGAAAATACGAACCGACCCAATTTGCGATTTCCTCCGAAGAAGTGAAGCGTTTGCCTCCCAATTCGTTTTGCATCGTACGAAACAAGTAGTAATCAGAAGGAGCAATGTCTGGTGAATACGGCGGGTGGGGTAGAACCTCCCATCCTATTGTCGACAAGTATTGTTTGACGACATTTGCAATATGTGGCCGAACATTGTCATGTTGAAGAATTAACCGGTTGTGTTTTCCCCTCCATTCTTTCCGATCTTTGTCCAATGCTCGCTTCAATCGCATCAGTTGTAGTCGATAGCGATCTCCTGTGACTGTTTCACCCGGTTCCAGCAGCTCATAATACACGATACCCTTTTGATCCCACCAAACACAGAGCATTACCTTCCGGCAATGAATATCTTGCTTTGATTGCGATGGTCCTGGTTCGCCGCGTCGAACGTATGATTTTTTTTCGCTTTGGGTTATCGTAGTGGATCCACTTTTCATCGCCCGTAACAATTCGATCCAAAAATGACTTGCTTTTTTGTCTTGCGAGCAGCATTTCACAGATGGTAAAACGCCTTTCAACATCTCTCGGTTTCAATTCGTGCAGCAACCAGATTCCAAATTTTTGGATGAACCTCAATGCTTTTAAACGTTGTGAAATGGTTGCTTGAGTAACTCCCAATGATTTAGCGAGTTCTTCTTGCGTTTGGCATGGATCTTCATCGAGTAACAATTCCAATTCTTCATCTTCAAATTTTTTCGGCTGGCCTGGACGCTCTTTGTCTTCCGTGTCAAAATCACCACTTCTGAATCTTCTAAACCATTTTTCACATACACTTATTGAAATTGAATATTTGGGATACGTTTCGGCAACAAACGATGACATTCAGCAGCACTTTTCTTTTGATTAAAGTACAAAAGCATTGCTTCCCGCAAATGCTGTTTTGTTGGAACGTAATTCGACATTTTAATCGCAATAAAAAACTTGTGTGTGCAGAATTGTTTTCACTTTGACAGATCGAATTTAGTAGATTTTTTGACGCTCTTTAAGATACAACAGCTTTCACTGTCCAAACAATTGCATGTGTGATAGATATGAAGTTAGATACGAATCCTTACGTTTTAATTTATACTTCCAATATATCAATGTGATCGATAATTTTTTTCTGTTTTTTTTTTTCATGCAGTTCCGAAAATAAGGAGATAAACGAACTTATTTTAACGTACAAAAATATTGATAAAAGATCATTTTTCTCCGTTCCCGTTCATTTCAAGACCATTAACGATATTATCAAAGAATTGGAAAAGCCGAATGAGTTAAAATGGCCATGTCGTTTCGAGAAAGAGGTAAACAAATTGAACAAAAAAGATAACTTTATTTGGATTAATTTTATTGATTTTGATCAATTCTGATGGTTGATGCTCATATTTTTATTTCTCAGTTGAACATCGATCGTAAAGCATCACACGAAATATCGTCTGCTCCAATTTGTAAATTTTCTGCTAGTCGCAGTTTATCATGTGCAATGGAATTAAATGTAATACCACCATGTTTAATAATCAATAATTTGGGCTTCGACATTTTTATCGTTGAACCAACGAATGAAAAAGAATGTTGTGTCCAGTCCAATTACATGACCATACCTATGACGATTACGGTAATTTTTTTAGCTTGAATTTGTTGAAAATAATCGATTTTAAAGTGAAAATATTTTAGTAATAATAATATTTCGATTCTGATTCGTTTCTTAGTCTGGATTCTATATAAAATTCCAATGTCATGATGAATGGATAACAATGCCAAAAATTCGTTTAACCGAAGAAAAAAATGTATCGCGTCATACATCGTACTATTTACCAGATAATGGATCGACAATTGTTGCCGAAAAAATTGGAACAAATCATTTTGCAAAATTTTGTTTGACTGCTATAAATGAAAATAACTCCAAAATTCTATCAATTCAATCACATTTTGTGCTATGCAATTTTTCAAAATATCATCTTAAATTCCATGCATTTTGTATTCATCGCAATGAAAAACTCTCCTATGATGACATTATAAGATCACTTCTTGAAAAATCAACACCATTGTCAATGTTGAATAACAATCAAACTACCGACAATATGTGAGTAAAATGAAAGCGGTGTTTTTTTGGGGAAATATAATAATGTGGAAATGTGGTTCTATTTTAGATTCAAAGGCTGTGGCTGTACAGTATTTTGTGATATTTCCCAAAAAACATATAAATCGTTAAATAATATGAAAGACTTGAATTACTACATTGTTATTGGATCGGATGATAATTTTAGCAATTGCGCACCACCAATTTTAATCAATAAACCGATTACCCGAACCGCATTCGGCTTACAGTACAATGAAACAAATGTGAGTATGAAGAAAAATTATTTCATGTAAAATTTATTTTTCGAAAAAAATCTGATTTTTTTTCTCAATAAGATATCATTGGCTGCATCGGTGAATCAACATAATGATCAATTGTACATATCAGTTTATGAGGATCGCTATCCATTCATTGAAATTGATAATCAAACGAATATCTTAATATTTGTTGCTGAAGCTGATTTTGCCGATTTTTCAAAGAGCCTCAAGCCAAAGAAATCAATTCATGATGAAAATTTTCAATGGTGTTGCACAATACCGTCATATGGTCGCATGAATTTTGCACCACCATCGGTCAATGAACGGTTTCCCGAAAAACATAATTCCAATGTGCATTTGATTTTTGGATGTGCGAATAGTGGTGAGGATAGAAAAAATTTGACATTAAAAAAAAAAATTCCATTAAATTTCAATAATTGATTAGGTGGTGATATTAAATGGTCAATACCGGTGGAAACGAACAAACAAGATGAAAAATATTTAGCATTACCGCTCTATGGTGATATAAAATTGACTTCATATAGCGTTAATAAAACCGTCAAAATTCTACTAGAGCACATTGATTTTGTGAGTATAATTATTTTTAAAAAAATCATTTCGTCGACAGTGATCATTTTTAATTATTTTATTTGTATTAAAATTTGACCGCTTAATTTTGTGATTGAAAATTCATGAGTTTTGTTTTAATTTCAACAGAAAAAAGAATTTAACGTCAAAGTAGTCCATACAAAATTAAGCAGCCCGAACAGTTCCAATAATAATAGTGATTTGATCAACGATTCCATCGATGCAAAGAATTGTGCCACCGAATTGCAGCGTATTCGTCAGTCAAATAAAGTGAATTTTTCATCGAAAACAATTATACACAATTTCATTGCAAATATATTCATTAAGGAAGTTAATTTCGTTCTGTACGACGATGACAAAGAGAATTTGTGCATAAAAAATAATATCGCTTCAATATTTTTCGATGATTTTATTGTTCGTTATGTGGAAGAGGTAAGAATGAACAAAAAATTATTTTTCTTTTAAATTTTCTTATCAAATAAATCTGTTTTTCCAATTTTTCAGGAGAGAAAACTTGAATTCGGTTTTGGAAATATTCAAGTTGACAATAATTTATATTCGACGGGAAAATACGATTTCCCGGTGATTTTGTGTAGCCAAAATGAGTCAAAAGTAAATAGTAAAAATTTTAAAGGTGCCGATATTATAGATAAAACCAAACCTAATGCAAATCCATCGGAACGATCATCATCATCAACAACAACAACAAGTCCAACTTCATTTTCACTTCCGTTGATGCACGAACAATTATTTGAAAATCACATTGGCCATTTCAAAATTCTGCTAGAAGACACGGAATTTAGTGCAAAAGAGATCATTTGCAGTATGCAACCGCTTCGTGTTTACATCGAAGATAAATTTATCGCCGCTTTACTTGATTTTGCCATTGAAAATCTACCATCAAACGTTGTTTATATACCCGATTCAAATGATCGCGTCGAATTAAATGGTGGCGAAGTACTCATACCAAAAATTATTAGCGAACAAATATTATCGTTCTTTTCGGAACCATTACGCTTGAATCGACTTTGTATTAAACCACTCAGTATTTTACTATCGGTTCACACATGCATTAGGTATATGACAATTAATATTTTCGATTTCGATTTTGAGTGTAAATTTCGTTTTTATTTGTAGAATGTACATCGCATTAGATCATAGCCCATTGCATTTCGCCCAATTTGAATACAAAAATATTTATACAACAACAATGAGACTTGGTTATAATATTGGAATGCATTATGTTTCTGATGCCATTTTTGGTGCCGGATGGGTGGTCGGTTCACTTGAAATTCTCGGCAGGTAAGAAAAATACTGATTTCAATTCATTCACAGTAAATAATTTTTTTATTGTTCAAATTGAAGTCCAAGCGGTTTGGCTCGATCCGTATCAACTGGTTTGTGGGACTTTGTCTCGATGCCGGTACAAGGTTTGATGCGTGGTCCATGGGGTGTTTTACTTGGCATTACATATGGTTCAGCGTCTCTTATAAAAAATATAACAGCTGGCACTGTGAATTCGGTTACAAAATTAGCTGCATCGGTTGCACGAAATCTGGATCGTTTAACTTTAGACGATGAACACTTGGAACGCACCGAAGCAATACGACGAATGCGACCATCATCCATAACACATGGCATAAGTCAAGGTTTAACTGGATTCGGAATAAATTTACTCGGGGCTGTTGGTGGCATTGCAAGGCATGCGCTCGAAGCGAAATCATCGGTCGAAGTTTTTACTGGACTTGGAAAGGGTACGCATCTAGGGGCAATTCACATTCTATTTTTTAATAATTGTTATTGATTCTTTTTCGATTATTTGTCGATTATTTTAAATTAATTCTATTCTTTTCTTTTGTGATTCTCCCCTAGGTATTATCGGTGTTGTAACTAAACCGATCAGCGGTGCAGCCGAATTTCTGGCATTGACCGGACAAGGTGTTTTACATACAGTTGGTTTTAATGCAATGCCAATATCAAGAGATATCGCCACATCAAATGAATGCCAAACACCAATGTGTTTGACAAAAGTTGCATGGAAAATTTTATCAAAAATTGATTATAACGATTCTGTTTTGTGGGTGGCCTTTGCAACAGTTCAAGAAAAAGATAAATTATCGGATGTCACTGTTGCCATCACAACGAAATTGATCCTATTGATACTTGATAGTGACAACGAATTAGCAACCGTTCTTCCTATATCACGAACAAGAGCTATTATCGATCCAAACGATGCCACAAGTCTTATATTGGCCAATAAAAGTGATGATGATAGCCAACAAGTATGTATAAAAAACACTTCATTCAATTATTTGGGACATTATTTATCTATGTTTATATTTCAGTTCCATCGACAACGAATTTTACAGTATTTATCAAAAACACAGGTGCAATCGACGGAAAGTCGTTCAAAGCTCGAAGAAGACAACCAAATGAACTATGTGAATGACGCAAAACGAAATGTTCTATTATGCAAAGATTCACAGACTGCCATTTATTTGGCAAAATATATTCAATTTTTGTACTATTGTCTAAATACCAACCAAAATTAGCCAAAGCGATTGATTTTTCCATTAAATTACCGAAAAAACTTCGAAATAAATATTATAACAAAACATTTTTTAATTAAAAAAAATCCAAAAGATTATCACACGCACGTGTACAATAAAAACGTTTGTGTTTTAATTAAAATCTTGATAAAGTATCGTATAAATCCAAGCGACGTTGATTCGATACAGGAATTTGTTCTCTGACTTTCTGTACCAGACTTGTATCTGCAAAAATTGAAAATAAATTGACTTCAAGCAAAATGTAGACGAATTTTTGGATTGATAATTACCAAGATCGGCAACAATTGTCTCTTCACCATCTTGTGCTGATTTAACAATTTTCCCCCATGGATCGACGATTGTTGAATGACCCCAAGCCACATAATTCGATGTGGTGTCTCTAGCTGTTGAAATTGAATAAAAAATTACACATTTTTTACAATATCCATGTTTTATCGACAATTTAACCTGGCGAAACAGTTGCCACAAATAGTTGTAAATCATTGGCACGAGCTCGTTGCAATAGTTCCCAGTGTAATGGGCCTGTGGTCATATTGAAAGCAGCCGGATAGAGCAGCATATGACAGCCTAAAATTTAAATTTCATTTCTCACATCATAACGTTTTTCGTGCATTAATTTCAAACAAATACCATTGTTGCGATAAATACGGGCCAATTCTTCGAAGCGAATGTCATAACAAATACCGATTCCAATTTTAAAGCCATTTAAATTAAGATAAGCCAGCTTATTACCGGCCGACAATGTTTCCGATTCCTTAAAGCGAATGCCACCTTTAACATCGATGTCGAATAAATGGATCTAAATTATACGGATAATTTTGTCTAATTGAAAAATGTGCTTGATTCCGAAGTGATTCACATACTTTACGATATTTTGCAATTAAATCACCCGATGGAGACCAAACGGTGCAAGTGTTATAAAGTTTATTATCGCTATTATCACGTTCAGGGATAGTGCCGCCAATGAGATATACACTTAACTCTTTTGCAACGTTTGATAAAGCCTTGCACGTATCACCGTCGGGAATGTTTTCGGCATACTCGTTAAAAAATGATGTTCCATACGGTGAATTGAAGCATTCGGGCAATGCAACGACTGTTGGTTTATCTTTTTCGACCGTTTTGCGAATACTGTTACATGCATGTGCAATATTCTCCAGTTTTGATTTACCAATTTTCAATTGAATCAATGAAATTCGCAATGCTAAAATGAAATCAAAACATTCATTTTCGAATTAAATGTTTTATGAATTGATGTTGTGAAAATACCTTTGCTTAGACTTTCCATATTTAAAAGAAAAATAAATAAATGGCCAGTTAAACAAACGATTATGAACTTTAGAAAAATAACAAAAAAAAGAAACAATTTTTTTCCGTGATAATGCTAATCAGTGATGATATCAAAGACAAATACAAACACGGAAATTAAATTTAAAAAAAAAAAGTGACTTGACATTTAGTTGCTCAGTGTGATGGCGCCACCTACAAATGTTTTACTAAAGCGGTACCAGAATGACAGAATTGACACACACACACATTGACTTCGGAATAACAACTAACTGGCAATATTATATCGATAGCACGTGTCGCTGTGCTCATACATTACCGCAGTTTAAAGATCCGCATTTTTTTATGTTTTTATTAAATTATTGTGATCAATACAAGAAATAATTCAATCAACAAAATGAAACCGATCGATGATAGTGTTGAACAAATGGAGAATCTCCGTGTTAATTTACTGACGCAGGAGATAAAATTTGCCAAAATGTTGGCAGGCAATACGTTCGATGGTGCTCTCAAGGAAAAACACATTGATAAATTGGCCATTTGGCTGAAAAACCGAGCAGCCTGTACAGAAGGTATGAATAAAATGAAAACAAACGCTATGTTTACTGCGATTTTACATAAATATTCAACAACAGAAAAAAACCGACCCAATTTTTTTCTTTGGTTTTATTCCATTTTTACCAGCGTTTACCGATAAAGACTGTATGCGAATTTGGAAGGGATTGTTTTACAGCATGTGGATGTCGGACAAACCAATACCACAAGAAAATTTGGCAAACAAAATCTCCGCATTACTACATACCTTCGATCGATTTGAAGTAAGCCTTCAGTTCTTTGCCGCGTTTTTAAGAACCATGGCAAATGAATGGAATGGCATCGATCAATGGCGTATCGATAAGTTCTTGATGTTGGTACGTAAAGTAACGCGTGAATTATTGCGCAGCGTACAAAATAATAAATGGAACGATGAATCGATCGAAAAATTGAATGAAACTCTTAAGAAAACGGTGCTCGGTTCAGAATTTCATGTGCCAAGAGGTTTATTCATGCATTTAACTGAACTTTACTTCGAGGAAGTAGCCAAGGTTTCAGCGGGCGAATTGGCAACCGAAGTGATAACAAAACTTTTGAAACCATTCATGTTCTACGTTGCATCACAGAGTGATTACAAACTCATTCAGTTTGTGGTTCGTTCGGTTTTCAATCATCTTCTGTTTCAAAGTGAAAGTGGTCGCGAATACAAAGAAAAATTCGATGCATGGAAATCGGTTAGTATGAATATTTTCAACATTTTAAAGAGAAATTAGCGCAATTTTTCCATTAATTTCATTGTGAATTGTATTCAATAGATGAATTTCCCGGGAAAAACGATCAACGATTTGGTTCGTGAGGAATTGGACGAAAATGGCGAAGACGAAAATGGTGTAGAGGAAAATGGCGAAGAAGACGGTGATGACGATATCGATGGTAGGATTTGAAAATTTGAAACAAACACACAAAAATACAGATCTTTTTTCTATTATTTCGGTTTCAGAACAAATCCAAGAAACCGGTGCACTAGATCCTCGAGCTGGCCGAGTCGATGTTGTAATGCATGAGATCAAATTTGATCCGCTTGAAATTGTTGGCCACCTTGAAGAGTTAAAATACAAAAAATTCACGCGTGTACGAAATCGTAAATGCATCGATCGCATTGTAACAACGTACCGAAAATTCGCTGGCGGTGTATTTCCAATCGGTATTCAAAAATTAAAAGTCAACAGAGATGAGTTGGAGCTTCCAGATGTTGATGAAAAGGCCGAAGAACTAGCTGAATTTGAAAATGAATTATACGGCAAACAACGTGAATTGAAACAATTGAATAAGCGAAAACGAAAGAAGATCGTTTCGGATGCGGATTTATTCAATGAATTTCAATTAAAATCGAATAAAGTGGCGAAAATTAAGCACGAGGCCAATGTATGGAAAGAAGAAGATATGAGTGTTGAGAATTCGGTATGTACACCGGCAAAGAAAGCGAAAAAAGCGAAAAAAGCGAAAAAGAATGAATTGAAAGAATCCAATGACAATATCGCTGAGACGCCAAAAAAATTAAAAAAACATAAGATTTCAGACTGGGAAAAGCCATTGGAGAACGGTGAAGTGGAATATTTCATTCCATCGAAAAAACAACAATTGAATGGTGTTCCACGAGTGACAAAAACTGTTGACACGACTACAGCACATGTAATCACACCAGCCGGTAATGATAAATCGAAAGTTAATGGCACCGAAGAAAATGTAACGCCGAAAAAATCATCGCATTTAAAAGTGAAAAAATCAAAACCAAACAATGAAACAACACCAATTGTCGCCAATGTTATTTCAACCGAAATGACACCGGAATCAATCAAATCACCGAAAACATTGAAATCAACGGAAAAAAAGGTAAAATCCACTTCGAAGTTAGCACAATCAAAAACCTCGACTCCAAATATTTTTGTAGACAAAGCCGCCGGCACGCCATCATCCGAAAAAAGGGTCAAAATCGCATTAAAAATGAATAAATCACAAGAGGTTATCGAATACATACGACAACTTAAACAATCGCCGTATCCATATGATTCGGCTAAAAAACCTTCGAAAGGTGTTTTAAAACCGAACTTAGCGCCAAGCCCAATTAATCCATTTTATAAACGATTAATTGGCTTAGAATAGTTATAAAATTCATTAAATTTATGTAATTCACCGAAACAAAAATGAAATATTCAATAAATTTTATTACAACGATGAGAAGACAAAAATAAATCAAATCGCGGTGTTTAGTTGTAAATGGTTTTTTTTATAGATTTGCTCCTTTTTAGACCAACCGCGTTAAATTTGTTTCGCTAAATGTGAATTTATTGAGAATTTAACGAAGAAAAATGTGTCGGTTTTTTTTATTGTAAAAACCAAACAAGGGATGAAGAATACATATGGATGCGAATTGATTTGACGGATTTGACAATTAATGGTAGATAATAAACATCAACAGCGAAGAAATGTGTCCAGGGCGAATGAAAGGAAAACCAGTAACTTCAAAAGTCGTAAATATTTACTCCGAAATTATATCAAATTATCAAATTCATTTGATTTGTCATAAACGCTTGTTAGGTAAAAATGGAATATCAGCGGTAACATTATTTTCGAATTCATGTATATGTTATATGCATCCCTACCAACACTTAAAGGTAAAAAATCCATTCGATTGAATCGAGAATAATTTCATATTACCGTTTATTATTTAGCCGAATTAAGTAAGAATCTTCACTATTACGAATCCATACATGCGGATGATATCGTTTATAGAGTATTCAATGTTTCAAAAGAAGTCGAATTTAATGCCTTTGGTCAGCATTTTCGAATTATTTTGCATCCACAACGTGATATATTACATAGAAATTTCAAAGCATACTCTGTGGACGCTCTTGGAAATAAGACAATCATTGACTGCGGTAAGTTCATATGTATTTGAATTATTTAAGTTTTTTTTTGTCTCGAGAACATCAATTTATTGGTAATTGAAATATTACAGATCATGACACATTGTATACTGGCCAAGTGTTTGGCGAACCCGAATCGTCAGTCAGAGCACAGATAGAAGATGAAATTATAACGGCAAAAATTGATTTACTAGATGAAACGTATCATATTGAGGTAAATATTGATTTTTTTGAGATGGTGCATGTGTTGGGCAATGAAAATTCTAATACTCAATTTCATTTATTATCGCAATTTAGCCATCCTGGAGACACTTACCACATTTATCCGATCGTCATATGATTGCTTATAAGCAGTCTGATGTTAAATTAAGTTGGATGTCAAACGAAACAGCGAAAAAGAAATTTGGTCACCGCACATGGATTTGGCCATAATTGGGGCTCAAATCATGATAATGCATATCACCGATGTGCATATCCAGCTCTTCTTTAATGAATTCATATGTTAAAAATGAGGTACATATTCAACAAAAAAAAAAACACATTCTCAAACATATTTCATGGATATCTTCCATACTGTATGTATTTTTGACAACATAGATATTCTCCTTGTGCGCAATACAATCCATACGACAAGTACTGCTAGCCAAATCGCAACGCTGTTTCTCAGAACCGGAATAATTCCGTGGTAATTATAAGCATTCAATTGTATTTTGTTCAATTTGAATAAATACTTTTTGTATACTGACTTTTTGTAGTGGCAATAATTGAAAAAAAAAAATGTAGGCAAAAAGACAACTTTTTCTAATCGGAAATATGTTCACTCTTTGAAAGAATTTTTAAATATGTTTTCCATAAAATAAAACTTTAACATTTGATCGTTATTTTTTATATAAAATTCGAAATCTATAGATATCAAAGATAACAAGTAGATAAGTTGTGAATTTGGCTGAAAAAATCGTGCGTTATATACAAAGGGTAAGAATTAAAAAAAGGAATAATCCATGAGGAAGAAAAGAAGTTTTGTTTAATGTTTTTTTGTCTAGTTTTTTTTGAAACTATGTATTTATAAACTAAAGTTCGAAAAAAAAATTGAAATATTTATCCAATTTTATGTAATACATAACTGTAATATAATTTAACAATGTATAATGAGTGTAAGTTTTTTGTAAGTTATTCATAATATTTGAATGATGTCTTTACCTAAAATGACAAACAGAAAAATGGAAAATATAGTAGAATATTAAAGAGATATCTCAAAAGAAGGAAAATTACAGATAAATAAAAATGAATTTATTAATTTCTATGTAGTTTAATCAATGATCACAAATTAATGATGTCCTTACCATCGATGTAGGATTCGTGCTCTTTGCAGTATGAAATCAAGTCAGCCCAATTCGGATCAGCTTCGAGTAAGTTGACTTTGCCGAAAATGACCACCAACATGCTGAACAAAAATAAATAATAAAAGAATAAATACGACGTTTAATAACGAAATTGTTGGTTTCGTATTTTACCGAGCACGTGACAAAGCGGTGTTAAGACGTTTTGGACAATAAATGAATTGCAGTGCTTTTTCTTTGCCCGATGTCTTAACAGCTGAAATAATGATGACTTTTTTTTCTTCGCCTTGAAATTCTTCAACAGTTCCGACAGTTATTCTCTTCATGTGTTTCAATTCTTTCCGTAAAGCCATCACTTGTGCATGATATGGTGTGATGACACCAATGTCTTCTTGGTCTATGCGTCGATCCAATAGTTTTGGGATAAACGCTTTTATCTGTGAAATAGATGACAATCATGAGCAACTCTGATCGGTTATTTAAATCTCTATTTAAACATAAACTTACAATGGCCACCTCTTCCTTATTTTCCCATGATTTTTTGTTCTCCATGCGCTCATTTCGTCCTGTAATTTTTTCAAAATAAATGCTTGAAAAATTCATTTTTCAAAATTTCAAAATTTAAAATTCGGGCTTACCTTCAACGTTGATAAAGCAGTAGCCGAATGGATTTTTGTCTTCGGAATCGGTACGTTTGGGCAGGATTCTCGTTAAATCACGCAATTTCATCGCTTCAGGACTTGAATCGCCACACAATGTTGCAATTAATAGCGAATCATAAAACTGCTTGTTATAGAATTTCATGATGCTTGGCAGCGCACGATAATTGCGTCTAAGTTTTGTCACTAGCCTGTGATCGTATCCATTGTTATCCTCTCCCTGGAATTTATTATTCAAATATTACTCGTATAAATTTTAATTTAATATTCTGATATTTTCAATCTTAACTCACCGGTACTACACCGTCCATCGTCTTGTATGTGTTAATGTATCGTTCCAACATCGATCTCACCTAAAATTATTAAAAATTGTAAAAATTATTAGAAAAATATTGGAGAATAGTTAGGAGATATCAACCTGAGAGGGAATTGCAAAGGAAAAAATGAAATCGCTTGAACACACAACTTTGGTTAAATTTGAGATTTGGTAGTTGTTTAAAAAAGTTTCCAATGGCTATTGATGCATGTTCTTACCAAATCGTAATGCTTTGCATGGTTGCTTAATGTGATTGGGGGTAACTGCAATGGATCGCCTGCCATTATGACTTGACCGTGCTCCAAGTTCACAAACGAAATAGGAATTAAGGCCTCACACTCGTTGCATTGGGCCGCCTCGTCGATGAGTACATGTGAAAAATATCCGTTACTGTATTCACTGAAATGAAAAGACAATTAGTTTTTGCTCGTTAATTACTCTTTTGTATAAAAAAAAAAATTTCAAAATAAAACTCAATTCAATTTACCTTCCAAACATGACGCCAAGACCAACACAAGTACCAACGATGATCTTGAATTTCTTCAAATATTCCAAATTGCAATTACGACGAATATCTGCTGGTATATCATCATAGTCGTCGTGTGTATTGTCTTCTTCGATATTTGCATTCATCACGGAAGCACTCACTTTGTACAGATCCTTTGGTAAAATTTTTCGATCCAAAACTGCGTTGCTGACCAATCGTAACATATTGGTAGCCGTTTCTGGATGTTGTGCTATCAAACGACTTGCAACAAGGTTTGCCGCATTATTCGATTGTGTTGCCACCAAAATCTTACAGTCTGTTAAATGTGTGTATACCTGTAGAATTATTTCAATTAAGGTTGATGTCTTTCCGGTGCCCTGGCATTTGAAAAATGCAATAAAATTATTCTTAAGATTTTAAAAAAATAAATTACAAAATGAGAATGATTACCGGTGGACCGTATACGATGAATGGATAAGGTCGACATTCCGCTCGCAATGCGCTGGCAACAGCAAACTTCTGTTCCGTGTTCAAATTATCCTTAAACCATGGTACTTCATTGTCGGCTATCATCAACTTGTCGTCCTTCAATTCAGCGTTGAGCTGCAAATTGTTAGCTAACGTTAATTCCGTTGGAAACAAAAACGATTCGCTCAGTTTGCGTTTTGCGTAGTCTATAGCAGCGTGTTTTCTCTGATATATCGTTCGACTGTAGAAAAATTGGGCACCATATGTATCGCCAAGTATGTAGTCCTCTTCAAAATCTTGTTTGAACTTTAAAATGAATCGATCTTCACGTACACGTTCAACAATGCCGCGATAGTATCGCATACTCTTCTTTGAATTGCGCACTTCAATTTTATCACCAATTGAAATTGATGGCCGAAGTTCCTTTATTTTTGAGCACATAATTGAGAATCGCTTCTTTCTTTCCGGTTCAATCCAAACCTCACGGGACTTGTATTTTTTGAATGATGCTTTCATTTCGATTTCCTCCAAAAAAATGAGAGCGTGAAAGCGTTTCTTGTAATTTTTGTAACTGAGCGCTCTTGGCACGAGTTCGTCCAATTTTTTTTTTGATGCGATGCACATTCTTTGACATGAGAACATCAAAAAGACCGCATGGCAAATCGTAGTATTCTTCATTTGGTTCTTTATTTCGATAACCTTCAAATTGCATGTTCGGTTCATCTTGTAATATTTCCGTATCGGTATCAATGTTATTTACAGCCGAACCATGTTCTGTACCATCCGTCTCATCACCGAACCAAAGCTTAACGTCTTTTTCATTTTCTTCATTTTCAACGAATTTTTTTATGTTTTCACAGCGCCATTCGTATTTTGTTTTTCCAATGTCGTATTCACCTTCGATCGCAACGAATTTCACTTCATCACCTACTTTTGCTTCCCAATCAATTCCAAGATCACTTTGTTCTGGATAGAAAACGATTTCCTCGTTGACGACACCAAAACTCTTAGTCAACATCGTAATTTGTCCCGTTTCGATGCGAAGATCTTCCCACGGTTGAATTTTATACACTCTCGGTGGATCTTCTCTTATGATGTACAGTCTAACACGATCACCTTTCCAAGGACTGTTTTTTTAAATATTTTTATAGAAAAAAAACAAATCATTTTTTTATCGATGCTATATACAATTACTGCAATTGAATCTATACCTGAAGTCACATTCCACATCATTCAATAATATTTCGACATCTTTATATACATCCGAGCCTGAGGTTGTAATCAATTTATCATCCGTTCTTCCTTCGATGAAGGCATTGATTTCATGGTATAGTCCACGTACCATTTTTTTTCACAAAAATTAAACTTTAACGAATCACAAAATGATAAAATTCAGAGCACCGTATACTCTCAACCACTTGAGTTGATGTTCAAACTTATAATGAATAACTCGGATCAAAAGATTGTAAGCATGCAAGGCAATATTTAAAACAGGATCACCGCATCAGCGTACGGTCTATACGAAATTCAACTTAACGTCACGACAGTTCTTATAAGCATATTAAGTTACACAGTGACGCATGGAGAAGATTAAAAAAAAACTACCAAACTCAGCATATTTTCTCTAATGAACGCTAGCTGCATGCATACAGTTCATGTGGATTCATTTTGTTTACTTTGTCAAGTGGCATTTCTCTTTCTCTGCGTCTCTCTGAATGTGTAAATAATCTGCCGCATTTTTTATTGTGTTTTTTTATGACAATTAACGTTCTGAGAACAAAACGTTAGGTAGTGTATTAAATAAACAGTCGCGTTTCGACGATCATTTAAGAAAAATACTAAACTAATCAATTTTATATATAAATATAGTTTATTCGTTAACTTTAACGTTTATTCTTAGCGGCATGACCAACAATTTGAATTTGTTTATTTTCTTTTCGCACTAAAAAAAAATCGTAGCGGAATGGTTTTTGTTATAAGAAAATGTTCCCGTTTTAAGACTTAGTTCATTCAATGAGCGACGATTTATTCTACGAAAATATTCTTATAAAAGAAATGACTTACGAAGAAAATATTGAATTGTAGTGTACATAACGTATTTCTGAACATAGTTTTTGACTTAATGTGTCTTTATGTCCTGTGGCTACATCATAATAATTTGTTGTCAATTTTCATAGTCAACCAATACAAATAAATTACCAATATTTACGATAATCGTTCTGAAAGTACAAGTTAAATATCAAATTTATTATGCGCTTGGGATTATTATTTGTGTGCGATCATACCGTGCGAGGCTGAACTTCCGTTCGGGAGTTTTTTTTTTGATAAAACCGAGACGAGATTTTCTATCGTGAGAAACATCCATTGTGTTAGCTTAAATTCACTGGCGCTATTTGTACACAAGGCATACCGACAGCGATTTTAAGAGTTAATTCCAAGCGAAATGTTCGGAATGTAGAACAGTAGACCCATTGATTTGAGCATATTGTTTATGTAAATAATTCAAAAGGTCTCAAGTATGAATCTTGAATTAGTTTGCATTTAGAAGAAAATATAAACCAAGAAATTAGACCGAAAAAATTAAACCTAACGGCTTGCAATTAAGATAAAATATGTCGAATGTAAAAGTATTCCCTTTCAAAGAGATTTATTGTACAGACTAATCCAATGGTGAAATTACTCCAATTTATCTTCAGTTGCACCAGACTGTAAAATCGATGGGATTTTTAATCAATTCCAATTTTCGAAAATTTGTAAAAAATCCTCAGTATTTAAACAATACTTGCAATAATTTGTTTGAGTTCATTTTATAAGCTGTAGTCGAGTTCGCAGAGCAAAACAGACAGTGCAAAGCATAGTAGCTATTTTGTGAGAGAAACAATACATACACAAGCATCACATGTACGGTTAAAGTTATGACTACTTATCATGAAAAGAAAACTAAGTAATGCGCACTTAGCATATTTTGCTCTGTTTGTGCGTATCTTTTCTCTCATTCGACTGTCTGTTTTGGTGACAACTAATGAATTCAAACAAATCATTTCAAGTATTATTTTAATAATTTAAATGCAGATTTTTTTTCAAAATGAATACTTTTGAGTGATTAATTCCATCGATTTTACAGTGCACAGTCGTACAATTTTGGAAAAAAAAAAATTAAATATGTGTACAAAAAGAACAATCAAATGGTTTAAAAAATGTTAAATTTTCATTTCATTCATGCAATTCCCTTTTTTCTCTCGTAAAATGTAAAAATAAACCGAAGCGATAGTAACAAAAACTGGAACGGTTTAAAATTCAAAACCAAACAAGGGATAAAGAATGCATGTGTGACTGATTTGACAGTTGATGGTTGATGGCAATCATGCGCACATCATAGACATTGATATTCATGTACCAATATTTGTTTTTATGGAACTATCCCAGCGATGGAATGTATACAGTGTCCAGAGCGCATGACAGAAAAATCAGAAACTTCAAAATTCGTAAATATTTCCTTCGAAATAGCACAAATTTATCAAATTCATTTAATTTGCACAGAAATTCAACTAGCTTTATAGGAACGATATATTCAACGGAAATAATAGGATTTTTAGTTTCTCATTGTCTCTGCAAAAAAAAAAAAAGAAGAATATGTGAATTAAGTTGTTAATTGAAATAAGATATTCGAAAATGAGAGAAAGTGTTTTATTGAACACTTGCATACAGCAGTTCTGTTTAAGATACGGAATGTTGTGAGCAACCACCGAACAAAAAAATCGATATTTGCATTACCATTCATCCGAACGATTTTAAATAACACACAATCACTTCTCACATCACAACAAAACTAAGAAATAAATCGAAACAAAACATTGGTTGAGTAAAATGAATATTATCAGCAGTATCTACATTACTTTTGTACTCATATCGGCATCCCTACCTACATTTAAAGGTACACTTTGAATCGAATCACCCAGCAGCCAAAGTAAACAGAGAGAATAAATTTAAATTGATTTTTTTTCGTTTCATTATTTAGCTGAGTTAAGTAAAAATCTTCACTATTACGAATCCATACATGCGGATGATGTTGTTCATAGAGTGGTTAAACGAGGCACAAAACAAAGTTATCATCCGTTTAATGTTATAAAAGAAGTCGAATTTAAGGCCCTGGGTCGGCATTTTCGAATTATTTTGCATCCACAACGTGATGTGTTACATAGTAATTTTAAAGCATATTCTGTGGACGGTGAAGGAAATGAGAAAGTCGTTCATTTCGGTGAGTACGGTATAATATGGTGGTTCATTCATGGCTTCCATACACAAAAAAAAAAAAAAAAACTTGACACCTTTTTGTTCATTACAGATCATGACAGTTTGTATACTGGCCGAGTATTTGGCGAAACAGAGTCATCAGTTAGAGCTCATATAGAAGATAAAATTATAACGGCAAACATTATTTTACCAGATGAAACGTATCACATTGAGGTATTGATTATAAAGTGCATGTAATGGTGAAAATGCAGCCCCACTCAATTGTTCTATTGTAAATTTTAGCCATCTTGGAGACATATACCACATTTATCCGATCGTCATATGGTTGCTTACAAACAGTCTGATGTTAAATTAAGTTGGATGACAAACGAAACAGCGAATAATTTTCCAAAAGTATGCGGATATGTGAAAGAAGGACGATCTGGTAAATAATTGACTAAAATCAAATCGAACTGTAAATTATAACATTAAACATTTGTTCGAATGATAATTACAGACGAAATTATCGAAACGGATGACCATGACTATAAATTGGATACGCCAACAAAAACAAATGAAAACACGAGCTTGTTATCCGATTACTTATTTAATAGTTCCAAACATAGACGGCACAAACGACAGGCCGACCAATATGAGTATACACCAACAAAAACTCGATGCCCATTACTTTTGGTGGCTGATTATCGATTTTTTCAAGAAATGGGCAGCGGAAATACGAAAACAACAATTAATTATCTTGTAAGTGAACAATGTACAAATTAAGATTTAATTGATTTATAAATAATCAATATTGGATTTAATATGCGTATATTTAATATAGATAAGTCTAATAGACCGTGTTCACAAGATATATAATGACACTGTTTGGCAAGATAGAGCGGTAAGCACTTTCCCTTCCCCCGGCTGTTGAATGCGATTGAGTAATTCAATAATTTTTTTTTACATTGTTTGCATTTAAATAGGATCAAGAAGGATTTCGTGGTATGGGTTTTGTGATAAAGAAAATTGTCGTTCACTCGGAACCGACTCGAGTTCGTGGCGGCGAAGCGCATTATAATATGGTTCGCGAAAAATGGGATGTGAGAAATTTATTGGAAGTATTCTCACGTGAATACAGTCACAAAGATTTTTGTTTAGCTCATCTATTTACGGATCTTAAATTTGAAGGTGGCATCCTTGGTTTGGCATACGTTGGATCGCCACGTCGTAATTCAGTCGGTGGCATTTGTACACCGGAATATTTTAAAAATGGATATACATTGTACCTAAACTCTGGTTTAAGTAGTTCAAGAAATCATTACGGACAACGGGTTATAACGCGAGAAGCTGATTTGGTCACCGCACATGAATTTGGCCATAATTGGGGTTCAGAACACGATCCCGACATTCCGGAATGTTCGCCAAGCGCTTCTCAGGGCGGTAGTTATTTAATGTACACATATTCAGTTAGCGGATACGATGTTAACAATAAGGTAAGCAATTCACAAATACAGTCGCCATCTCCACATATTCTATAGAAATATTCGGTTCTTTCTGTTGGACACATAGAAATTCTCCCCATGCTCATTACGATCTATACGAAAAGTATTGCAAGCCAAATCGGGACGCTGTTTCTCCGAACCAGAAGAATCATTCTGTGGTATGTACAAATGACAAAATTTAATTAAGAACGATTCATTTCTGTTTGAAAAATATATTTCAAATTTTCTCTCTCATAGTTTTTGAACAAAAAAGAAACTATTTTCTTTTAAAATCAAAATTTAATCAATTAATAAAAAATTGTAGGTAATTTACGTGTCGAAGGTGATGAACAGTGCGATGCTGGTTTACTTGGAACCGAAGACAATGATGCATGTTGTGATAAAAACTGTAAATTACGTCGAAATCAAGGGGCCGTTTGTAGTGATAAAAATTCACCATGTTGTCAGAATTGCCAATACATGACGTCTGGTGTTAAGTGCAGAGAAGCACAGTATGCGACATGCGAACAGGAGGCCAGATGTTCGGGCGGTCAATCTGAATGCCCAAAATCACCGCCAATGGTAGATGGTACCACATGCCAAGAGCGAGGTCAATGTCGCAATGGAAAATGTATTCCATATTGTGAAACTCAGGGCTTACAAAGTTGTATGTGCGATATAATTCAGGATGCATGCAAACGATGTTGTCGCATGAGCATCAACGAAACATGCTTTCCCGTTGAACCGCCCGATATTCTGAGCGATGGTACACCATGCATTCAAGGCTTTTGTAACAAGGTAATAAAGTTATATAGCATTTAAATTGAACGCTTTCAAAAAAAAAAAGAAGAAAAAAAGCAATTATTATGCAGTAAAACTATTAATTAATTTACATTTTATTAAAATAATAATAAAAAAAATTGCATATTAATTTATGTCGTGGCAGGGTGTATGCGAGAAAAGCATTCAAGATGTGGTTGAACGTTTCTGGGATATAATCGAGGAAATCAACATAAATAAAGTGTTGAAATTTATGCGCGACAATATCGTCAGTAAGTAAACGTTTTCTCTCTCGCTCTCTATTCCGTTGTTTTTAAAGAAAAAATCCATTTTTTTTAATTCTACACGTAAATATTCAATATGAATGAACATTGAAAATAACACATGGTTTTATTGATGGTATTTTCAGTGTCAGTGGTTTTGTTGACGGCACTGTTTTGGATTCCGGCAAGCACAACTATCTCGTACGTTGACCGTAAAAAAAGACGTAATGAATCAAAGGAATATAAATGGAATAATTCATTGGATTTGATTCATCCAAGCGATAGACGACGTGTTATTCATATACGGTAAGAAAAAGCTCTAAACATCTAAATATAAATTGAACGATGTGACGTCATTTGTCTCCATTTTATTGATGTATTTTTTTCCCTATATAATTTATTTATACCTTTGACGTCTCTTTCTCATTCTCTCTCTTTCTTATATTCTATCTCCAAAAAGGGTTCCACGTCAAACCAAAACTATGGGCCGTATTTAATCGCATTGCCTGAACTTTCATTCATCTCGACCATGTAATTCATATGTACGATCGAAATTTGTATTATACACAAGTAATTATGTAAAAGACATATTGAGAAAAAACAAAAAAACAAAAGACCCAAGTGAAATAAATAAAGAAAAAAAAATCATTTCAAAACGCATCAATCTCTGTTTCTCTGTGTGAATCTTTCGTTCTCATTTAGAATGGCCTGTGGTGTTTGCTTGTTTATATCGCCAATTTAGCATTGCTGCATGCGAAAGATTTTCTGCTATTGGCTGACGCATGTGCAGTTGAACATTGATAACGTTATATTTCAGTGTAAAAACAGCATAATACCGTAAAACAAACGACGATGGCAACAACAACAACAACAGCAGCAAGGACTCATTATGCGAACACTTTCACTTTGTGTTTTCGTCACTTCAGCAATGTGACGCAAAACGAATGTTTACGTAGATTTTGAGCCACGAATCGAACACAGGTTATTTTCCATCAATATTTTCCTTGAGCATTTTCTAGCGTGAAATATAATAACCAATTATTTTTGGATCTCTTTCCCTCACTGTTTGTGATGTAAAAGGATTGTGTGTGCTTGTAACGCTATTCGAAATTATACGCATTACATGTTAGATATTTATATGCAAGATTTTGAAAACCATCAAGTGGAACATAAATTGGCATTGTTTTAAAATGCGGTGAATTTTTTTTTAATTATTCGAAGGATTTTCGGAAACAGCAATTTCTTTTGAATCGAAAATTTATTATTTAGCTTTAATGTTGGAAGCTTAACATTTAAAAGCTTATAATTCCCCCTACTCTATCTTATAAATAGTTGGATAAACGCTGAAAAATGGTTGCATTGAGCATTGAACGGATCGAAAGCATGCTTGAAGAAAGGTCAATTACTTTAGTTGAGACTGAGCTTTAAAAATTTTTTTTATATATAACGAATAGATCCAATTTATACGTTCACACATGCCCGAGAAATTACTAGCGATGATGACAGACATCTCTTTGTTTAGCGCATTAAATCTAATCCAAATAGTATACCGTATACAGTGTTCACTGTCTATAATGAAAAATTGTTCCGTTTGAACTAGTAAGCGCCAATACAATGTAAAGTTTTTCGCAAAACTATGTGTAGTAACTCTCTTGCTCTTCCTCTTTTTTGTTCCTTTCTTCTTTTTTCCTCTCTGCTCCGCACACACATACACATGTCTATTTATTGTGTTGTATTTTGTGCTTTTTTTTCGCATGCCAAATATTCCATCTCACGTATTGCAGTGTTGTAATACGAGAAATACACATCCCTTGAACCCCCTCGCTCGTATGAATCGTACACGATTACATATAAGATCATCACATATATATATATTTATATTTACATTTGTATGAGCTCCATTGGAGTGCTTTAGTTCGGCTTTCCACTTTATATCGCTGTGTGAATATTTTCTTTTACGTGAGAAACGTCGACCGACTGAGAACGTATATCAAGTATAGTGTGAAGCGTGGCAAAAGCGGAAAAATCAATGAACAAGAAAAATACTCCATCGTATAACCAGTAAATTGTTTAACTTATTCTCAATATAAGAATTGTGAAAAGATTTTCGTTCTTTTTGGGATTCAGAATTTTTTTCTTCTTCTTCGTTTTCAGTGTGTGCTTTCGTTTCTCGCCATCATTGTGCATATATTTATTTGCATTTGTCACGTTAAATTTTCAGTGTGTGTAGTGGCTTGAAAATAAGCAACCCATTTTTTTTAGTTTTTCGTCTCATTGAGAGCAATAAACATTGCGGTCAGTGAGAGAATGAATTTCGTGGTGCCCCTCAATGGGATTGATTGTTTGGTTTGAATGATTGAATATGGTGAATACGATTGGATTATCTCGGATTAAAATGACACATTTTCGGTGTACATTTTCAATGTTTATTCATTTTTGGGTGGCTTAATACAATTCAGTTTTATTGTGTGTTTATTTTTTAAGTTTGAGCACTCGGCGTGAAAATTCATCCGAACAATATTGTGAATTAAAACAAATATAGCAAAATAGAGACAAGATAGAGAAAGAGAAAGAGGAACAGTGATAGAGAGAGAGAGAGTGTGAGTGGGATCGAGAGTGTGCGTGAAAGAGAAGAAAAAAATATACGCCAAAACAGAAAATGTAACAATAATATTCGGTCGACTCAGAAGACACGAGGAAAACTGCCATACAAACATAAGTAGTGTGCTAAGAAGTATTTTCCATGTAAGTGGTGTGTTTAACTGAAAACGACGTGTAGTGGTGTCTTTGTCATTCGGAGAGTTGGAGGTTTCTTTTTCATTGTACCTTTTCTCTCTAGTTCTTTTTATTGCTGCGTATTCCATGCATACCCCCGAATACCTGTGTGTATGCCCCGTTATAATATGTGATTTCATTGTATACGTACGATACGCTATGCGCACTATTTAATACTGGTAATATTTCATGCAATTGCGGATAAATAAAGGAGAACTTATTTAACAAATGACCCCTGCTAATTATGTACATCATGCACCAATAAAAAATGTGATTTTTGTACTGAGTGTGAGAAACGTGTATGATTTCTGATTTTACACACGTTTATTGCCGTACAGCCCCCATTTACGGCTCGATTCGATTGAAAATTGTTGTTTCGTTTTTTTTCTTCTTCCTTTTGTTTTTTGAATTAAAAAACAACAACGACAAAAAAATACGCTACTTTCATTTCATTTGGGTGATTTCATTTTTATTAGTTTGCTCTCGTTTTCACTGAAAATGTGTGCTTTTCTCGGAAAATAGTACCTGAAGGTATTAATTTGGTGTATGTGCTGTTTTTTGTTTTGTAAACTTATATTATGTAAGTGTTTGTTTGCATTTTTGAATCCGCTCTTTTTAATTGCAAGTGTACATTTTCCGCGTGTGTGTCCTATAATTAGAGCACGACGAAAAGTTTGCCTATTGATTTACAGTGGAACATTTCTTGATTATTCATTGGAATCGACAATGTTGTAATGTTGATTAGTTTACTTCGTCTTCTAATTTTCAATTTCGTCGAAAATGTGACGGTAAACTGTTTTAAAACTAGATAAGAAGAAATTAAAGACAGAGAACTTTTGGGGGAGTTTGCAATGGTGGCTTTCATTTGAAAATAGAGATGAAAAGATTTGAAAGAGAATAAAAGAAAGTTCTTGTGTGCGAGAGCAAAAAAAAGGAGAAAAGAATAAAGAATCGGATGAAAATCAATAAAATATACTTGCCAAACGAACGCCGAAAGTTACACACTCATCCCATGTGCTGTTCGCTTGATTTAATGTTCATATTTGAACAGTATTAATAACAGGCAAAGGCATACCCGAACCACACACACGAATTTTTAGCATACGACCACTTTAGTGCTATTCGGTTCTGCATCAGCAATAGCGTAGTGTGCCAGAGGAAAGCACGTTCATGTTTATCGTTGATTGTTTTAGTTGTTGTTGAATTATTTTCTATCTCTCTCTTTTCCTCTCTTCCTTCGTTTCGAATGTGTGTTGTGTTCCGAAGAAAAGCTTATATTGACTTTTAACGTTTAGCATTTTTGTGTGTGTGCATGTGTTTTGAAGTATTTTTCACTCATTTCTAAAGTTTACTCTCTTTCAGCCATAAAGTTGTTGTGAGTTTGACATAAACTTTGTGCAAGAAATATAAATAGATTGACTTAAGAATGATTTTATTTCTGTGAAATTGCGAGAAACTATAAGAAAACAATTCTATAGAGGCGAGAGAAAAAATATATACAAATTCTAAAGAAAAACCGAAAATCACTGTGTATAATAAAAAATAAAATTTAAACGAACCAAGCAACCAAAATAAATTTCGGTGTTTTTTGAAGAAAAATGCTGCTTGTGATTAAAACAAAGAAAAAGACATTCATATTAAAAATGTAAATAAAATCGACAAAGGAAGCCGTCACAATCTTCCCGTTCACATCAATCGCAACATCATAATCATGAAAATTCGCCTCAACGAATTGGCAGTGGATACCCTTAGCTATTTGTTCATGGTTCAATATATTTATTGGGTAAATGGCAGCGAATTTCCAGAACGTGAGTGCTGTGACACAATTTTCTCATCACCACCAAATCCGGAACCGGTACAACCGACCCGATCAACAATAGCATTTACAAATATTATACCATCGACGGCCATCAATTTGACTACAGGTAATGATAATTTAAAGAGAACGAACAATAAAACACAATGAGCTCCATTTTTATGGGCGAGAGATATTAACGTTTTATGGTTGATAGCATTTTAGAAAATCGATTTATTTGCTCACTGATATTTAAATAATGACCCTTTGAAGCAATGTACTAGAAACACATGAAACAAAACCAATTGAAAACAACCAATCTAATCAAATGGTCATCGGTATCGTTTACAGGGACACAGGGGAAACTATTAAGTTGCATTTTGGCGCGCCAATTATGTTTTGAGGATCCATCATGTTCAGCCATATTGGAAATCATACCACGTGTATGTGGTCCGGTTCCAGGTTAGATAATAAATGCCATTGAAATAAACGAGCCGGAATGTTGCTGACATTTAGTCGCTTTGTGCATTTTAAATCTATATATTCAATATAAATTTCTCTCTCATTGTGAAAAAAAGTGGCATGCAGTACAGTTACGGTGATAAAGTGTTTGGCTGCACTAAAAACGTTGCAAGCATTTCCATTTTTCCGTCCAACATGTCTATGCAAAGAGCCCGGTCTCGATCCTGAATGTAACAATTTCCAAGATTTTCTATTCGATCATCCGTGCGGTCTTGTGAGGAAAAAAGGTAATTTAAATACAAATATCGACAAATCAAACAACCATTTAATTAAATTTATTTCGAATTCATCGCAATTGAAATTCAATTATGCTGTCAATAACAATAACACATTGATATTCAATTATTACTGTGCATTTGTTAAATTGTGCATCAATTAAACGTATTTTTAGAAAAAGATCCATATCCAATCGATGCATTGCCCACGTGTAATCATGCATTAGCTGTATGCCAACAATCACCGAAATGCAGTGAACTTTTTGAAAGTTTTAAAACTCATTGCAAAGTTCGTGATAATAAATGTCGAATGGAAGACAAGTGAGCAAAAAAATTTTTTTTTTCTGAAGTTTCTATTTTAAGATAAATTTATCCAAATGTAATCACATTTGAAGAGTTTGTTTGAAAATATGTTTATCTTTTTCATTTTCTTTTCTTTAAACCAACTTTTTTTTTTGACGAATGCAGAAACTTATGCTATGAAGCATGGTCAAAATTAAGATTGTCGCCAATGTTTGGTTGCATTTGTCCAAATAACCACATAAAACGACGCTGTGATAGAATATTTTCAATGGTAAATCATAATCGCAACTTAAAAATTGATTATTAATTAATATTGATTGTCTTACAATCATTTTTCGATTATTTTAAATTAATTCGATTCTTTTCTTTTGTGATTCTCGCCTTAGGTAAATCATAATCCGTGTGTTGGTAAGTGATATATTATTACATTTTTTGCAATTGTTGACCTTATCGTTAGTTTTAAAGTGCACAACTTTAGTCATTCAATATAAAGATTCTTGAACGTCTTTTATTTATTTAAAAAAAAAAATAATTTCATTAACAATAGAGACGATCAAACGATTTTCAATTTTAGAGAAATAAATAAAACTAAATAAAACAATATTTCACTGATTATTCCAACTGATCTGAGATAAGCACGCGCACTTAGGATTCTTACTACTACTATATTTATTTATTTTTAGGAAACTGTTATGTATACACTTCTTGATTTGAATATTTAATTGAATTAAAAAAAAGAAATGTCAGTGCTCTCTGTAATTAAGTAAAAATCCACTCAAATGAGTGATAAGTGGATGTGAGTTCAACGAGCTTTTTTCCACACACACACATACACAAACACAATTACACACACACATACATGCACCATCGCACTTAATATGGTTTTGGATTGTTTCTTTTGCCGAATGTGTTCCTCATTTTTCTTCCTTTCAACATTGTATGTTTTCTGTGATCAGAGAAGATCAAATATATCGAAACGAAGCAAAAGCTGGTTACTTAAAGACGGCTAGAATGCATGTCAAAGCAAACAAACAGACAATGAATGATACAATTGGAAAATTGAATGAGCTGTTTTCTTCGATATACGAGCACGATGTCATCGTTAAAAGTTCTATTCTTTTATTTTATTCTTTTTGTTTCACCGAAGTTTTCTCTCGCGCAGAAATTTTTCTAATCCGGGCTTTAAATTTTCAACCGTTCGCCTAAATCACAATAATGAAAGCAAATACAAAAGCGCATTACTTGGCGCCAATTACAGACGTTCGACATTCTCCCCATTACAATTGTGTATAAATATCTATTGCATGCAATATGATCTTTTTTCTTCTTTTTTTTTTTCAAAAAAAAGGAAGAATGTTATTTTGTGAACACACATCCCAGAAGTTCGGCATGTGTCTATTCTTTTAAAATTCCAAAAAAAAAGTTCACATGATGAATAAAAATCCATCAAGCAAAAGTATTTTTTCCATCATTTCAATTGAAACCACAATATGACAACCACACATTTTATAGCAATAAATTTTGCTATAGCACGTTTTCAATTGTAAATGAATGATATGGATTCGTTTGAGCTGTTGTTTGCAGAAAACAAAGAACGAACCGAATACAATTTCAATCGTACAATGACTCTATTGTAAAATGTAGTAACAATAAATCTGAAAACAAACAAATCTCAATTTAGTTGACCATTATTACATTATTGAATTGATAATTTCTGTAGTTTAAGAGTAATTAATACAATAATTTCTAATTTGTTTTTCTTATTTCTGATTAAACACACAACCAAAAAATAATAATAATAAAGTAAAGAAAAGAAAAACCTATCTTTAACTGACATGGATACCACCACAACACCACCAACCACCTCATCGGCACGTATTCAAACTAAAAAAAAAACACGCACGAAGCTAAATGAAAGTTTTTTTATTTGTTCTGCACTTGCACCAACCTGTACTAGAAAAAAATGGTATTTCAAATGAGCAAAAAAAATATAGAGCACAGTCACTATATTACCAACACCACCACCATCACTACCATCACCACATGCTATTCCGCATCACATTCTTCCACTCGAATAATAAAAGATTTCAATTGGTGAGAATTCTAATTTGATATCATGCCAACGATCACACACATTATTTCATTTTCTTTATTTCGATTATAATCTATTAATCATTGCATGCCCATATTCAATTGTTTCACTCATAAATGTACGATTCTCAAAACATAGTATTCTATCTGTATTCATTTCGTTTTATTTTTCGTTCAGTTGCTTTGGCTCGGGATTTTTTTTTTTTTTTTTTTTTCAATTTTTTTGTTCGGTTGTCAAACAATTTAAAACTAATAAGTTTAATGGGTTTTATTTGTTCATTTGACAAAATTGGTGCCATTTATTTCTGTTGAATTAAAATTAAATGGAAATAAGTGGACAAAATTAGCAATTAACCACTCGATCTGAATGAACCAGAGATATTTTCGATTTTCGGAATTATAAACAATTGAATGCGTTTCGGGTGAAAAGTTGCAAGAACAAATGAATGTCCGAGAATGAAAGTGAGTCTTCTCCTCAGAATATGAAATGACTCGCTGAAATGACACTGTCACACGTCCGTACATATTTTGCATTTGCCATTTCAGCGGTCTTCCGTGTTTTTCATACGAACCTCCCATGTAAATGGTGAAAAAAATCGCGAAAAATGAAAAAAATTATTAAATTTTTTTTCTCCGATTTACAAATACCACTCAACTTTCTGTATCACCTGGTGAAATCAGAATGAAAAAAGTCACATTCCTTATCATCCAAATCACGGTCTGAATTTTTTTCACTTTGGGAGTGCTCTATACCGAGTCTCCGAGAGTTTCATATAAACTTGCTATGTGATGCCTATTGAATAACCTTATGTGTTGACATTTGATTTACATTCCAGTTCATGTTAAAGATTTTTTCTCAACTTTTCTGAAGGTATCTTTGTTTCTCGACGGTTCCTATATTTTCATCTCATAAAAAGCGTAAAAATTAGTCTTTTTTTTAACTGGTTACATCAAATCCAATTTTTTTTTATTCGTAACATCGTAAAAAAGCATTTTAAATTGAAACAGAAGAAAGAAAGTTTTCAAAATGTAATACCAAATTTTTTTTTATTGAAGTGTAACACGCCGTGTTTCATTTCAATAAAATTTGCGTTGGTACTACAATTCAATAAAATCTTTAAGATTTGTTACACATTTCAATGTTCTGAGGAGAAGACTCACTTTCATTCTCGGACATTCAAATGTCCTTTTCATTGTATCTTTTTCACCTGAAACCTATTGATCCAACATTTCGTTCGACTTTGAATTTGAATCAGAATTTTTTAATTGTAAATTTATTTTTAATTCTGGATAAATACGTTCATAGTTGAAAAGTGTATTTATGAGCCATAGACAAAGTATGAAAGATTATTCATCCAATTTTAATGAAATTTAATTTAAACATTTCTATTTTCATTTCGAAATTAATACGAACTCATTCGTTGTCGTTTCTTTTTATTTGATCATTTGAATTGCCGCCATTAAAGTATAGAAGTATTATTTTGAAATGCCACTGTTTTTTGATTGAGTGAACTTCGTATTTGAAGTTTAAGCAAATTTCTATTTATTTGAATCAATTATTGCTTCTCACGAAAAAATCCGCAAATTTTTCATTTTCTTTTTTTATTTTCAAATTTATTCATTTCTGAATATGTAAAACAAACATTCATTTCAATTTGAATTCAATTTTAAAATGAGCACATTGCGAAATTTAGTTTCATTTATATATTGTGACCGTACGAAATGTGTTTCAATGCTTATTTACAGCTCATTCGATGTCATTGAATCATTTTACCGAACAAATTTTCGATGACGCTATAATCGACAACAAAATTACCGCCATCAGTGCAAAAGATATGAAAAATCATCATCATGATTTTTTGTATCCATATAATTTAACGGTATTTCGAACAATGCCAACATTGGACAATGTTCGCTTTTCACCTGGCACCGTTGCCGAAAAATTTGAAAACAGTAAGTAAACCGAAATGCAAACACCACATTCAAATTGATATTAACTGATTTTTCTTTGTGGCGGCGATGGCGGTTAGGTTTGTCCAGTTTTTCGTTGGCCAAAAATATTGATGCGCTGCAAATCACTTGTGATTCAGTTGATCAAATTTGTAAAAGAAATGCCATGTGTTCAGAAGCATTGAAGCCGGTTATAGAATACTGTGACTTCCATAAGTGCAATCAAAATGCATGCTTGGATGCGCTCCAATCATTTTATCGACTATCCAATGAGGATTTTACATTGGATATTGCATTTTGTGTGTGCAAGTAAGTGAAATTTTAGAGTTTCCATGGACGATTTCGATTTGAATCAATGATGGATTTGTTTGTTTGATTTGATACAGTAAAATACCGCATCATAGTGACTCGTGCCTGAGAGCGCAGGAGAAATTACATCCAAGATGTGCTAAAAGTTCGGATTTGATTGATATGGCCATATTGAATAGTGGCGGCGGTGGCGGTGATGGCAATGCTTATTCATCTGTTCAACCAGCATGTCATACGGTTGCCGAGGTGTGTCGAGCCGATGCAAGTTGCAGGTAAACAATTTCGAAAGAATTTCCTCTATAAAAAGATGGATTCAATCCAAGAAATATCCAATAAACGAACAAAAAAAACCACATATGATTAGGTCTCGTCTCGAGCAATATGAACAAGCGTGTGCAATAGATAGTTCAACATTAAAATGTGCTGGCCATCCGAGTGCATGCCGAACAGCGATATTGGGCATTCTAGGTACGCCATTGCGGGTAACATGTTCGTGCCATAACACAGATTTAGTTTACGAATGCATGGGATGGTATCGCCTTCTCTGGTTAAATACATGTGTTGGTAAGCTTTTGTAATTTTAAATTAAAATTTAATTTGATGTAAATTGATGCAGAAACATGAGATTCAAAACCATCACCATCGACAACATAATGATATTGTTTCTATTTGTAGCCGAAGCACAATTAGACTTCCATTTGAAACGTTTTAATGAAGTGAGCGTTTCGATGGTATCGAATCCAGAAAATAATGTTGATATAGTGAGTAGCAGTACATCAAAAGCAGTAATACGAACTACATCAACAACCCTAGCGACAACAACAATACTTCATAAAAAAACAATGGATAATCGGGTAAAAGTGAGAAAATACCATTCACCTGTTCTTTGTCAACTGATTTTAATTAATCAACTAAAACATATTATCATTCCTTTTTTGTATTTGTATAGTTTCAAAAAATAAACGTAATCCAATCGACAACACCAATGCCGTTTGTTGTTTTGGGAAAAGTGCTGGTTAGCACTCAACAGTCCGTTATTCCGGAAAAGTTTGATAGTCAAACAAACGAAAATGTATTGCCACAAAAGACAATTGATTATAATAGCATTGCGGAGGAGTTTATCGATCAAAATGACACCGTCATCGATTTGATCATGCAAACTCAATTGAAAACCGAGCCGATTACAACACCGGAACCAAGTAAATACACATTTCCATAACACATATTTTCTTAATGTAATTATTGGTCTTTCGTTATGTTGTTATTGTGTTTGTTTTGTTCAAATAGGGTTTTGTATCGTTCAAAGGCCACGTCAATCTGATCAGTTAATATCAGTGAATAATGCGCGAAGGGTTTGTATTACTTTGAGTGCAAACGATTCTTTCTCTTTTTTTTTGCTCATTTAACTTTATCCTATTTATATTGTAGATATACTCATTAGATGACGCCGAATGCAGTGAACTTTGTTTTTGTACGGATTCATTGGTACTAACGTGTCATGCATTATGCGTTCCGATTGCACCATGTCGAACAGCGTTGGCATTTTATAGCCATGCATCACCAGCATATCAGGCATTCCGAGGCCGTTGTCTTTGTTATTCTGGCAAATTTATATGCATGAGACCGCCACATGGTGAATATACATTACCAGGTAAGTGTGTAATAATGTGTTTATCATTTTATTGTTTCGTTTCGGTCACAACCAATCATATCATATCGATACATCTTCAATGAATTAATGACCATGACCCATTGAATTGAACAATTCCAGGTGGTATTTTCCTATTGTTAGGCTATAGTTCGATGGATGAAGAGTTACTGAGAGCATACACAAACTTGGGAATTCAAGATACCATTAGAGCCTTTCAGCAGTATATCTACAATCATATTGATAATCAAGTAGGCTTTCATTTATTATTATGTCAACGTTGCTTTGGTTTCTTTTCACTTTATTTTTTTATTCATTTTTTTTTCGAAACTGAAAAATGAGAAGAGAAAAAAAACTTAAGATTTCGATTTTTATTCCAGTCAACATGCGTATTATCAGCATTGAATTTAACCGATGAGAACACAATTATCTCTGTTAGATTACAAAATTATTCAAATGCAACTCCTATGGAAGCGTTTGATGCTCTCAAGGTAATGAGTCATCATGCAAACATTTGAATTATTTTTTTTTCTAAATAAAACAAATCTTCTTCCAATTTATTTCAGGATCAATGTATTTCTGTAATGGAACAAATCAGCTACGACATAAATTCACAAAGTGCTGAGCTGATGGCGCATCAGTTATTAAGTGTATATAAAATGGCCGAGGTGCAGATCGTGTCTCCCGAAATAAATTGTTCACCTGTTACGTTTAGCTTATCATTGCTTTCATTATTATCACTCACATTATCAATCACACTACTCCTTATGCCTTTACTTAGTCATCAGTTTGTAAGAATGACCGCATTAGGATTATAAATTGTTTTTCGCTTGACAACACTAAACATTCAAACAAAACTGAAAATGAAAATTGTTCTCAAAAAAATAATAAGTATTTATCAAATACTAAAGACGAATTAAAGAAAAAAACCCAACATTTAATGAACAAAAAAAAAATGTTAAATTTTGAATGGAAAAGAGGAGGCAAAAATACTATCTAAAAAAAATCACATCAAACGATTTTACATTCATTGATTATTTCACCGCGCATTCAATTTTAGTCATACATCATTAAACATATCAAATCAATGAAATCATATTTACCGGATGAACGAGCAAACATAAAAAAAAACAAATGTAATACATAGAAGATAGAAACAGGAAATAACATTAAGTTATAGCATACATTCTCGGCAACCGACATTTAAATTTACTCATTTTAATGAAATTAACAAAAAAAAAGCAGAAACGCCAATGTTTCGGAAAATGCAAACGATACATATCAATGCGATGACTTGAATTTCTTTTATTGAAAATATACAAAAAAAAAAAACACAATAACAACAAAATAAGATGTTTTTTCTTCTTTGCCGAAATCGAATTGAATTTGATTGTTTCAACTTTCGAACGACGTGAGTTTCAACTTTCGACAAACATATTTGAAGGGAAAATATTCAAACCAAACGGTGTAGTACACAATAAATAGTCATTGATAGCTCAAAATTATTATAAATAAATCCGGATTGATTTCAAAAAAAAAAAAAAAAAAATCACAAATGAAATCGAGCAATCAGTGTGAAAAATTATGCGAGTAAAAGAAGTGAACCGGCAAAAGTTATCTGTATGAAAAAAAAGTTATACAAATAAAAAGAAGAATATATTAAGAAAACTATATTGCGTTTCCAATATTCATATCCATTGGAATTTTAATGATTTTTCAACAAAAAATGGTAAATTTTTGTGTAATTATTATATTTAGAAAAACTTGGAGCTGTGATCAATCATCGAAGCACCAAACAAAATATAATAAAGAAAACTGAATAATCGTCTGTGACAACGCACAAAGTTGGGCACGATGAAAGTGCAAATGTAAGAGTTTACGTATCGCTGGCACCTTCATTATTTCGTTGGTATTCCAAAAAATGATGACATTCCATTGAAAAGTCGGTGTTTTTTTCCACAAATTTTTTTCATTTGAGTTCGAAGACCAATTGACCGGTACGGAAGCAGCCAAAGTTAATTTTAGAGATAAAAAAGCGTTTTTTTTAATAAATCATAGAAAAATTCCATCGCTTAGTAAAAAATTCTCTTTAAAATGAGATATTTTGTCATTTTTTTCTTCAAAAAGTCCCTTCAAAATAAATCATCAAACTTCCGTGACAAAAACAAAATGATAAATCATTAAATATGGATTTTTTTGTTGTTTTACTCTTTTTTTATTATTTCAAATGAGTTAAATAGATCCGCTTTTTTTATATTGATTGTATTAAATGCTATTTGTCTCAAGAAAGCTGATGCTTAAAATTGTATTTAAATTGTGAGTGTATCAAGTGGCAATCAATTTTCTATTGTAAAGTAAAAAACAAATCGTAAAAAACTAAACTTGATTACAAATTAGGCAATATACGAAATAACAACAAAAAAAAAATTAATTGCGGATGTGTATGGGTGTTTGTGTGAACGATGCAAAAGTTTATTTTGCGGCGGCGGCTTGTTGAGCTTGTGCTTGGAGGGCGGCAATTTTCATTTCAATCACATCAATGACGCCATTCAAAACTTTTGATTTTTGACGACCGAGCATATCAATTTTATCCATTTGCTCCTGCACATAATCGACTTTCCGTTTAAAGTAATCTTTTGATGCGGTTATATCTTTTTCCACATAGTAACCGGTACCGATGTCAATTATGAATTTATCGATATTATTCACGACTCCCTTCACATACATGCTACCCGTCAATGGTACCAAAATTTCCTTATCCGTCCAGGTTTCGTTTATTTGTTCCAGTGCTTCTTTTGAACCATCAAATTTTGTTTTAGCTATTTTAAGTGTTTGCAGTGAATCTTGAAACACATTCAATTCCTACAATGGAAGGGACAACGTTTTAGTGACTTTTATTCACTCATACAAACAATAAAAGAGAAGAAAAAAAACTAAATGGCATTCTATGTGTGGGTGTGCGTGACACTATTTTTTTTTTTCTCTTTATTGGAGTTATATTTTTGGTTAGTCATATATTCACTGTACCGATTCGAATTCATTTTTCAACTGCTGCAATTGCTGTAAATTGAGTTTGGTCAAGTCGATTTGACACACTTCTTGTGTCGGTTCCGATGACATTTTTTTGATATTTTATATGAATCTGCGATTTAACTAATAATATCTTTTGTTTAGACGAAAAAAAAAATGTATAACTTTTACATTCACTTAAATAAAATGCACCGAATAGCGTGTTTTGACATAAAATGTGGTCGCTTTATTCTCGTGACAGAACTAAAAAAAAAACCTAACGATATGAAGTTGTTTAGGATCAAAAGGTTCTATTTTCATCCGACAGATGGAGACGCCTCGAAATTGCTCAGTTTTCGAATTTATGATTTATTGAAAAAAGACACATGTTAAACATTTAATTAATTTATCAATTTTTTTTTATTGAGAACAAATAATTCCTATACAATTCAGCTTACAAACGCACATATTTCACTTATTTGGTACATCATCTTTAAAAAAAATTATCAATATTAAATACATGGGATCGATAAAATACATGATCTCACAAGTTTAAAAAGGCGAAATATTGAATTTAAGTAATAATCCACATAACTTAAGTCCAAAATATTTTTTTTCCTTCCATTATAAACACAAAAAAATCTAAAAGAAAAACTATATAAAATAGATAATGCCATCGTTCTGTGTATCGGTTTTCCATTCGAATAAAAAAAAATCATCTTTGCAACAAATATATTATTATTATTTAAAAAGCGTAAAGATGGTACGGATGCTTTTTTCTTTTAAATGAAGACAAATTATTCCGGTTAATGCAACTAAATGAACGGCCCCAAAATGTGTGGTGACCATTTAGTAGTGATCATGACCAGTGTGAACTGGAGCAGTTTTGTGTACAACTGCATTGAAGCCATTTATCTTGTCGGCCGTGTAGTCAACGGTACGAATTGATCCGTCTGGTTCTACCAAAGAGTATTGACCTGAAAAGATGTGACATATAATAGTTGCAGAAATCGTAACGACATAACAAAGACAACAACGGTGACATTTAAAAAAGAAAATATACACGAAATTGCAATTACATAATAAAAACAAAATGATCGAAATGTATGGGAATACCTTTAACAACATCACCGTCTCTTGTCTCATGTTGCGATTTTACATCACCAGTATGGTAGTCGTTGACACCATATTTGAATGCGTACTTTGGTGGTGCCTAAATTGGTAACAAAGCCATGTGCAAATGAAATATAAAAAAAATAAAACAGAGAATAAAATGAGGGAAAATTCAGCAATTGTCGTATTTATTCGTATGGTTTGTAAATTTTTTTAGCACTGATTATGATAATATAAAATCGAAGTGAAAATAAAATTTAACGAAGCGAGAAAATCACATAAATTGAAGAAAAAGAAGAAGAAGAAAAATGTATACACATTCAATACGGTTTAATGATAACGGAATAACGTTTGAATAATTATTTTGTGTTTAAAAAGAGATTTACACAATTGACTTCCACCATTGAATGAATTCGTTTTGTGTGCTGAAGCATTGGAAACGAGATTCGACGCCAATTCGGCTAATTCGTTAACAATGTTGAGAATGCGAAGTGCATAACAATCAGATGAAACGATCAGATCAACAGAGATAATGATTGCATGCTGTGTGAGTTTTTTTTTCTTCTACCGCGTCACATACATTTTCCATTTGCACTGTGCTATGCATCCATCTCATGTGGCACTGACCTCGAATATTTCTTTTTTTTCGCGCCTCAAAGTGTAACGTAACTTTCACTGATTCATTCACTCTGCCGAAGGAGATGTGCATCGTTTTTGTGTACGTTTTTTTTTCCTGTGTACGCACGCGTTCGCGTAACTTGAATTGAGTCATATATTATGAGTATAAGAGCACATGAGATGTGGAGAAAAGCAGAGGAAAAGCAGCTACGATAAGAAGAAGAAAAATGCAGCCGAATGATAGACGCATAACGACGTTAATGAATGTTACAAACCGTTTGTAATGTGTTGTGTACGTGCGACTGTCGATGCTCTAAACGATGGTAATTGAGATGCGCATCTAACGTAATGAACGAACCAGCTCAGTTGGTTTTTATTGATCTTTTTTTTATGCATGCTTTGTAAAATCATTTCGTTTTCCTATCTCGTTATCATCTGGTCGGGTTAGTAAGCGTGCCCGCGACCACAATTATGTCTTATGAAAATGGAAGATTTATATACATATATATTTTTCACCACAGTGTGGCTTTCTCATTTCTGGTTTTGTCGATTTGAATGTTCCGATTTTCGTATTAACAAAATAACAACGAAACAAAAAACAAACCACGAGGAAAAAATGATGTGGAAAAACCACACGTCAATTATGATTGTATCTTATTAAGGAATGCAAAAATGAACAAAATGATTTGTTAGCTTTCGCTTTGTCTACACACACTGGATGTGTTTTCTCTCTCTCGGTGTCTCTTTTGGGGGGTTGATACTTACATAGTAATCGACGTGTTCGTCTTCGTGTCCTCCCAATTCATGTACGCCTATTCTAGGCGATGCGACTGGCTGATAACTACCATTATCAAAGTTATCGCCTTCATGTGTGCTGCTGAGATCGTGTCCTGCATACTGGTAGTCCTCAAATACTGGATAAGCAAATGCAGTACAACACAAAGCAGCTGATGCAAGGATAATGAACTGGAAAATAAAGCACAAAATTATAATCCCAATTGTACGATTCTAATTATATACCGCTCTGCACACACATTTAATTATTGTTTTAAATTTGTTTCTACACACACACACATTTTTTTTTTTTCGTTTTGTATTGTGTATCCAAATCTAATAACTAAGAAAGCATGGCAATTGATGCAGATAAGAAAAAATACAAAATGCAACACGATTTCCCTCATATGCAATTACGACATCTGTTTATGGCTTTTATCATCTATGATCACGTTGGGGCGCTCTTGCATCATAGGCTTATTAAAAAAATAAGATGATGATAATGATGAAAACAAAGAAAAAAAAACTAAAACGTGTTATTGAACGTCTTGTCTACAAAAAGCTATTGACCTATGATTACTAATCACAAAACGTGTTCATATGAAAGTGAATACAGGAATGTATAAATCACCACACACAAACATAACCGGCTCCTCAAACTCTTTGCTGCATGATATCATGTACCGGTAAATTGTTAAGCATATTCCCATCAAAACGATACAAAATGCAAAACGATGTAATACGTTAGGCAAAACAAAAACAAAACGAACGAACAATAGATTAATGATGAAACAGTGTAAAAAAAAGCGATTCAAGAAATGCAACATACGTCGATCAGCGCGCATAAGAGAGAAAGGGAAAATGACCGTAAAAACATATGTAGCTATGAATATCATTTCTTTTTATATTGTATTTATATTTATTGGAAAATATCAACACGATAACGATTTGCTTTGAAGCATTCTATGTGTTTCGTAATAACAGATCATTTGAACTCAAGAGCGTTGACGCAGATGTATGCAAACACTTTTTTCCCGTTTTGTTGTTTGCACCCAAGAATCTCATGCACGTGCAAGAGAGATACGCACATTTTGAGGATCATCGTCCATATCGAGTTCGACAACTATATTTAGATTATGCATTTAGTCGCGCAAACAGGTTGATATTCAATGAGCAAGTTCACTTTCATTCTTTCATAACAAACGCTTCAAAAAAAACGCGTTTAGCTGCATATCTTTCTCTATGCAATTTTATTTTTCCTCACATATGACTTTGTTACACGTTTTATTTTTCTCGTTATCGAAACATCTTAAATGAAATGTTGGGATCATTCAAACCATCAATAAATGTCAAAATCGATTGAATAATTATCGATACAATATTTTTCAATTAATTGCCGCAGAAATCGATCCAAACGTTTAACGTAACGAAATTTTTGGGCCGAAAACGAAAATCAATGTTGGAAATAATAGAAAGGATAGACGATACAAATTATTTAGGTAATCACACATTTAATTGGTAGTTCCAATTCGATAGTTCCAATTCGATAGTTCCAATTCGATAGTATGAAGAGCAAAAAAGAAAGGTGGACTAAAAACGACTGTAGGAAGTAAGCGATGCATATCGAGACAGCACAATATCAATTCCATTCTCGATCTCTTTTAAGTCATCCGATATGATTTTATAACCGATATATACTTCAAATCGAAATTGAATAACCGATATACATGAAATAATCATCATAAATTGAAAACAAACCCATTTCAGTGTTGTCCAACCGAACGCAATTTCAAAAAGAATGAATATGTTGAACAAGAGAATGTACAGAAGGTAAGGTTGGCTTTATTCCAACGCATAACGCTTTATTTTTTTAAATGAATGTTACGGCAATACAAACTTCGTTGAATATCACTCGGCCAAATTCTCATCTAGAGATGAAATATTCTTTAACTAGTTGGAATTTGTTGAAATTGTGTTGGTTGATGTGTGTAAATTAATACAATTATAAAGTATGAAAATTTTCTTGGACATTTTTTTTCTCGACATTTTGTTGCTGTGAAGCAGATTTTTTTTTTATTTAAAAAAATTAAATGCCATTATTGAGGAAGAGCACCATGTCTTGAATGAATATCATCGCTATCATATTTTCATGTGCATTTCTTCATTTTTCAACCTTTTCGATTTTAAATTGTTTGCAAGAACGTAGAACCGAATTGTGTGCAAGAAACGTAATTGAATTACTTTTTTTCCTAACGATCTTTTAATAAAAACAAATTTAAAAATCAAATCACACGTGTGTGTGAAAATGCAATTGTTTGAAATTAAAATATTTTCTTTTCTCAAAATAATTTCGAGAGCACAGTTAATTTTTTTTGTGTGTGCAAACATTCAGGAATTGATATAAACATCATTGTCTCACAACCACATATCTATTTTTTTACATCCTTTACCAATATTTCGTTTAAAATTGAACACCAATCATCGTATAAAAATGAAAAAGAATATTTAAAAATAATGTTCTGAAATTACCTTAAATGCCATTTTTTTCTACAAAAATGTGATAAAAAACTATTTTTTTAAAAATTGAACAAAACTGCACTGAAGCACAAATTAACTGTTTGCTATTTTAAATTCACTATTGGTTTAAACAAATTCTATTTGTTTTTCGTGTGTTTTTTTTTCGTTTGTTTCGTCGACGTTGATTGTTGATTTGTCAGAGTGATACGTTTGCTGAACCACTTTTCAACTGAGAATGATAACTGTGAACTTATCGACGGCTTCCTTTATATACCAAATGAAAGCGAAATTCACCTTGCACGATTACGATAAATATTTCTTCTTCGCCATCGACGTCGACGTCGTATTTTGTATTTTTTTTTGTTTTTATTTCGCGTATTTTTCAATACATTTGAAGACGAAGAAAAAAAAAATCGCCGTATCGTATATGTAGCTGGTAAAATGTAGCATATAAACATAGCCCATACATAGATAGATGTACAGAATGAAAGCACACTGTGTGAATGCTTCATAGTGTAATGCTTCAAAAAAGAAAATGATAATGTGTATTGTGTTGCGGCGGCAATGGTGATTTGCACCAAACAGCGTTTGTATCAGCAAAAATGAATGAATGTTAAGAAAAATTACCTTGAAGACGAAGACAACAACAAATAATGGCAGCGACAACGGCAACCACGGGAAAAAATGTATCGCGCGCGAGTAGGAAAGAAAAACACCATCGAAAATGAAGAAATAGAAGAAGACGAAAAAAGTTACAGAAAGTTTTGTCAAGCGCGCGCGATCACATGTATATATGTGCAAATGCACTTGTATTTTCATTTGTTTTTACATCGTGGTGGAGGTTTTTTTTTTTCGTTTTCGGTGTGCGAATTGCCCGAAGTTCAATGTATTGGTTGGCTTTGGTCTGAATTGATGCAACATTGCTCACACAATCAAATTAAATTTTACTCAGCTCCGTCGCATAAATTCAGATGCCAACAACAATAAGCAACAAGAAAGAAAAAAAATCACCAATTTTGAAATGATTTCGGTGAGGTAGTAAAGTGGTGTGCATTGGTTCACGCCAAATTATTTTGACACCAACATGCCGTCGTCATAATTTTGTTTTTCTTGTTTCTTCTTTGAAAAGTAACGGTATTTCATATGCAACACGCAGAGTGCAGGAGATATATTTTATTTTTCATTTGTCACCGAATACATTTCATCTGAAAACATCAATCGATCCACACATACTATCTCTAGAGAGCGATATCAATTTCAAATTTACATAGGCAATTTATTTTATTTAAAAAAATAACATTAATCAAACAACCGATGGCAAGTGAAAGAGATTCAATTTAATTTCATGTATCATAATATTTTATTGAAATAAACTCTCTTATGATGCTCGCCAAATGTACGGCCGTTATATTCAGTGCGGAATGTGTGTAGTTTTATTTATTTATTTTCGTAATCGTTTTAAATTAAAATAGACAAAAGTATTTTTCTTCCATACATTTCATTATCGCATCAAACGTCTACAAATTAGTCATTTTACATGCAATCATCAATTTTACAATATTTATATAATAAATTAGGCCGAAATTTTGTTTTCGAAATTTTGTATGCATGTTGCTTGTTTCTGTGATGAAATCAGTTCCGACGATAACGGTTCCGATAGAAGATATGTCTAACGAGAAAGAAAGCAAATTACCACACCAAGTGAGCCAAAGAAAGAAATAAAAAACTGTACTGAACCATTTCGGAATATGTAAAGTTCATGCAACTCAGGAAATTGCGGTTCTTTGTAAGTTCCAGCCTAGGATATGTTTAACCAATTAATAATATGAAAATAATAGACATGGTGAGAGTCATTTGAAAATGCCAAAAGCCAATCCATTCATTTCATTGCTCTGATAACAAAACAAAATAAAAAAAATTTACAAACAATACGGCAAACAAATCGTATATACAAACGATTGCGCGCGCTCATGCCTGCGGCACAAAGTCATTGAATTCATCTTGAAATTCAGGAATGTTGAAACGAACCTAACGAACGATATACATAATTTTAATCAATTTATTATTGTGAATCAACGAAAAAAAAGAGGAAGCACAAATAACTGTTCATATCTATAAAAAGAAATAAGATGATTTTGTTTGGATTTTCGCATTTTTCTCCTCTTTCAAATCGAGAAACAATCTACAAAACAATGAGCCGATAATAAAGATGTGATAAATGAACGAAAGTCTATATATCCGGTTTCTATCTCATTTCTCACTTTTTGGAAAGGCTTGCATTTATTTTCAAGAAATACAGATCGAACCACAAATTGATTCAACTCATATCCATATCAGAATTACTTTACCTACTCATATGCCATTGTCGATATATTGTTCTCCATTGAAACATTTTTTTTTAATTAAACGATCCAGTTTAATTGAACGCTATCATTGTAAATCGCATAAAAGACAAATTGAATATGTTTTGTGTGATTGTGTGATATAGCGGCGAAGTCATCGTTTACAAATGCTATTGATTAAAATCAATTTAACTCTATCATTTACCGTCATAAAGAATTACACTCGAAATATCGTTGTATTCAAGGTGGTTTTTTTTTTTCAATGTTGTGTATTAAATAGGATCCGATTACTCAGATCCAAACAAAAAATTTCAGTTTAGACTCATTTGAGTGCTCCTATCCGCAGAAATCTTTAGTAAAAGGCGAAAGATTTATTTGACATCGAATAGAAGCCAGAGTGACGAACCAATCGACACACAGATATCTTATGAATGTTGCTGTATCGTTGCGCCAGTGAATTATAACAACGTCAAGACTGAAAATATATATGAATAAGCGTCCATCGTTCTTACTGAGCTACGTGTTTTGTGTGCTATGCCTTATTCGTATGTATACTTCACATCGTTGTTCAGTTGTTTTGCTCGCCAACAGACGTATTCACGTTTGAACCGTATTTACGCAAAACGTCTTTTAAACGTTACCGATGTTTCATTCTCTACATTTACAGAAAATGATTATTATTTATTTTCCAATGAAAGTAACCAGATATTATGTTAAATACCAATTAAATTATATTTTATTTTCCATGAAAAAAAAATATTATGAGCGCATGTTATTTATGTGTAACAACATTAATTTGAATGTGAACGCGCAAACACTTTGAAAATTAGTTTAAACTTTGAAACAGAAAAAAAGAAAAGAAAAAATTAGAAATATTGCACAAATATTGGCAGATAGAAATTAGCTAATCTCTAATAGACATTCATTAGGCAACATTTGGTCGGCGAATTATTTTTAAATTTTGCTCAAACATTAATGTTAGGATGCATTTGAAAATGTTTCGTTTTGGATTCATTGCTGATTTTTTTGTAATAAATCCAATTGAATGTCTTGAAGCGATGCAGCAACGAAATAAAGTCAAATTATTTTAGGTCCGAAAAAATATCCAATTTGTTATGCGCTGAAAACTCTATGGAAAAAATCCAAATTAAACTGTCTAATTTTCAATTTTAAAAAAATCGATTGTTTGATCAAATTTAATCTCAGCTGAAACGTTTCATTTTCACTCAACGAGTCATTGAACCATGGTTTCTGTGTATATGTTTTTTTGCAATGGGCGAAAGGAATTACTTCACGGGATCTGTTTATGCAAAAATGCATAAAAAACATTGTCAATTCAATTGGCACATACATAAAACCAAATTCAATATAAAAGTGCATCGATGCATACGTGATTTTGTCACATTTGAACATTTACAATTGAGACCAAAATAAGACAATCAATCGGTAGTTTTTTTTTCTCTTCCTCCGTGCAATTGAATGGGCGACGGCATCATTTTAAGAGAAATTGCACCTTCTTAAAGTAATAAGTATGCAGCGCCGACGGTGTGTTCCTTCGTGTATGCACATAAAACCATATGACCAATTGAGATAGAAACCCACATATTTGACACACTTTTAATATATCGCATTAAAGCATTAAAAACAGTACACCAATGATTTTTACCAAATGAAAAGAAGGGGCAATTCCAACATAAGAAAAAATTATGTAATTTACTTTCATATTGTGTACACACAGAATCTTTCGTACAGTGTCTTGTTATATTTTCTATTGATTTTTCTATCTTTGTCGCTCTCATAAACGTAGCACACATTCGATGCTCATTCGATCGTTCCTTGTTTTATGAGATCGCCCCTCTCGATGCATTCTGTCAGTAGTTTTTAAGACAAAACGTCTAAGCAATTTGATTAGAAACACTTTCAATTTCAATAATGCTGTGAACGGATTCATTCAGTTTCAATGATCTTATAGCAGCTTCAAATTTTATGGCCGTTTACGATTCAACAAGCGACAAGATTTATGCACACCGTGTAGGAAATTGCAAATGACCGCATAAAACAACGAAAAACAAATTAATCTTTACTTCTTTGGCACTTTTCTTGAAATAATTGACCTAAAACCAATGTGATTTGCCTTTTTTTTCTTTCAAGTAATAAAATATATATATGGCATGTTATTGAGATTCCCTTTCATTTGTGAGAAGCAAAAATATCGTGAATGAAACTCCAATGAGCATTAAATAACGAGTCGATACACGAATTTTGAACGAGCCTCACAAAAAATTGTTTATTTAGTACGAATTTGTTCGCAAAAGAAGATGAATAAGAAGAGAAGAAAAAAAAAATCGTAAGAAAGAATTCAAGCAAATTCGAACGCATAGATGTGATGAGTTGATTTTTCATCAAACATAAGTAGAGCGAACGAAAAGCACAGACGTATAAGGTTAAGATACGCACACAACACGTAACTCAATAAGAACGAAGACTGTGAACGAATGTTCGGTTTATTATGTTTTTTCACTTGTGGCGTTGTTATAATTCACTGGCGCAACGACACAGCAACATTCATAAGCTATCTGCGTATCGTTTGGTTCGTCACTCTGGCTTCTATTCGATGTCAAATAAATCTTTCGCCTTTTACTAAAGATTTCTGCGGATAGGAGCACTCAAATGAGTCTAAACTGAAATTTTTTGTTTGGATCTGAGCAATCGGATCCATTTTAATGAATGCAAATTAAAAAAAAAACCAACACAAACCTATATACACAGTAAAAAAAATCGTTTGCTTCTGTAAATAGAAGCGGCCGGCAATTCTGTGTATTTCTGAATATGCCTAAAGGCGATTATATACGTTTTTTTGCCTAATTCAACCAGTTTGTATTGATCGTGAGAGAGATCTTTGAAGCATAGTTTCGCAATAAAATGTTTTTAATTTATTACAATTTGATTCATTGTTTTTGTTGTGGTCGTTTGAATCGTCGCTATATTATTGATTACTTGTAAAAGGTATCAACATTTTTATTGGTTAGAATCAGAGAGTGTATGCATGTATGTGTGTTGAAGCGGTGTGTTTAAATAGAGTTAATTAAAACTCATTCGGCATAAAATGGCAAACATGGAAAGAAGAGCGACAAAGTGTTTGCATTTAATTTATAACATACATTTTGTGTATATGCATATTCGGTTCGAAGAATAAAGTCACGTACAAGTACATATGATATGTATTTAGCCTATTGATCGATGATGATGATTAAATGTGACATTTAATATGGCTATGGTCGATTTTATTAGGAAACTTTTAAAATACCAACAAAATGCACAGCGCATAGTATTTCATATTGGAAGCGTGCTCATGCCGCCTTTTAGCTGTCATAGTGACACAGAACGAGCAACAAAGCAAACTGAGGCCCAGCCTAGCAAAATGCGATGTTGGAACGACGATGGAGAAAATATTATTTGAAGAGAAGAAAAAAAAAACAAACGATATACACCTAACAAGCACACTCTGAATGCACAAACCACTTGAGTACCACACAATTAAGTGATTGTATGACGATTCTGTAACTGCAACATAAAAATTCATTATCTACGAATCTTTGATTTGAACTTTTGCGAATGCGAATGAACGAGCGAACGTACGCGCAAATGATTTTGTGTATTATTTTGTGTGCATGAAAATGAATTACCATATTCTGTCAACGAAAGAAGCCAAATGGAGACGAAGTGCTCTAGTTTGCGCTCCAAAATACCGGCCACTCAAACCGCCTAGAATATATGCCTCGCAGCTTAGCTGCAAAAAGCGGCTCAATGTGCATTTAAAATCCGTATTTATCTTCTGAATGTAATGCCACAATCGTCTGGCCCATTAAAAACCACACCACGTTCGTTACGTGCAGCTACGAACCCAACAACAACATATTTTGCTCATTTCATATGGCGTTAGAATGAATCAATGTATCAAATATATATATTGGAAAGCCTCACATTAGGAGGACACAAGATACATATATTCCATTTTTTTCTGCATAGTCGAATTTGATATTTCCATATGTGCAGTGCACATTTATATGCACAAACAACTTCAGCCGAAGTGTATAAATGTCAAAAGAAGAAACAAAAAATCAAACGAAAGAAAAAAATCGCGATCCAACAGCAGCCAGTACCCGTGAAGAAATGGAGAAGAAAATATTATATCGTAATCGACAATGTGACTACCATATAAGTGACGATGTCGAATGTGGCGCGAGAATATCCATGCTGACTTTGCAATCGGTTTGCTTCGGATAGATTTATGTGTTAATTTTTTGTTCGCCTCTGTCATTTCGGGTAGAGTTCAACTTGATGCAACACCAAATAGATTTTCAAATAATATATCCACAGGTCATGCAAATTCACATGAATCTCGTAAATGTAGTTTTTTCAGTTCAATCCGTCTCTCTCTCTATCTCTCTCTCTGTTTTATTTTACGTTTTGACTAATTTATAATAATCTACCGTAACAAGAATCGGCTGGCATCGATTCGATGCATTGACATCGCTGTCTTTTCAAACTCTTCCGAGTTTTCTGACAATCTTGTACAATGCAAAGTGATTGCCATAGCCGCCGTCGAGTTCATTTTGATCACGATATTTCAAATTTTATACAAAGTTAATATAATGACGGAACAGTTAACATTTAAATAAAACTTAAATCTGAAGCTATTTTTTTTTCTACATACGATTCGTTTTTCTTGTTTACGTTCTTTCTTTCTGCTTTGTTTTTGTGTGTTTCGTGTGTCGATTTGACATCCAGCCGATTGTGTCACATATTTTTCTTATTAATTCATCGTCGAATTGTATGTGAATGGATCTACTGTGTGTGCGGCGTTTGGTTCCTGCTTATTTTCATATTGAAAACAAGAAAATTGCATCAGTGTAGTAATCTAATAAAGTCAACAAACTGGCTCGAATCATGTAAAATATTTGCTCAAGCGTTTACATCCAAAAAAAAAGATTATTATTTAATATGCGAAAGTGAAAATGCTTGCACATGTTTAATATGCATGCATGCGGCTTATAAGAACGTTGTGCGCTCAAAATGAAATAAAAACACGAATATGAAAACGACAATAAAAACATATTTGGATATGGCTTAAGTATCGTTAGAGTCTTCTTAGACATAAAATTGCACATACACACATAGATGAAGGCGATGAGGTACAGGTGTAAAAATTTTATACCTATATAAATTGAGTTATTGTGTAAATGATTTTTTTCGTCGTCGATTAAAGGAAACATGCATGACAATACTTTTAGCCAGCATAATCATTTGTGTTATGTTTTGGTTTTTTTTCATGGCTCGCGCGCCACCAGATGCTGCTGCCACACTATACTGTTCATAATTATAGCACGATTGCAACGTTTGAACTGTGTGTGTGTGTGCGCGCTTTTATAAGGTCTGTAAAAATGATTACGACATCCAATTTAAGAATGGCGCGTTTGCGATTCTGGCCATTTACAATAAGAGCAAGACGGTGTTTAGCAAATTCCCACGAGGTGCAATCGATGCCATTATTGCGAACCAATTAATGCGCACCATCAAGACATGTTGTTTGACCCACTCTTTATGCTTGCAATAATGCTTCCGATTCTCTCTTTTTTTTCGAAGTGTCGCTCTTTATGTTATCTAACTTTCGATCGTATCTTGCAGACAAACACTTTTAATTGAACTGCATTTGATTCTGTTTTACTTACGAATGTAGTGCAGTGCAAAATTTCAAAGCGAAAAAAAGCCGTTCGAGTGCAAAGTGTGAGCAGTTGCAAAAGAAATGATGACGGGCGTCCAAAATGCAAAATATATCGCATAAAAATTGCATTCATCAATGTGTGCTGTGTCAATTGCTAATCGCCAAATGGCTCCATAGTAAACCACAACGCCGTTGCGAATAGCGTGAGTGGGGCATTTAGGATTAGGTAAAGAAGAAGAAAAAAAAAAGACACAACGGCAACAACAACAACGTGCGATACTCACTCACAGTTGGTAGAGATCAACGGGAAGAAATATATGTATGATGAAAAATGTAATTTTCAAACGAAAATAGAAAATATATATATATGTACTAGACATAAAGACATAGCTAGAAGTCGTGTAAGGAATATAACGACAAACCGATTGCAATCTTACGATTTGTGCATGTGTATGAGCATTTGTTGGCGCAATGCATACACAACAAATCCTGTATAAAAGACGTTTTGTCTATGCGAAAATTTATCAGTTTGAGTTTTAAGAAGTTTAGGCATACAACAGATCTCTTGCTTTCGGTGCCGAATCTTATTTTTTTCGTTTCTTTTTTCCATCGTTTCAAAGCACACCAAAGCATTTTTTTTTGTCAACTTAATAATTTACGGTTCATTTAACGTGTTTGCATTATTTTTTTTTTTGAAATTTTGCACACGAAAAATCGCTGCTGCAATATTTTATTGACGTTTTTGTCGTCGTTAAATCATTAATTAGTAGTTCGTAAATAATATAATATATAATTTTTTTGAATACAACGATAGTCAAGTAAGAACAACAACAGAATTGCCGAAAAATATCAAAAGTTGGCCAAAATCAGTAAATTGCTCAAGATGAAGGTATGCCTAGTGGACTAGTGAACCTTTTTTTTGTTTGTTAACAGACATTTAATGTTTTGTTTTAAATTTAATCGAAATCTAGTGAACTCGAACGTTTCGATGAACGGTTTCGTTGAGAAGAAGAAAAATAAAAACACTCAAAATTACTTGCCATTGAAAAGGCAAAAGATATGCTCTTTATTAACCATGATATTTAAATGACGGTGTCAACATTTGGTAACCGTTACAAAATGAGTGAACATTTATATATCCAAAGGTTTCAGTTGAATAATTGCCTTAAATTTCCTGCGCTTGCTTAACAGCTAATTAAATTTGATTGAAATTGCATTAGTTTTATCAAAGTCAAACAAAAGAGACATGATTCTTTTAAAAACAACGACGCCCAACCATATTATATGGAAGTTATGGAAACAGTGTTGTACAACTGATGGTTATATCAACCTTATGGGTGCTTTCATAAATTGCGGAACATAAACTGATATCGTGTTTTTGTCGTTCGCGCGCTTCCATTCGATTTGATATTGTTTTCGCCGTTGATTTTCCGAGAGAGAAAGAAAGAGAAACGGTGCGTCGATTCGCACCATATTTTATTGTTTTTAACCACTATTTGAGTCATTATAATGGTGTGATATTTTTTTTTTGTCCGTTGATTTTCAATTTCGAACGGTATATCTATGCACATACTCAATTACACTGTAGAAAAACTAGAAGCAACAACAACAAACTCAAACACAGAGGCTGAAGTTATCAAATCGCAATAAAACATGCATAATTTTATAGCAATGTGTAATTTCATTACAATAAGTTGTACCATTCGACTGCGTCCCCCCGCATAAATGTGCTTAATATGACATTTATTTGCGTAAACATTTCTCTCTTTATCTCTCAATGTGTGTCTTTCTCTATTTCTCTGTTGTTCGATCTCTCGATTACTTTTCCGGTCTGCGTGTTTCTTTTTTTTTCCATCGCTGGATAATATAACTTTAAATGACGTTCAATTTGATCGTTTGAATGGACTTTCCAGCTTCAATGCATCAACAACTCATTAACGTTATTTTTTTTTCTTCGTAAAATACACACCAGACAGAAAACACTCTGCACACAGTTTCTTCTGTCTGTGTGTATTATTTTTTATGCAAATTGTTATTTTATTTTTGTGTTTTGCGCTTGTTTTTTTTTTTTGTTTTTGTTTTTACGGAACGAAAGAATTGATTTTCAGTCGAGTTTAACTTCGATTGCGTTTCATTTCATTTTCTTTATTTTTTGTTGTTGTTGTTTGTTGTTTTATTTATTCTTCTGTTTCTTCTCTCTGTGCGTTTTTTTATATTTACAATCTCTTTTAGTATTATATCAATGTTCCGTATGTATTATTTTGAAAGATCCCGGCATTTTTCGTTTGCTTTTACTTTTAGTGTATTTTGGTGGTTTTTGCAATCGTTGCTGTGTCTAATGCCATACCAATCGAACTCGGACATTATGCATCGCCTCTTTATGCACCAGTTGCTAAAGCCATAGTACCTGAACCAGTCGTAAGTGTTATTTTAAATTTAAAGAAAATATATGCCTCTCAATGGAATTCATCGTATATTAGAGTGGCACGAAGTATTTTTTAATCACGCCTGAAACAAACTAAATTAACGACTTTTTTCAAGAATTAATTATATTATTTAAATAATCAATAACACTTCGTTTCATTCTTCTTAACATGTTAAAACAAAATAATTGAGAAATAAATCCCAACACACGAAATATTCGTTCATTTATATATGAACTTTCAATTTTTTTTTTGTTCAATTGTTGTGATAAGAATGTTGACGGAATTTAATGAGAAACTTTTTTTATGGTTACTCTCTCGTAAGAAGAATGGGGAGAAAAAAGTTGCAAAATCTTCATGGAAAGCGTTTATCATTAACATTCCAAAGAAAAACTATCGCGCCACTCTATTTCGCATATTTGAACCAAACACTCTTTTCTTGGATTATTTATGATTTCATTTTCGCATCAAATTAATTAGGCATATCCGAAATATTCATTCAATTATGGAATCAAAGATCCACACACTGGCGATATTAAATCGCAGGCCGAGGAAAGAGATGGAGACGTTGTCAAAGGTTGTTCAAAACGATTTAATAAAAAAAACGATATCGCTTGACTATTGAAAATTCATGCATCTATTCAATTCAGGTCAATATTCGCTTGTTGAACCAGATGGAAGTGTGAGGACCGTAAATTATGTGGCCGATGACCATAATGGCGAGTCTCCATAAAACTTTTTAAAAAAACCAAACATCCAATTGATCTACATTAACGGCATAAACTAATTGTGCTTATTTCGTCATGTTTAGGTTTCAACGCCGTCGTTCATAAATCCGTTCCACATGCTGCTAAAGTTATTGCGGCACCAGCACCATTACACTATGGACCGGCTCCACTGCTAGCTCACTATCGCTAAACAAAATATGTGAATGAAATCGCAATGAAAATTACCCCCATATGATTGGCTGTATAAAAGTTTGAGATTTATTCATGAAATTCAACGGGATTATCGATCGATCGATCGATCGTTCGAATTTTCCAAAATGTGCTTAGGTATCATATATAATCTGTTCGTTTGTTGATGATATATTATTATTTGCAACAGTTTCCAATTATTTTAAAATATTTACACTTGTTTTTTTTTAAATATTTTTCAATTTGTTTTTTCAATTCACCTTTTTTTCGAATTTCATCTAACAAAAGTTCCCATCTAATTGGTTCGCCTTCTTCTTTTTCTTACCGCAAACAATTTTTATTCCTTTTCATTTTAAACGAGTTGCACAAACATTTCTTCTCTATAATTTTTATTTTTTCATTTTTCTCGCATATTGGCCCGGCAAGATCGGTTTAAATGCGCCATGTGATCAAATTTGTACCATTTTGTGGCATGTAAAATTTTGAATAACAACAAAAAAAAAAGTTTTATCGAAACTTGTCTGCTGCGTGACACTCTTATTGAAAATCGAAGTAATTTTTCATCTCGATTTCGGATGATTGCATAAATCGATTTGAGCATTTATGCAATCGATGTTTGAGCATTTACAAAATAATAGTTCAAAGTATCGAAAACGAAACAATGTAATTTTGGAAAAGACAGTTCAAAACAACAAGAGATATATATACGGCAATTTTTGCAATTCATGACCTAGATGGCTGTGCTTGGATTTGCTATCGATTTTTTTTAGTTTACTTTTTACAAATTCTATATACATGGCTCTGGTACGGTTTGAAGAAAAACAACAACACAAATCACATGTTAGTGATCATCGCATTAGTGTCCAAAAGCTTACCCGACTTTTTATTCTCGCTTTGAGTTAATTGATTTCTTGTGATATGTTTTTTTTTTTCGTTGTTCGATTGCATTAAAGTTCATTTCATTATAATTTTTATTTGTTCTGTTAATCTCTTTTTCACATGATCTTTTAGTCTTTTTCTTCCCCTCCACTGAACTAGTTTAATATATCATGACTTTAAAAATGTTATTTCAAGTGTCCATGTTTGGCAATTCATGTTTATTCACACATTGAAGATGAAATAATTCGATCAGCATTCAATCAGACTGGATCCAAATGAAAATATGTGTTATATTATAGCATAAATTGAAACGGAAAGTGTGCCAAGAATGTGCATCTTAGAATAGTCATGGAAGACAACAACAAGAAACAAATGTTTTCACGTCTGATTGAATTGTATGAATTCATCCGTTCTCTATTCGAATCTATTCTTTTTCTAAACTTTCTACCACATACACACGCTAAAAACAAAAGCAAATCAAACAAAATGTACTTTATATTGCATACTATTATTTAAGGAACTATACATGTTACCATAATATTTTACATATATTCATAAATGTGTATTTTTTTTATATTCATGTAAAACAAAACAGTGAAGTGCTGTTTAAAACATTTCAATTTTAATGTGTTTTTAATGTAAAAGCAATATTAATCAGAGAAAAAAAATCGACAAAAAAAAGTTTAAATAAATAATGTGAACGAACACAGAATACAGTTTTATTTTTCCTTCAAGAGGAACTAATTTATTTTCACATTTTTACCAAATGTGTGTGTGTACGCGCGCGCGCTCACCGTTACGAGTGCGCGCTGATTTATGCGTCGTTGAAATGTAAACCTTGATAAAGAAATAGAGAATAGACGCAACAACGATTGAAAGTGGTGTTGAGAAACGCTTGTTGCATTTTACAGATCTTTTTTTTTTTTTTTTGCTACAGTTGAAAATTGATCAACGCAAATTGTTTTAAGTAATTTCAATGGTGTGTGTAACGCTTTTGTGCAGCGTTCGCCAAATTAATGAGCTTTACAAACCAAATTGACACCAATCACCATCTGATTCAATTGGAATAAAAGCGAATTGAATGTCGGTGTTTGTTGATTATTTGAAGTGCAGACACCATTTTTCTTTGGTTGGCTTTTTTATTTGATCGGATCAATTTCTTGAATCAATCAATAACATGTGGAAAAAGTAACTTTTTCGGTCTTTATTTGGTACTTAGATAACGGTGAGTATTATAAAAAGTGAGCTTCATTAATCATCTGATCGCTATCGTTAAATGAAGCCAAATCAGATGGTATTTCTCAGACCATGTAATTGCATGTCGACAGAAATTTGGTATTGCAGCCCAAATGAGCTTTGAACAAGAAAAAAAAAAACAAATGAATTGCGCACTCGTCAACTTCCTTCCAAACATTGTGTCGATCAACTCAATTAATTCGTGCATCCAATTATTATTTACCAGCCGATGCAACATTTTTCTTATTAATTTTTGTAAGTTTTTTACCACTTCAATAACATTAAATACATTGTGAGTGAGCACATTCTAGTGAAAATCTACATTTTGAGTGTGTGTTTTTTTCCCTTCAAGTTTCATTGCGATGTTATTTATTGCTCAATCGTCTGTTTCTTTTTAACGACCTTCATTGCACTAATAAATTTTCGGTAGATTTTTATCTTGTGCAATTTGCAATTGAAAAAGTGCATGGTTTTATTTTTTTTTTTATTTCATCGGCGTCAAAAAAGAAAGACAGACCGTTCCAATTGAACAAAAATCTTGAAATTATATATAACGCAGTTTTACGGCATTTTTTTTTCCGAGTCACTGTTTTCTGAATTTTACGATTACGAAAATGAAAACAATTGCAAACACGCAATCGATGTCTGACATTCTTTTAGTACGGCCACAAAAGCTAATTTGGAGATAAAGTGGATAAAACCACAATTGTTGATGTAATAAAATTGAAAGCAAACTCATAATGAACAATTTAGAAGTTTTATATTATTATTATTATTAAATTTTAGCACTCTTAGTAAGTATCCAACAAAATCTATGCAATAAATTTGTTATTCAATAAACTAACTTTAATCTCCTTTTCGATTTAAATATGTATCGATTATCAGTAGTATTCGTCCTCTTCGCCGTCTCCATCTTCTTCACCTTCACCTCCGCTATCAATGTATTCCTCTTCGTCACCACTTTCATCACCGCCTTCGTCGTCACTCTCTTCATCTCTGCAAATTAAATGGCATATAAACATGAAAAAGTTTTTTTTTATCATTTAAATACTTGTATTTATCATTTAAATACTTGTATTACCCTTCGTAATCATATTCTTCGCCACCACCACCGCCGCCGCCGGTATGTTGTGGTGGTTCTTGCGGCGGTGCATGGTGAACATGATGCACTGGATCTTGATGAATTGGTTTAACTGGGTCTTGTGGATGATGTACAACATGACCATCGGTTATGATCGATGCATGAAATCCATTTTTTTTATCCGCGGTATATTTAACCGTTCGAAATTTCCCATCCGGATCTAAAACACTATTAATTTGTTTATTATTCAATTGGATAAAAAAATGTAATGCATTTGTTTCACGTTTCATTCGTTTCTTCTTTCATATTTTGTGTGATTTCTTCCGGCACAATCTTGTCTCCGGGCCTTTGTTTTTCATTAAAAATCCACGGCACCAGGAAGCGATCACAACAAAATAATATTATGTGAATAAATGGGTATACAACACCTGTATTCACCCTGAACGGTGTCACCATGTCGTGTCTCTTGTCGACTTTGATGAACTTTTGAATTCGGATCTTCGACACCATACTCAAAATGATAATCGGGTTTTGCAACATAGTCATGCCCTTTATACATGCCATCATCATAGTAGGCGACTTTTTGTTCGGCTCCACTAACCGGTCCCATAAATTTTGCAAACGAATATCCCGGTAAATTTCTGGCCGAATATCCACGCACATAACACTGCACACTAGATATCGTGATGATCAGAACCAGAACACAAACCACCTACAAAATTGTATATCAATTGAAATATATGTCACAAACAAAAATTCCTTTTATATCACTCTTACAATATGTCCACATTTTGCGGTCATTCTAAGAATTTATGATGCAATCCAATTAAAAAACTACTGTACTGTAATCTCATCAATTCTAACCACTGATATTGAATTCTTTCTTTCTCAACGAAATCTCATGTAAATTTTGCTTTTCATCAACTGTAAATCTGCGAAATGACTGATTTTCATTTTTTTCCCGACCAAAGTATATATAGGCAACGAAATGGTTTTGATTGACTGATTTTTCTCCGAAAATTGTTACTATATTTGCTTATTGTAAACGGTTCGAATAATTGTGCGACCGAGTTTTATGAAATGCGTTTCGTTATATTGGCGTTGCGCCGTCACCGCTGTCAATTGATTATCCGTTTTATTGTGGCCGAATAGAAAAAAGTGTCCGAATATTTTGTTTGGGAAAACGGCCACATTGCTTCAGTTGCATTGTATTGGATCAAGCGTCGATTCAATTGAATGTTATGCTCAACTTCATTTATATTGTTGGGTTTTGTTTAAAGGTAGCGCCGAATCTATTATATGTGTGCACGTGCAGACATGCGTGCATGATCGATACAAAAATGCTTTTATTCAAATTTCGTTTTGCCTATTTCCGTCTTTTGAAATTAGCTACACATATTAGACAAAGGTACTACGGACGAATGTGAACCAATCAACAAGCCAAGAAATATGTTACCTTGAACTTGATCGGTTACGCATATTGCAATGAATCGATCGAAATGTAACGCCTGAAAAATTCAAAGAGAATACAAAATGGGTCAATATTTGCAAAGACAATGAAACTGATCGAGTAAATAAAACGATTCTGATGAGTGATCAACGCAAATCACCACCGTGACATTTATTTCATTCGGAAAAATAGACTTATGTAAATTTCTCGCATTTTCTTTCACTTTAGATCCTAATTAATACGCATCTTACATTTCTATTGGGTTTCGTTTTCGATTCCATCTGAAACAATTGTGTTTAATGGTATTTATTCTATTGTTTGTGTTTTACTGCAAATGACTAGCGAATTTGAAGCAATTATCAATCGGTAATAAGTTATTCTTGAACAATATAACATTCGCATTATATAAAGATAAACAATAATAGTGTATCTGTAAAATGGTATTTTCGAAATTAAACTAATTGAGTGTTGGAAATAATGTGTCAAATTTTGAACGCAGTTTTGGCATATCGGTTGCAATCATATCAACAAATTTCAGGTCATCGCGGTATCTTCTGACATTCAGTTGAAAATTTATTCCATCTGTAATGCCAGCCACATCGTTCAGCACATCCAGTGTGTATATCGGAGTGACTTTTCCCATTTCCAGGACACGACCACCAAACGATTTGCGTCGCATCGACTCCATTTGCTTAAAATTAAATGGCTTTGGTGGTGTCTTTGCACACGAAACCATTTCCATTTTGATTTCGTCTTGGTCTTTGGTATTTTGTTGTTTCATCTGCTCGTAGTTTTCCCAATAGCGTCGAAATTCGTCGATGTGAAAAACGCTTTTGTACGAATTCAACGCAATCAAATGGAGTTCGGCATTTTGTCGGATGGATAGCTCTTCAACGGTGCGACGACTGAACTTTTGTAGACATGGATATTTCAGTGTTGATGCATTGCAAGCACTGACTTTTGAATTTTTCGGTTTAACCACATTATTGTTTTGATATTTGTCATCAAAGTCATCGCCAATAAATGTTTCGATTTTTCGCAACGAATAATAAATGGTTTCCGGATGTAGTGTACTACATTTGTGATCAATTTTCGTTAGCAAAGCGGTAACTAGGTACAATTTCAATCGAGGATGTTCGACCATCTGAATTATTTTCAGCCAATTGTTGACACTACAGCCTATTATTTCTGTTCGATATAGACAACATTCAATTTTATTTTAAACGTTCAATTGATAAATAAGAATTTAGAAGATTTTTTTTTAACAAAAACTATTGCTTACCGAAAATGATTTTGGTAAATGAATCACAGAATTTACTTTGATTTTGTATCGGTGTGGGATATTCAATGCTCGTCTTACTGGCTTGCAATGCACGCAATTCAAAGACATTGTATATCAGGTTTACCAATCGCTGAAATTTACACATTCATATATTTTAAATTGTTGGAAGGAAAAAAAAAATTTCTCAAGAGGCATTTTAGAACTTACTCCAATAATTTTGGTGTGCTCGCGCGGGAAATCAATGTAAATGTAATTGACGTACAATTTCAGGATATTTTTGATGGTGTAATTCACTTCATTTGGCTCGTTATTTGTCCACATCACCACTTCGATCAGTGGATTTTTTCGGTTGGTTGCCAGTTTTTCACTTGGATTAAGCCGATTTCTACACAATTAAGAACAACATCAAAAATGCAAAAAAAAATTAAAAAAATTGATTGAAACTGAAATTTTAAGCAAAATGAATCGAAAATTACTTGATCGTCCACATGGCCAAATCGGCTTCAAATAGTTGCACATATAATGCCAGTACTACAAACAATCGCTCGATCTTGTCATCTCGCTTTTGATTGTCAAACTATAATAAAAATTTAGAATTTGAATCGAACTGTTAAATTGGCCCCTAGTCAATTTCGGACCATACGGGATCATATGGGAAATGTTTTACTTACCAAAAATTTGTGCGCATGTTTCGATTCCCATTGGCGAAAGTTCAGCACAAGCGAATCATTGAATGAATCGCCAAATTGATCATCTAGAGCCGATACTGTTACTTTCGATTTTGCCTGGATCACATTTTCTAAGCCTTGTATGATGTCAGCAAACAATGTTCGATTGTTCAAGAGTTCATCTGCAACAACAACAAAAAAAAAAACAATTTTTCATTGTTAACCAATTCCGATAAAAAAAATAGAAGATAAAGAAAGACAAAGATAAAGTATAAAAGAACGCACGAGAATCAACGATAAGATTTTTCTTTGTTGTTGTGATGAAATTGCGGTATTCCATATTTGCGGCTAACCAACACGGTGGAAATTTATCAAATATACAGCCAATTGTAAATGCTGCCATATCGATGACATTTGTAACTTCGTATTCTTCATTCGACGAATCGCTTATTCCCTGGAAATACACGAAACAAAAACAATTGAATCGAAACAATATCAAAAAAAAAATGTGTTCCGGTATCGATGTTACATACCAAAATCAATTCAAACAGTGAATGTAATATATTCCGACCAGGAAACTTCGTCTGTACAATGTCCATTTGGACGGCATGGATGAACATAAGCGGCTGGTGATTTTGCAAAAATGTTTGTGACGTTGATATATTATCCGACTTGGGAATGTACTTCATTTTTGAAAAAAAAGGGAGAAAATGTTTAACTAGAAAAATGTTTGATTTTCTTTGATTTAATACTTACATCATTTCGATAATGTTGTTCGTTACAATTTTCCAGTGATCGTGTGCATTTTGCGGGAAATGACAACTTTAATCGTTCAATTACATTCAAATACTTCATCTTCAATACTTGTTCGAGTGCATTGTACATATTATTGATGGATGTGGATTGCGCATCATTCGTTGTTGATGAATCCGAACCGTTCACTTCATTGGAGTCCTTGGCATCCGGTGCATCATGTCGAATTTTTTGCTTTTTGCTTAATATTGACGAATGCTCGGTTTTATGTTTTTTGCCGGACTTTTTCGGTTTGATTTCGTTGACAACATCGACCAATGGTCCTTTTTTGCTTCGCGTTTGAATTCTTGTAGACATTTTTTTCTTTGTAGATCGTGACTCAAAAAAAAAAACAAATTAAGTTCTTGCTTTAAAATATGCTGACGCCTGCACTTCTTCAACAAATGTTTTACAGTTAATCACAATCGAAGAACTTTTGAAGGTGGTTGTCCTTACACACAGAAATCATATCTAAACGTGTACCTTTTTAATGCTAAGAAATCGAGTAAAAAAATGTTTTATAATAAAATAAAATGCGTTTTACAATATTTTAACAAAACACAAACTTTATAAACTAAAATTCAGTATCGAAGGCAATCGGTTTGTTTGAATCTGACAGCTGTGGAATGTATTGTGTATTCACGTTTTCTATGTGTTATTTAAACCTCATTCGTTGTATGTACATAATGCATCTTCAATATCTGTCAAAACGAACTGAGCAATTCGTATTATGGATATGAGCAACTCTCTGTTGTTGCTCAGTATGCGTCTGTGCTGTTCTTGTTGTTGTTGAAGGCAAAGAGAGAGAGAGCAAAAAAAACTGAAAAGAAAAACGTAATGATGAAGAATGCAAAGCAAAAAATAAGTGAGAAGTGAGCAAGAAGGTATATACACAGATACTGACGTTGTAGTGGGTTGACAACAATCGAAGTGAACATAGAACATTTTCGCTGTTAGTTCAGTATTTTGTGTACGAAAGAAATGTTCAACATTGATCGATTGCCAAATAAAAATCAAAAAAATCGTGCTAATTCCAATCGATTACATTTAATTTGAATTTTATTTCGATGCGAAAACCAAATTGATTGTTTACATACGAAAAGTCAAGTGCAGTGAATGTGAATATATATATATTGTGATAGCACAGTATGTAGCGTAAAAAAATCTATAATGGTAAGAAGCACCAGGACTATGGAATTGTTCTAATTGCATTCATTTATTGCTTTGAATAAATTATCCAAATAGAAATTCCATCGTTTTAAATGTTCTAGAAAAAATGGTAATGCAAATTCGAAAAAAAATGAAATCATTAAAAATACGAATTGGAAGGATAAAAAGTAAATCAGCGTATAAATTACATTGATTTAATTCTCCAGGCATTTGCGCGTCCTTGTTCCGCGTAAGAGTTTGCAAATTTTTTTACAATTGTAAATGGCTTAGAATTGAAATTCATTTCATTGTCTGCTGACAATTTTTTTTTCACCTAAATATTAGTCATCACCATTTGAGGTGTTAGCTTTGTGACCGGCAACCGAATAAAAGAGTATAATATAAAATTTGCAACAACCCAAACAGGAAATTAATTTTGATTTCCTCACATCGATGCTTACACACAGCGTGCGTGTGTGTTACTATTTACTACTCTACAATTCGCCGAATTCGGTCGGGCACGTAAAACTTAATCTAAATGTTGAAATGCATTCAATGTGTTGTGTTTACATGAATTGATTACCCGTTGTTGTCTATTGCATTTTGCATCTGTTCAATGTACATGCTCAATTCGTGTGGTGCCAAATAATTTCGGGCATTTCATTTAACTAATATGACCTTTTTGATTTACGTCCAACCAAATATTTAATTACATTTTGATGCATTCAATTATCATTTGCGATAAATTGATTTCATTAAACAGATGTATGTATACGATACTCGATACAATGGTCAACATTGAGTTTGAATAGATTCTTCAAAGACGATATTATACTTATTACTATTATTATTAAGCCCATTTCAAATGGTGGCATTTCAACACACACACACACAGACACACACACAGCACTCCGGCATGCAACGATTAGATAAAGGTGAAACGAAAAGGAAATTATATGTTTTGTATGTAGGAGAGCCGACATTTATATATGTGTCTGCGTGTGCTCGAGTGTTATGTTATGTTATATGTTGTTGGTTCTTTATTTTATTGCTCTCACGTGAATCAAATCAACCGATTCAAAGAGTGCACACATAACACTCAGATAGAGATCGGGAGCGGGAGAGAGAAAGAGCACGAAAGACAAACACACTTTGACCAAACTTATCGAATGAGCGCGCTGTTGCGCCCGCATTATATTCTCAGCGTTGTCTGCTTTATACCATTCGATTCTTTAGGTAAAATGTTATGAACTTGCTTACAACGCTTACCATCCCACGCACATGTTTTCATGTCAAAAAGCCTTTTTGATATAAAGTGTCTCTCACTCTTTTACTGTCTTCAATTAATATTTGTTCCCGTACGCCTTCTTTGGCTTCAATGGGTTTTTCCTCGAAAACAAAATTGTTATTCATGTTGCATACCATTTTATGGTTGTTAGTTATTCGTGTGTTCGGTGTTGGTTCTGTGCTCGAATTTATTTGAATAGGGTTGCATTTGTTCTTTTGCCGCTCACATTTTCAAACCGGCTGTTCAATATTGAATTTTGGTATTGTTCCATTAGATGTTAAAACTTAAAGTCTGCGTGACAGTTAATTTAACTTGTAATGGCAACATTTTTTTTCTTCTTCCCTTCTATCTTTCTCTTTCATTCTCTACCTTGTTTTTCGCTCTTTCGCGCTCGAATATTTCGCATAACATTTTTGTTTTTATTTTTTGTACATTTTCAGATTCACCAGCCAGTTAATTGACCCCATAATACAATAAGTGTTCATTAAAAAAATGTATGCGGTACATGAGACGGAATCGCGCTTTGAAAACTTTTGATGTCATATTTTCATGTTAATCGCAGCAAAATTGTGCCGCGACTATCGATGTAGTAGTCTAACGCTGTTAAATTAAATTGCAATGCCACACAAAATTTTGGTCGTCACTCATCCAACATTTCATCAAATCACATTTGTGAAAACACTATACTCGGTGCTGTATATTGTACGCAACATACAAAATGGGCACACAATTTATGGAAAAGTGTAAAAATTGGAAGCATATTAAGTGGAGAACGAAGTGTTATCAAACTCGAACAATATTAACGTGAACAAAATTTCAAAAAAAATATTAATAAATAAACATAAACAACCGAACAAAAAATCAACAAAATAAGAAGAAAATAAACGAAAGATTCAAACCATACGATGTTCATTTGAAAAAAAAAAACGAAAAAAAATATATATTTGAATATTTGCCTAACAACTACCCAGTGATAAATGCAAATGACAATAAATCGATGAAACTGATGGAACGACAAATAGACAGACAAAAAAGAGATATAAAACAAAATCTAGCATCCAGTAAAACATATATACAGCACAAATAAATGAAATTAAATCAATGTTTAGAACTTCATTCAAATTAACATAAATTTAGTCAAAATTAGTTTGTAAATGATTGTTATACGTGAAATTTTAATGTAATAAACAGTTAGTGCAACATTAAAAGTGCCATATCAGTAGTCAAGTACTATCTAATATCAGTACAAAAACACACTCACAGAGATAGAGTGAGGGAGGCCGGAGTGCAAAAATCAGAAAGCAGAAAACATTCGAAAGGCAACTCTGGAGAGATCCGTGCACGCCAGAATAGAATAAGAGAAAAAGGAATACGGACGAACGAGCACATCTATATATACACAAACACACACTGGTGCGCGCACACGCACGCGAAAGATAAACAGAGAAGAAGAAAACGAAAAGGAATAGTACACATAAGAGTCATAATAATGAACGCAGCTAAAAAAACGAAAATGCAGCTTGACAATGGATGCTCAGAAACTGGTTATGTACGCATCGCTTGGCACCATCAACACCACTCAATTGGACTCACAATGAAATTGAGGAATGCTCTGAAAACATGGAGCTTTCAAATCATCAAGAATGTTAACGCCAAACACTGTGTTAGCGCTCTCATTCTACTCACACTTGGCACTATCATCTACTATACTCACTATGTGGATAATTCCCCGTTTATTGGGTAAATAACACACTTTTCAATCGATTGAATACATACCATTCGATCGGATTAACATTTCTTCTTTCTATCTTGTTATCATGTATTCTTCTTCCCTTTTTCTTAAAAAAAAAAACAAACACAATTTTAAATGTAAATCATGCCATTTAATGGTAATGGATTCGATTGTTTGCTATCATTTTCTTTAGCCTAATGCACCACGATACCCGACCATCACCATTGGTTCGATGTAGCATGAATAATGGTAAAACCGATGATATTGAAGCATCCAAAGAGCCAGATCATCGATCTGATGCGAGATTACGTATTGATCCGAAGGTTTTAGTAATTGTTGAAACGACATATTCACGATTGGGCCGAGATATTGCTGAGCTGCTTGTTTACAATCGGATCAAGTAAAATTTTCATTTTTATTGCATTTATATGCATATCTATTACTTATTATCACAATAAAATATCATTCATTTCTTATGTCTACATTTTTTCTATGATTGTATGATTTCCAGATATAAAATCGAAGTGGCTGGCAAGAATTTGCCCGTACTAACCAATTCGGACAAAGGTCGATATGCAGTAATTGTGTTTGAAAATTTGGATAAATATCTGCATATGGACAATTGGAATCGTGAACTAATCGATAAATACTGTCGTGAATATTCGGTTGGAATTATTGGTTTTGTTGTATCGACCGAAGAAACATTGGTCGGTGCACAGCTACGTAATTTTCCATTGTTTGTACATACAAATTTACGATTGCGTGATGCAAGTTTAAATCCAGCATCGCCAATACTGCGATTAACACGTGCCGGTGACACAGCATGGGGCCCATTGCCCGGTTCGGATTGGGCCGTTTTTCAACATAATCATTCAACGTACGAACCGCTTGAATGGGCTCAAAAGAATATTTTCGATTATCCATCAAATGATGAACAAGTGCAACCACCATTACCAACTGTAATCCAAGATCATGGACATTTCGATAATATTCAACGTGTTTTATTTGGTAATGGTTTAAAATTCTGGTTGCATCGATTATTGTTTCTCGATAGTTTGTCATTTTTAAGTCATGGCCAATTAAGTTTGAGTTTAAATCGAATGATATTGGTTGACATCGATGATATATTTGTTGGTGAAAGAGGTACACGATTGCAACCGGATGATGTGCAAGCATTGATTGCCACACAGCAACGCATTGAAAGTATTGTTCCTGGTTTTAAATTTAATTTGGGCTTTTCGGGTAAATATTTTCATCATGGTAATCGTGATGAAAATTTGGGCGACGATATGCTATTGCGTAACGTTCAACATTTCAATTGGTTTTCGCACATGTGGAATCATCAGCAACCGCATCTTTATGATAATTTGACCACATTAATATCGGAAATGCAATTAAATAAAGAGTTTGCAAAATCGAAAGGAATTCCAACGAATTCCGGTTATTCGGTATCGCCACATCATTCGGGCGTGTATCCAGCCCATGATTTGCTATATGTTGCATGGAAAAAAGTTTGGAATATAAAGGTGACATCAACCGAAGAGTATCCACATTTACGACCGGCACGATTGCGTCGTGGATTCATTCATCGTAATATAATGGTATTGCCACGTCAAACATGCGGCCTATTTACACATACAATGTACATCGATCGGTATCCGGGCGGTCGTGATAAACTTGACGAATCCATTCAGGGTGGTGAACTGTTCCAAACAATTGTCTTCAATCCAATTAATATATTTATGACACATATGTCAAATTATGGTAGCGATCGCTTGGCATTGTACACATTTGAATCGGTTATCAAATTTCTAAAATGTTGGACAAACATAAAATTGAGCTCAGCACCACCGATGCAACTGGCCGAAACCTATTTTAAATTACATCCAGATGAAATTGATCCGGTATGGGGTAATCCATGTGACGATCCAAGACATATCAAAATTTGGTCAAAAAATAATAAGGGATGCGATTCGCTACCAAAATTTCTAGTGATAGGACCCCAAAAGACTGGTACAACGGCACTATACACATTTTTAAATATGCACCCGAATATTATAAGCAATTTACCGAATGCCGATACATTTGAAGAGATTCAATTCTTTAATAAAAATAATTATTATCGCGGTCTTGATTGGTATATGAACTATTTTCCAATGCCAAACAATAATGTCAGCACAGCAACCACCACAACCACCGATAAAATGATGTTCGAAAAATCGGCCAACTATTTTGATGGCGATCTTGTGCCGAAACGTGTTCATACGCTGTTGCCACACGCCAAAATTATATCAATTCTTATATCGCCGGCGAAACGTGCCTATTCATGGTATCAGCATACAAGAGCGCATGGAGACTTAATAGCGAATAACTATAGTTTTTATCAGGTAAATTCGAGATTTTGTTCTACTTTATCGACTATTCAATATAATTTGTGTAATACACATAATTTCAGATAATAACGGCTAGTGATACGGCACCGAAAGCATTGAAAGATCTTCGAAATCGGTGCCTAAATCCGGGAAAATATGCGCAACATATTGAAAAATGGCTTACGTACTATCCGCCACAACAAATTCATATAATCGATGGTGAAATGCTAAAATTAAATCCAATCGATGTGATGACTGATGTGCAACGTTTCCTAAAAGTCTCTCCAATCGTCGATTATTCAAATTTACTCCGTTTTGATGTAAAAAAGGGCTTCTTTTGTCAAATTATTGATGAAAATCACACAAAATGCCTGGGCAAGTCCAAAGGCAAACAATATCCACCGATGGAAGAAAGAAGCTTAAAATTGCTTCAAAGGTATAATAATGACAAATTGATTTATTCATATGACCAATAACACTAATCAATTTTTTTTTTTCTTTGTACCATAGATATTATCTGAATCACAATATTGCGTTGGTAAAATTATTGAAGAAATTGGGATCAAGACCAATTCCACAGTGGTTAAAAAGTGATTTGAGCAACAAACCATAGCATGAAATTATTGTGAATATTTTGAAATTGTAAATGTAACTTATGCATGTTCGGCGTAGACGCTGTCTAAATAGCACAAATACATATTCTCATATAATAGAGCAGCTATAAGTATGGAAAAAACAACACGAAATTGAACTATTGAAAGTCTTTATTGTACAAGTGATGAAAACCAACATAGATTATATATATTATAGATATATGTATACATAAATAATTTGCATTGTGTCGATTGATGTTAATGGCGTTACATTGGAGTACAAAATGTATGCGTGTAAGTGTGTGTTCCCGAATTAAGCCATTGATATATAGTATATGTAGCAGATTGAAAAAAAAGAAGATTGAATCAATTGTGAAAATTAATTAAACAAATTTAACCAAAATTGTAAATATAAAAAAAAGAATTATATTTGTAAAAAGATTTCATTTACAAATTATAGTCATTATTATTGTGTGGCCTCACAGTCGGTGAGCAATATGCATGGGCATTCGAAATATTCTCATTCAATATACAAAAAAAAAATTCATTCAAGCCCCAAATTTTATCGTTCAAAAAATACGACGAAAAAAATTGTTGTTGACTTCAACGAATAAAGCAAAATAAAAAAAAACGAAAATATTTCATTTTTTTTTTTTTATAAGAATAAGCATTTGAAGGTAAGTATAGATGACTTACCATTGTTGTTTAAATTACTTTTTGTGTCCGAACCTTCTAGAATAAACTATATAAATAATTTGCCACGTTATCAATTAATTAATCATAATTATGTGGTCTGATTTTCATTGGTACTTTATTATTCCCTTTCATTATCGATAATGACACCTTTTCTTGCTCTGGCAATTTATTTATTTTTTTAACTTAAGAAGAAAGACAAAAATTTATAATTGTGTGATTGACTAACAATGTGATGATTTTGTGAACAAATTCCTCTGTTCTAAGCAGATATATTTACATGTTAACGAAAAAAAAGAAACGAAAATGACTCCAAAAATATAGAAATATTAGTTTGGCCTATCTAAATTTTATTCGATTTTTTAATTTTTTTTTTCGATTTTTCCTTTAAATATATTTTCGTATGGCAAAAAATATGAAATTTATTTTTTTTTTCGATTTTTTTTTGTTTAACTTTCTTTCTTTGTCGTTTTCAAACTTTAATAATTTGTTTACATCAGTTTTTATTTAGTCAAGAAAACAAAATGATAAAACTCAAAATTGAACAATTATTTAAATAAACAATAGTTGAATCTGTGTGCTTGATTTTATTGTATGTCGTTCGTTGTTGTTGTTGTTGTTGTTACAATTGGTAGTTGTTGAAGTAGTGGTTGTTGTTTTTAAATTATTTTTGTTTTTGTTTGATTGTTGTTATTTTTGGTCACAAATTCAATTCGAATTCAGTTAGTAAGTGTCGCCTAGGCTGAACATGAGGCGTTTGAAGCTGTGACTTTGATGTATGGTGTCATTCGATTCTCCCAGCGCATTCACCTATCACAAATAGTACTAAAATAAATAGGATTTCAAATTAATTCGGATGGATTGTCTGAATGATTTGGTCAGTGTTCAACCAATACGTTATTACGTTCACATAATTTTTTTTTTCGCGTCAGAAGTAGAAGCTCATTAGAATCCATTTGCACACTGTGTGTTATATATTGCGGAATTAGCTTGAAAAATAAGATTATTAAGAAAAAAAAAGAGGAAACACCGGAATTTGTTCTATTTTGCCATATCGAATGTGATTTAGTAGTATTGAAGATTGCACCGCATTGAATTAATTAAATTGAAATTGAATTTGTAGAAATTCAGCGTTTCATGGTGAGTGAAATTAAAAAAAAAAAAAAATGAGTTTTCAGGGGGGAATTAGCCGTTTAGTGAACTATTTACGATTTAGAAGGTAAAATTAAAAAAATTGGTATGTTTTTAACCCATATCTAGAGTAGAAAAATTGTGTATAGAGGATAAAGCTCAAATATTAATTATTATTGCAAATCCATTTGATCGATGACTCGATTCCGCATTGGCACTGTCGAATCAGGCATATCAAATTACAATGGAAAGTGGGAGAGTTTGTAGCTTTGGCATTGAAAAATATGAATTAGATAAGAATTGAATCGGTGCTTTTGTGGAGATTTTCATTTCGTGAAACTAAAATTAAAGCTACATTTCCCAATTCATTGTTTCGTGTCATTAATTAACAATCCGGATTGATCAGCTCAATGTTATATTTGTTGAACTTACATTGTTGTAGTTTTGTGGTGGTGGAGCTTGGTAATTGGCTTGTGGTTTCTGAATGTGGGGGATGGATGGAATGATTTGAAAAGAAACAAAAAAGGGTACACATATATGTGGATGTCATTTGATTTTCGTTGAGCAAATATTTGTAGACGTGCCAAAAGATGCAGTCGTATTACTTACTTTGCCTGGTGCTGGTTGATATGTTTGATGTTGCACGGTGATTGGGATCTCATGAACTCGTGCTCCGCCAAATCCTCCTTGTTGCTCGTCTTGGATAGCGCGGTAGGTTTCGCTTTTCGATGGATCAAAAACAACAGTTTTCTTGTATCTATTTTTGTTTGTTTGTATTTTTGGGTGTTTGTGTGTGTTGGTGGGATTTTTTTTTTGTTATTTGGTTTTTGTTTTGTTTCACAAAAATAAAATCGGTTTGTTTGTTTGATTATCGGAAAAAAGAAAAACAACAACGTTATTGTGGGTATTGTTTAATACTCTGGGAAATATTTGCAATTTTTTTGGACAATCAATTAGAGTCAATCATATTATTTTACAATGTATATACATGTGCCATTTAAAAATGACAAGAAAAAAAAATGTATAATTATGACCAATACGTTAAATTGGTTAGGTACATTTTTACATGTCTAATATTTTGAGCACAACAAATCATAAACGAAAAGCGAGTTTTTTTTAAATATATAAAATACAATGTTAGTAACTACGTAAAATGGATTAACTAAATCGAGCACTGTGCCATATAAATTAAATTTAAAATGTTCAAATATTTTTCGATGTACATATGTACACATGACTGCCAATTTTCATCAATAATTACTAAATAAAATTATTTATTTATTTTTGTGGCATTTTTCTGTCATCAAAAAATAAATTAAAAATTAAATCTTAAATTCATAAAATATTACGGAAATTGTGGGTGACACGGTAATAATTTTGACAGCGCTAATATGTTACTAAACGTATGGATGAGGATTTTGCTCAATTTACAATGAAAACCAACCATACGGTATTGCATTCATATTTTTTTATGCGAGTTCTTAATGCAAATTTATTTATATCGATTTGAATGCCAATTGAATGCAACGGCATACAGTCGAATTTTAGACGTTGCGCGTTTTTATTTTCAAAATATCTGTTGGTTGTCTTAACGAAAAGGTTGGAAAATTCAGAAAAAAGAAATGTGAACGACATAACTTGCAAGATGTGAGCTGGAAGGCACCGTTCATGCATTTTCCCGTCAAATTTAATTTTTAGCAATTTTTTCTCGCTTATTTAGTTCAAATGGAAAAGTGCCAAATCTCAATCTCACTACTTGAACAAGGGAACGTTCGCGAAAATTTTGCCAATCAAAGGTGAAAAAAAAAAATACATCATATGATTAGTCAGTGTATTTTATGTTTGAAATTCGTATTCAATTGTTTTCGTGTCTAATTGTTCTCTGTTTATTTATATGTTTTGTTTGTTTTTTTTTTTAAGAAAGAAAAAAGCTAATGTGATGATGAAGGCGGATGATATAAATTGAACGGCTGATAGGTTGATAGTCGATTTTGTTGTGCAATGCGTTGTTTGCGTTGTTGCTCCGCAAGAATTCGATTCTTTTCTTCCAGAAACGACAGATCAATGAAAATGCTGTTGTCATGGATATATACATGTTTTTAATTAGAATGACCTTGACACATGTGTGACACTATCATATAAAATTAGATTTGACGTAGCATTGGTTGCTTCATAATTTTTTTTGTTTGTTTTCATTCCTAAACACTTCCGTTTTGGCCAATAAATAATTGATGAATGTAACAGAGAGAGATTGATGAGTTCAGGTGGGCTATTTTAAAAATAGCCAATTCAATTTTCTGATTGATTTATTTGCATAGTTTCTTCTTTGATAATTGTTTTGACATTGAAACGTAGAAAAATGTTCATTTTGTGCATGCAATATTGCATTGATGATTGAACGTGATAATTTGTGAATAAATGAGTAACACCAAAAATCAAAAACAACAATTCGATGAACACATTTTTGAAATTACCCCTCTGTTTTTGATGGCAACGGACTTCGTCGGTCTTGCCTGATTACGTAACAATTCGAATTGAAAAACGACAGAAAAAAAATATAAAAACAATTTTTCTTTGATTAATTTTGTTTTCCACTCATGCAGAAAATGGCGATTCACTTTTTGATTTGTTTCGTTTTCTTTGTACTCGAAAGTAAGAGGAAATAATAGTTTTTTAAAAATGTAAAAATAAAATGCGCTTTAGTATGAGAAAAGCAAAGCAACTGCTGTAAAACTGTCAATGATGTTGTTTGTAAATTTTGTTTTTAGTTTCTATGTCGCCATTAGAGATGATTCTATATCATTTTCAAGATTGCTACTGTACGAAAGTTTTTTTTAAGAAGCTCTCTATCTACATGTGTTTTTAATATTCGAAAAATGCCATGATGCACTTACGGTGTGGTGTTTGGAACGGTTGAGCGTATCGTATGTTCAATGTTACCGTCCGAATAAAGACCGATTGGAGAGTTGAATTGCTTGTGAGCAACCTATTCAAATTGATTTGTTGATGAAAATGGACCATCGCTGGAATAAAATCATGCATATTTTACCTTGTTTCCAGTGTCGCCTACAACGCGGTTAAGATATGTGTCTCCAGCCTATATTTATCAACAAAATTATACACAGTCAACGTGTCATTCAATTTAAATAAATTTCATAATTACTCTTTGGCGCAAGAAATTTTCTTCGACATGTGGAGCACGGCCTCGCATCATCGGATTTGGATGATGTCTCAAGTAGCATTCATTGGGAACGAATTCCTTCTTAACCTTGGCTCCTGGCAAAATCAATGGAGTTGTACGGTAAGGCTGCGATAAAAAATATATATATGATAAAACAAGAAGAATTCATCGAATTAATTAAAATTTACTTATTTCCAGTAGCGATTCATTTATTCAAATCGAGAATATGTGTAAGATTTCATAAATTTTTGTATTTGTTTGCCAGTATAAATTTTGACGTCAGTGAATTCCATGTACAATATTTTCATTAAAATTCAAAAGGAATTCCACTCACGCCATTTGCTTGATCTAAAAATAGGATATCGCCACTGGCGGCATCAAAGGCCGCACTATTGAATAACCGACACTCGGTCAACGTTATGGATTTTCTAAGCAGATTTTTAAATTTTTATTCAAAGTCTAAATAAAATAGCCTACACACAGGTTATCAAACTCATCAGCGTTTTGTCTTTGCTTTCAAAGTCATTATGAACGAAAAAAAAAAACATCAGTGCCGGATTTAATCGAGTGTGCGTTTTTTTTTTCTCGTCTCTTTCAAATTGAGCGAATCTTGAAAAGAAGAAAAAAACTATTTCTCATAAGAAAAAGGCAGAGAGAGAGAAAGAGAAGAGAACGAAAGCGAGTTAAGTAAGGTTTTATATTCTTCATTGATTTTGATGTGAAACATATTCTGTCCTTGGCAGAAAAATCGGTTTTCTAAAAATATATGCGTTGAATGTGAGGAGAACAAGTCATATTTGTTTCGGAACATCAAATTGTGATATTGAAAATGTTCAGCATGAAGAAAATTAAAAAGAAAAGAAATGAATGCCGAATGAACGCAATCCGTATTCGTAACGATTGTTATATTTGAATCGGTTCTATGTATCGTTTGACGTTTAATGGAGAGCGTATACAGCACAATTTTTTATTGTTGTTGTTGTTGCTCATTTTGTTTCGTATGTCTGATGACAGCTTGAAATATCTTAACCTCAACTCGGAACAGTTGAATTGGCGCCAAACATCAACGAAGCAACAGTCATTGTATGGAGGACAAGCAAAAACTATATCATCATCATTTCTTTGTTGCATTTTATACGATTTCGTTTTAATTTCAAATTCAATTTTAATTTATGTGTTTCGATAAATCAAAATTGTGTGCTTATAATTTTTTGTGTAAATTAATTCTTTTAAATACAATAGTAATAATGTCAACAAGAGTGACAAGATCATCTGCTCGAATTTCAACGAACGGTGTTAGTACACAAACGCCAACAAAATCAACGGCTGTGGAAAAACGTCGTCAGCATAAAAAAGTGAATGATGTGAACAATGATCAAAAACGATGCATAAATGAAGAAACAAATGCAGACGATGATGTGCATGTAACACCGCCAAAACAACGAAAATCGTGTGCCAAAGCGAATGCATTGAGTCCATCAACGTTATTGCATCGATTGAGTATCGGCGAACAAGAACAAGATGAAAATCAACCAGAAAAGCCGAAAAGTAAAATCGATAATGCTCGCAAAGTATTGAATGCAGCCGAAACCGAAGAATTGTATGGACGTGAAAAGGAAATCGATGAACTCAATGAATTTCTTACATCAAATATCACAAAGAAAACTTCAGCGAGTATTTATATCAGCGGTCAACCAGGTAAGAGAACTGTGTAAAAATCAAAGGATCATTTTTTTTTTAAATCGAATACGATTCAATCTCATTTTTCATAGGCACTGGAAAGACGGCATGTATTCGAAAGCTGTTAGTTTCAACGAATGCGAAAAAATTCCAAAAAGTTTACATCAATTGTATAAAATTGCAAACACCAGCAACTGTGTATCGTACCATTTGTACAGAACTGAATTTACCGGTTGTGAGCGATAAGAATGTGAATTTACGCAGTATTCAACATTACATTTGTAGCAAAAGTAATAAAATGGTTTTATTAGTGCTGGACGAAATCGATGAATTGATCGAAAAAAAGCAATCAATATTGTATACAATATTTGAATGGCCAGCATTGTTAAATGCAAAAATCATTCTGATCGGTATTGCCAACTCATTGGATTTAACAAATCGTGCGCTATCACGTTTACAAACGCAATCGACAGCGGTGAAGCCACGCCTCATGCATTTTTCACCATACACCAAAGAGCAAATCGTTGACATTTTCAAAAATCGTTTGCAAGCAGCCGGTGTTCTGGACATATTTCCAGTGGCAACGTTACAATTGATGTCGGCCAAAGTGGCTGCCATGTCTGGTGATATTCGAAAAGCGCTCGATCTTGGTCGGCGTGTCGTTGAAAAGGCGAAAGAGAGCAATTCAAATTTCAATGCGCAAAGTTTAAATGATCTCGGGATCAATGAAATTGAAAAGACTGACAAAATCGAAGTGAAACAAGTGCTTAACGTTCTCAACGATGCATACAGTACGGCCAATAAATGGGATGATGAAAATGGCGATGCAATTCCATTACAAGAGAAAATTTTGGTGTGTACATTGTTGTTGCTGTTGAAACAATCCAAAAATAAAGATATTACGGTGGGAAGATTACGTGAAGTGTATGCAAAAGTGTGCAACAAACGTGGCATTTCGGCATTGGATGAATACGAACTATTTGGCCTTTGTTCGCTCACCGAAACTAAAGGAATTATCAAAATGATCAAAAATAAGGTGGCACGACAAACGAAAATACAACTACAGTGGGACGAAGATGAGATCACAAATGTAGTCAAAGATAAACAACTGATAGCCAATATTCTGACGGATGTTACTGTGTTGAATAAATGAATGGCAACGATGCTTTCAATTTTTTAGGCTTTTTTTTCTCTTTTTCGTTTTGAAAACATTTTTTATTATTTGGATTTTTTTTAAGTGCATTTTTATGAGCCCAACGATGTATAGCATATTAGATTTAAGCATCGATTTGCTCGATTCAATATAATTTCGAAATATTAAACTAGACCCACTTCATTTTTAGTTTCAGCTTCAGACAAATGAGTCTGTGTGTATGAGTTAGGATATATATATTTTTTTAGATGTATAAATACCATTTGATTGTATTCGAATGAATGTGCCAAAGAAATGATCGTGGGTCGATGTTTTTCGCAAAAATTTCATCGTCAGTTCATATGCTTATATACCTTTATATATATAGTGAGAGAAAATATGTACACACAAACATCTAAGACGAAGAAGAAGAAGAAAAAAAAAATATCAAAAACTCGAAGAAAATTTAAAAATAGAACCGATTTTTCATATATACAGCACTTGAGTCTTTCTAGTAATTTCGATAAATTGGAATGAACAACAATCTATCTTTTTTTTCCCTATCTTAATGATTTTTTTCCTTTCTCCATGCGTCAAATAGTGTTCGTTCATGCAAATATTTGAAAACGAAAATTATTTCACCACAATTATTGATGAAAATTAATCGCATTTATCTCTATGTCATTCATTATTTGCTTTCTCATTAATTTATCAAATTATTTATTTTCATCGATTTTAATTTATAATAAAAAATGGCATAAAAAGAAATAAAGCATAATTTTAACATGTATATCTGAATTTATACCGTTATTCCGAAATAGTCTGAACTATTGTACTAGGTCTGATTCGTGTGCTTTTCATACATGCTACGGAATTCCATGACAATGAAAACTAATTTAATTTGTCTGATAAAAGTGATCAAAGATAAATAAACACAATAAGAAACAATTCATTTGTTGTGGTTGTTTTTGCTTAAAATTCCCTTTGTCAGCATTTATGTTGACCATTGCATAAAATTGGTCACACCCATTTTAGGTTGCTTATTAATCCCGTCCAAATTTGCAAACATGACGAACGAATTTACGATAAAGTTTATGCAAACAAAAAAAAATATGTATGTCTTACTTGGTGACCGATAGCTTCGTTTGTAGCTTCGGCTTGGGTGGCATAGTGAGGATGGACAATGAATTTGGTGTCAGCTAGCGGTCTTCCACGATAATATGTTGCCATTTTAATATCCTTTTTCTTTTGCTTTTCGTTTAATTTATTTTATCAATTAATAATAAATCGACTTAGGAACTTTTGTCACTAAAAAAACAATAAAAATCAAACTGAATTACTCTGGTTTCGGGACGTTTTTTTTCTCGAAAGAGAATTGGAAAATCGACGTTTTTATCAAGACAAAAAAAAATGTAAGTAAAAATCACTATAAAATCGTAAATAAATAGAAAAAATGTCTCGCGTTTGTTTATTGATGTTTTTTTTGAATAAAATATCGTGAAATATGACCGTAAAAAAATTGATTCGAAACTATTTCGCTAATAAAGTATAAAGCGTTGAATTTTTAACTTTGGAAAAAATAAGAGAATTTATTTTACCGTTAGCTACCAGTGAATCACTGTGTTGCACTCAAAATATCTCAACATCAACTGAACCACCGAAATTTTTGTGATAGTAGCTTTTTTCCGAAAAATACGGATTGTGAAGCAATTTTTATGCCATTGAGAGCCGAATTGAGCGCGAATAGAGAATTTTACAACGCGAAAATAAAAAAAAAATCATAATAAATAATTTGACCCTGTGTATATGTATACATAGTGTATGGTTGGCTATCAAACAAAGGAGTATTGGTGCGAGAGTGAGTGAGAGCCAGTGTGGATATGCCGAGAGATCGGAATGGATTTTAAATTGAGAAAATAGGCAACTCAATACACATACAAAGGTCCGGTGGGTGATATGCGAAAAATATGAAGTGTGTGAGTGTGAGGACGGGTATTTATTTATGCAAGAAAAAATGAAATTAATGGCAACAACAAATGAAGAAGAAGAAGACAGAAGAAAAAACACACACACACTCTGGTTGAGTCGTAAGGAGAGAGTCTCAACCGCAAAATTTACGAAAATCTACGTACATGCCTTTGTTTCTCCTTCGCCATTTATCCTTCAGTATACCACATATGCGAAATTGTATAAGCATACATTTTGTAAATATTGTGTAAGATTTTAATTTTAGTTGGATGCCGTTCACACATCATTCTATCTTGAGAGATCTATGATCGAGCAAAATCTATGTATTCATATCAGCCAAGTTTGATTTGTTTGTTTGTTTGTTTGAATTTCTTATATGATTTCTCTTTTTTTCTCTTTTCTCGTTCATCTCTGTTCCTTTACACACGCCATATGCCGTTGATTGGTGTGGCTGAAATGGACGAATGATTTGATGATGTGGGAAAATTGCCATCGAATAACGCCTTTATGTGTTGTTTATTTCTAATAATATTGAAGAAAATGAAAGGACCCATGATTTGGAGTTGGATGGTCACCTCATCGAATAGGAATTAAAAAAAACGCCGAGTTCATTGCTAAATTAAAGATTCAAACAAAACATGTGGCCGTCTATGTCACAACATATCGATCATCTCTTGCTTAAGCTCTCATCGCATTATTAATTCGTATGATGTAAACCATGCAAACCTTTTAGCTATACGAATGTCGTAAATAGGAATGTTTCCTTCATCAAATCGGAGTGTTTCTATTGTATTGGTCATCAATTTGTATTTCGAAAACAAATAATGAATATTCTAGATCATAAATTCTACACATTTTAATGGCGCATTTTACATTAATTCAACACTTTGTCTGATTTGAATTTTTTCTTGTTTTCAACTTTAGTCTGAATGTGTCCTTCATTTGGCTTGGATAAAAGTCGTTCCCAAATGATTCATACATAAAATTGGTGTGTGAATTCGTTCATGATCTCATAGCATCGTTCGCATTAAAGACGTCGGACACGAAATACAATTACGCATGTGTAAAGAGTGAAAATTCGATTCATGAAATTTTCCGTGTGCGCGTTGTCTCTGTGTAAGTGCTGTCTCATGTGTATGTATATCGACACATAAATATAAAATCGCTTCTAGATGAGTTTTTTTAAAACAAAAACGGTTTCATATATATTTATAGCAGCTATATTTGCTAAGACACTTGTTTTGTTATTCAACTGAAACAAAGCTGATGTCACGAGTAAAATTCATGTAGAAATGTAAACACTTTTTCGAAAGAAAATAAAATTTTAAACGCGGCAAAGTGTTTTTTTGCTTTGGAAACGTTGTTTTTATGAGAAAATCGTTACAAATCTTTGTTAATTGTTTTTCTTTCTTTGGATTCCCTGGCACAACAGATTCTATTTAATATTTGGGTTTGTATCAAGTGAAATTTTATCACACAAACAAATCAGTTTTAGATTTTCATTTAAATTCGAATGAACCATTGATTACTTACCTGTGATGTGATTGTGGCCTGTTCATCTCGTACTTCTTGTTGATGATCTCTGGTTGGCATCGGGCTAAAATTTGACATACGTGAATTTGGTCGCGATGAACCACAATCGCTGATCGACAATGATTGAAAATTCGTTTGTGGCAATGATAATGCAGCCTGTTCGGCCTGTTCATTGAAATCAAATTGAAGTAAATTGATTTCGGGACGATATGGTGGTACTGCCGATGGGCTACGTGATTTTTGTACATCATTTCGCATATTTGATGCGACCACCATTTTACTGTCACGATAAACAACAATTCGGATGCGATTGTAAGCGTTTCGAAACAGTGTTTGAGCATCAACATTTCGGATGTCACGAGCTACAAATTAATTTGCAAAAATATCATTTTTTTTTTTCTCATAAATAAATGTTATTGAAGTACCATCATATTCCTGGATCTTGACAATTATATCGCCACGCACTAGACGACCAAAGGCTGGACTGCCGGCCAAAACCTGCCCGTTTTCGATTCATTCGATTAAAATAAATAAAAAAAAACGAATAAAAACATTTCAAACATTTAAAAGGGATAACGTTGACACTGAGCTGTGTCGAAATGATTTTTGGCGTGCATTCTGATGGGGAAATGATTTTGAATTATTTAACCTTTATACCTTTGTTATAATTAACGGTGTATTTACTTCTATTCCGCCAATTAAGCGAACGCCCCAGCATATATGTGGCCCGTCACGTTCAAGATCAATTACAACCTCACGTCGCTTAGAGGCCATTATTATTGAAAAATCGCTTTAAATTACACTCTCTTCGCTTTAATTTGTTGTAGTTTTTATTTTGTTTGGCCACAAATGCACAGCCTTTCACACACTCTCTTTCTCTCACCCTCACTTGCACACAATTCACTCTTCTTCTGCTTTCGATGCACAATTTTTCACTTGAACAAAATTTAAGAAGAAAAAGAATATAAGTAGCAAATTAAAATGTGACACAAAATGGAAAACAGTTTTTTTGTTCTTTCTTTATGTCGGGGGGAGAGCAATTGATTTTCTTTTCCACTTTGGTTTGAAATGTAAAATCGAACTGCGGTTTGCGTTCAATTTGAATTTCAAACAAAGTCAACTTGTTTTCGTTCGGAGGAAAAATCAATCTTGAAGTGTTGACTCACCCGAAAAAACAACTAACTGTTTGCAAGTACAGCGAAAAACTTAATTTGAACGAAAATTAAAAAAGAAGAAGACGAATCAAACAACAACAACGAAAAAAAAGAGATAAATAAGCCAATGGATGTATGAATTTTCGGCGTCGTCGATGTTAGAGAAGATGTCGAAAATGCCGTTTTTTTCTATATATTGTACAAAACAAATAAATTTGTATGCACTATTCAGCTGATTCAGCTGTTTTACAATTTCGTAATTATTCGTTATCTCCTTTTTTCCTTGAATTGAATTTAATAGTGGTCTATTTATAAAGATTGGCGTACATGATGTTTTTAATATCGAACAACTGAGAGATGAACTACATTTACTTCGGTTTGATTTGTTATTTTATGTATTTTTCGCTTTTTATATTTTTCTTGCTTTTTTTTATTTCGGCAATTTATCAACAACACAACATTTGAACACGGATGCACCGTTTGTGTGCATTCGTTTGCACTGCTGTAATTATGCACAATATGTTCGCGATGCGAATACTCCACGCCAATAGATACGCGTATGCAATTATAGAAAATGACACCTTCACAAGTCAATATTATAATTATATCCCGTATTCGGTGTAGAATTCAATTGAAGCAACAACAGACAGAGAGTACGTCGTATTCACTTGAATTTCCGAATCAAATTAAAAACAATTTTTTTGTTCGTTTGCATCGAGACATCAACGATTGATCGATTCGTCGGTTTGATTTTTTTTTTATTTGCGATGTAAATTAATTCGAAACAGTGTATTGCAAATTGAATCAAGAATTAATACATAATTCTCGGATTTTGATGAGTGGTTGTGGTTGTGTTGCATAACATAAAGTTCCTTTTAATTGAATCATCGTTTATGTGAGATCTCTGTTGAAATGGCTCTCAAGTGCATGAAACAACGTTTGGTTTCAGATCAATGATGATTCGTCATGTATTACGTTGTATTTAGCATAACAACAGCAAACTGTATAACAGATCAACAACTTAAGAATGTGTTCGATAATAATTGAAAGCATCAATAATGCCATTTGAAAAGGGATTCATTTGTTTTTAATCGATTCGCTTGTATCAACCTTAAACGATTTTATCTAGTTTCGAGCATTTCTTTTTATTTTACTTCGTTTTTCAACAACAACAATAATAATAATAACAATCGATATCGTTCCAATTTGTTGATCGCATTAAGCTCGGAAAAATGAAGAAAAATGTTTTGAAAAACACATTGACATGCACGCACACGCTTTGCTCGGAATACTAGTTTTCGAACAACAACAAAAACATCAGTACATCGATAAAGCACCGCAGTTTATTTTCGGATGTCATAGAAATAGTTTTGTGTTTCTTTCTTTAATTATCCTGTAAATTAAATTTGTGGGCCGAACGAGAATGCCGTCTACGTTTAATACAATTTAATCATTTTTTAAACCTGAAAAAAAAAATTGAGAAAATGTGCGTATTTCGTTGAGAGAACAGCCATGCCATGCTCGTTTTCATTAGAAATTGTGACCTTTATGCCCATTTATACATTCATGGTCAAATGAAATATTTCACAATATCCAGACAAACACAAAAAAAAAACAACAAATAGCAATTTTGAGAAATTATTTTTAATTTTATTATTTATTTTTGTTGTTTTTGTTGTTGTATATATTTTGTTTGAAAATTTAAATAAAACAATAAGTCTAAATTTCGGAATGAAAGGAGATTTAATGTAAAAATACGAATGTAGGATGTCCTGACGATTGCGAGATAGAGAAAAGAAAATATAATAAAAGAAAAAACATAACAAATAAATGTCTAATTCATAAGATACAATGGGCACTATTTAATTGATGAAATTTGCATTTTGACGATGCTTTCGTTGATATTCATCAGGTTTTGGTTGTGTTTTTGTTGAAAAATAATGAAATTCGTTTGACATCACTCTATTCGTATTCAGGTTGAACTTGGATGGGTTGTCTAATTTGTTGCTGTTGCTGTTGCTGATGTTGCTGATGTTGCTGTTGTTGTTGTTGTTGTCGTTGTGCTTGTTGACGGTATTGCGATTGTTGTGGCAAAAAGTGTGGTTGAGGTCTTGACAATTTTCCAATGCTGTTTTCCGGTGCTGGTGTTGGAACTTTCACCACAATATCCGTTGGTTGACGCACAACATCGGCTTTGAATCCTAATCAATATTAAATAAATACAATTAGGTAGAGTTAGTTTTTGATATTTATGAATCAAACGTAGAGGTCCTTTACCTTCTTTGGGATCGGCGGTATATGTCACGGTTCGAATGAATCCATCGCTGTCGACAACTGAATATGATCCCTTGATCACATTACCATCACGTACTTCTTTGCGTTGTTGATAATTTGTGTACTCATCATCTTTAACATCGAAACCAAATTGATACGATGAATTTCCCTGCAAATAGGATAAATCGAAAAATCAATTCACTTGCACATAAAACGAAAACCTGTTCATTAACCAGTAATAATAGTTACGATGCAATCATATGTGGGAGCGATACGAGAAACAATGAAACAAACACTTGCATCAGAGATCATCGGCATGTTAGACCGGTGGTTAATTGCTGAATTGGTTTCATAACGTTCAATTATTAATAGAGAATTTTGCGAGATGGATTACAATTCAAGTTGAATAAACTGCGTGCCACAATATGAAAAATATAAAAGACTTTCATTCGCTTTATTGTTTCTTTTTTCATTTTCGCAACGTAATTGTCTTCGATAAATCGACATCGTTTTATCATCATTTTGATGCAATTCGCATATATAAATCCACATATATACCGTTCGTTACACATTATTGATACACTTTCACTGGGCTGGTCGGAATATGTGAACGAGAACGGTGATACAGAAATAAGACATACAATGAAATAAAGTGCGTTTGCGCATATTCATTAATTGTAAACAGTTGATTTTATTGCCGGTTGTTGTTGTTTTTTTTTTTCGTCTCTGCTTTAAACAGTACAATTTAATGGTGGCTCTTTTCTCGGTCTCTCGGTTTTCTATCGTTTTAATTTTTTGTTGTTGCGCACAAAACATTCACAGTTAGATCGGCTAGTTAAATTATGTTGTGAAAACATTTGATTTATATGCGTGCGTATGGTCATAATACACATTTGATCAAATGAGAGAAGTCAAAGCAGTCTGTCATGCATATTGGTGCCTGAATGACTGTCTGCTTCAAGCCATATAATGACTATCAAATTAAATTGAAGAGAAGAAAAAAATTGTTGCATGGACAACAAATGTGATAGACAGCAATTTATTCCACGCAGTCATTTCGTAAGAAGAACTATGGATTATTTTGATTGAATCATGAAATCAAAACGAAAATGTCCATAAGAACACATCAAAATGGCAGAGTAATTGGCTGCGTGTGTTTTTTTTATTTCACTTATTTTTATTTTATTATATGTGTGTGTGTGTGGGCTAAGTGTATCGAATATGAATTTCATAAAAACCGAATTGATGTGCGTATGTGCAAATAGTCTTTGCAGATCCAAAATAGATACAAATGTTTCATTATTTCGTCAGGTAGGTGCTCGCGCATAAACTGTATGCAATGCTTGCGGGTGTCTTGTTTTGTATATATTTCGTTTTGTGTTGATTTTCGTGTTTGTGTTACAATTTGCTTTCTCTCTTTCTGTTCACGATCAGACCCATTCCCTCTCACTTTCTCAATTGGCCCATTCGAATTGGCGGCGGCGGCGATTAACAAGGCCCAGAATTGTATGGTAAAATACACAGGCGACGTGAAAATCGAAAATGTATAAACATGAAACGAGAGCGAAATGGTAAAATAAAAAGCAACAAAAACAAAGCACGAATCAAAGAGTTCTCATAGTCTAACAATAGCCAATGCTTGTTAAATTGCGAATGGAGTCATGCGTCAAGCAGCGATTATACAATATATGTATCGTATACTATATGTAAGCATGAATGCACGTACATTTTCGCTAAGTGGGTCGAAATTCATTTCAGAATAGATTACATAAAAAAAACCGTATCGGCATATTTGTGCGGTTTCATTCCAGACATTGGATGCTGCTGCTGCTGATTTTTTGTCTCTCTTCTTTAAATAACGGGTATATCACGCCCAACATATATGTTTGATTGCTGAAATAATATTTTCAACGAAAATTGAAACGGCCACATTTCGAAGTCAATTTAAATGAAAAAAAAATAATCAATTTATTAGATGTTGAAATGACATTTCATAGCATAGCATATGATATTTCAACATTTGAATGGAAGAATCGATTTGACGACAAACCGAGTAGATATAAAGGTGCGCGCGACCATCATCAGCCGTTGCCGACTTTGTTCAAGTGCCAATTAATTATACTAAATCTGCGAATGGCATCAATGAACTCGGCGATCGGTTCGAGACAGTCGCTTACGTGCACACATTCACACACACATAAATATGCACGTCGATTAGATGACAGATCAATGAAATACACAAATGCGAAAGAAAGAAGACAGATTTCTTGTGCAGCGTTTTTTTTTTATTGCCACGATTTCAACTATTTTTTTTTCTTCTCGGTTGTTGTTGCTATTGTAATTATATTGTTTGTAATGTACATAAGAGGGTACAACGATTACAGGCCAGTTATGAAACTAGTTGTATATTATATTGAAGTTGTTGGTGTGATATTTGTTTTAATATTTTTGCTTTCTTTTGATGATTATTATATGCATCATTGTGCGCGCGCACACACACACGCCATCCGATCCATACATTATGCATGTACACACACAAACAAAGACACTCACATGAAGAAGGACAGAATGCGAGCATTATTCAAATTGTGCGAATGCACGTGTGCGCGCGCGCCTGCAATTCGCGAAAGTGCATTAACTCCATATACGTATGTACAGAAACATTTTGAAAATTTTAAACGCCAAAACCCGTTTCCATTCAAATTGTCAGTGACTTTATATCTGAAAATGAAACTGAAACCAGACGACGACGATGATGACGAGAGCAGCGGTTTGGTAAAAGAAAAGCCAGAGCAAAAATAACATCGACCACATTCAATACCAAATGGATAGAACGTGACCGTTTACAGTTCGATGACAATTCATTTGCGTATAATGTTTGCCGAACTGAAATGAATCAGCCAATTTCCAAATCTGTATATGTGTAATGGCAAATTTTATACACGATAAAAATGATTGTATTACAATTACAATGGTTTGCCGAAATATATAAATAAATATATGTTGTTGGTTTTTTTTTGTTTTTCTGAAACTTTTATCGGTTGAAAATATTAATTTATATAAAATTATATCAATTGCAGTGCATTACGTAAAAGAAAGGTGGTGTATCATGTGAAATGACAGAATCGGCTCTTTTTCACTCTTTCTTTCTCTCGTGGCAAGAAAGACTCTTGCATATAATTCCACTTGATTATATGTTGCATATTTTTTGCCAAATATAATTTCTGACTTCTCAGACAGAAAGAAAAAAAACACACAAAAGAGAAAAAGATGTGGAACACACATTATAAACACGCCAGAATTATTTGCTTACGTATGTTTTTTTTTTTAATATTTAAATCTAGCTTGAACCGTTTCGTGCGCGTTATTTTCTTAGCGCAATTTGATCGTGTATATTTGAAAGTAACCAGCAAAAAAAGTTTATCTGATTTGGTTTTAGGCGCCTCGGTCTCTTTTGGTGCAATTACTTCATTTTTTTTCCTACAAAGCCACAAAAATAAAATATACTATCTATCACACATATTTATTCAGCACAACTCTCTGATATTTGATTCTTGTTCAGTAGATTGGTTTTCGTGTACATATGCAGCCAAAAGCTTGTCTCATTTTTCATTGGCCTTTTCGATGTGTACGTGTTTTTTTCTTTTCAAATGTGATTTTTTTTTTCGCTTTAAGTTTTATCACGATTTAGAATTTAGTGAATGGATTTCGTTTGACTAACCTCATTTTCTTCTTCTTCTTGTTCTTCTGGATCACGTTGCGATTGATATTGTTGTATTTGCGGTTTACGTGGGATGGCTAACGTTTGCTTAGTTGGCGTTTGTGGTCGATTGTATTGGATGTGTTGTTGTTGGTATTGGGGTTGGTATTGTGGCTGTAAGAATTTAATAATAATAATAATAACAGTAAGTGTGCTCGTTCGATCACAATTTTAAATGTCGTTTCTAATTGCGGTCTATTTAAACGTGAGAGGAAAAATAAAACACAATAAAAAAAAATGTTGCCGAACCTGTTGTTGTTGAGTATATTGTCGTACTGATGTTGGTACTGAATATTGTGGTTGTTGCACTCGAATCTGAAAGTATATATTCCTCATGAGCAAAACCAAAAACATTCGAATATTGTCTTTTTTGCCATCAATTCGAAAAACTTTGAAAAGATTTAGAGATACCAAAAAAAAAAATGATGCTCACCTGTTCTTGAACTGGATCACGGACTCGGATTTGTTGGCCAACAGATACTTGTGGTGACGGTTGGAATGATGTGTTTTGCTCAAAAATTGGTGTAACATCCTGAACTGATCCACGGATTGCGTTCGGATTCTGTTGTGAAAGTTGTGCATAATAATCACGCAGATAGGCTGGTTCGATTTGTGGCTGTTGTGGACGTGCCATGATCATTTCGATCGTCGGCAAAATTATCGTAAATAAAACCAAAGCGTTCATTTTTTCTTAAAAATTGTTTAAATCTCTAAGCTCTATAAATTCTATATTTAGATCACTAATTTTAATTTATCTTGAACAAATTTTTTAAGTTTTGAGCACTTTTATTCAACTGTTTTAAATGGTCTAACTAAAAAAAAGCAACCGTTACACTACGAATGAAATTGAATGGCAACGGAAAAAAAGTACAATAAAAAAAAATGATTACGAACTTCACAATACAGCGTAAAGATCGGTATTGTTGTTACTCGCTCAACAGATATTGACTTTTATACAAGGCCTGAGTAGGGGTATTTCAGTTCAATTTTACTACCGCTACTTCATTCAATTCACCGTAATTATATGCGATATGTGAATTGTCTCCTTTGTTATTTGCACAGTTTCTTATACAAGTGATGATGATGGCCGTGTGTGTGTGTGTATGTGAGTTTATACCGGCGTGTGCAGTGCCAAACATTATGGTGGTAGGAAATTTAGCTGTATCTTAACGAAATCATCGCATTTCTCGTTGGATTTTAATGCTGTGGTGCCGATGGTATATGTAGCCTTTTTATGGTTCATGCATGGAATACGCATCGAGCAACTATCATCATCATCTTGCCAACGATCGACTTATGTTGGTTGATTTGTAATTTATGCACGTGCTACTTTCATTCAAGAGCGATCACAATCTAATGCGATATCGTAGCATATGTATGTAATCCGATGACTATTATTATCAATCAAATACGTACTGGGCAATAGAGTAACAACAAGAAAAAAAAAGAAGACGCAAAACAAAAATTGGGCTTTCCATCGACCACCGCCATGGAGAAAGAATGAACGAGACAGTGCGGTACAGTGACTCGAGAGCGTTGAAAAAAAAAGCAGCAACCAACACCTGAACTCTACAATTCGTAACGATATTTATTGATGGAGTTATAATTAACAAGTGAAACCGTCGGCATACGTGTGTCATACGAAGTCTTTTATGTCATTACGTTGAACAACGTAATTTATCGAATCGAATGGATGATCGAGAAGACAATAAACCCGCTTCAAATGGTTTTAACAAGTTTCGATTATGCCGTTGGTATGGCGGTTGCGGTTGCTGTTGTTGTTGTTATGTTATTGTCACCTCAAATGATTATTTAACTGACTTTGAACTCTTTTATAAATCGCGCAATAAGTCAAAACATGAGCCGATTAATTCGATCAACTTTGCGGCCGATTCGAAACGGCTTCCACTTTTATTTTAATCACTAATTACATCAGACCATATATACTCGAAAAAAAATATAAAAACACACCGCATTTGATTATTAATTAAAAGAAAAGCACACTTATATCATAAATTAGTGGCGTTAAGTCATACAAAGATTGTGAATTAGAAACATATATATCGTGAACAAACAATTAAAAAGAAATACAACAGCAATAACAGCAAATAGAAATGTTTTAATTCACATGAGGCTCAAATTGAATATTTGGAAATGTATCGCGTGAAAAGAGAGTGTTTGAATGTGTGTGTTTGTGCCTATGTGGTCTTTGGATGGCATGGGATTTTCCGTGTTCACAACATTGAAATTTTGTGCAGCGGAGGCTTTCCAATTATGGTGTGCTCTGAATATATAACGAAATAAGAGTTTTTTTTTGGCAATAAGACTTTTTATTTATATATCAAATGATTTTTCGTTCATCAAACAAATGCAATTTTTTTATTCTCTCCTCACTCTACTCTCTTTCTCTCCCGTTTTACATAGTCAACCATAATGTGATGTATCTTTTGTTTGAATTTCAAATGGAATGAAAAAGAAAGAGAAAATATGCAATAAAATAGAAATAAAAATTAGTTAAAACTTGCAAGCGCCTATTTTATAAACAAACAACTGTCTGAAATTACGTGTGAACTTAGGCGATTAATATTCGTGTTGTTCATATATTGATAAATTACTTATTTATTGAATCGGTTATTTTTCTCGGCTTTTTTTATGTTTCAGCAAATATAAATAGCGATTTCTGTAAATTCACGTTGTCTAGACAAATTCCAATACCAAATAATTTAGTATGTTTTAAGCCGAACATTGTCGTGTCTTATAAGGACAAATGCAACGGCACACTATACATAATTTTTGCTGTTCGTACACCGCACAAATACGATCACTCTCGACACTGATCTTAGTCACGATAAAATCGTACGCCCCACTTTACATTTGCATTTTGGTCGGTTTTAATAAGTGTGAATTGTGCGGCGATCGGTTGAAACATGCTGTCCAATTCGTCATCCGACTGGATCCACTTTTTTGGATGAGATTTTGCGATTTTGGTTAAACCTGGCACATATTTGTCGTTTGCTTATGGTGAATAAAATTGGGTAAAACCCATTAAAATTAAATTAAACATATTTTGCGTATAAAAATGAGAGAATTTTGCTTACGTGTAATTGCTGCAAAAATCAGGCCATAACTACCGATCAACATCAAAACCATTAAAATATGTTTAAGATGCATTTTTTCGCGTTTTTTTTTTTTGTTTCACACACAAATCGTTGCACAAATATTTCCGATTCGACAAAAAAGTGTGTTCGGACACATGAGAGCAAAAAATAAACCGAACAGCTTCCCAAACAGCACTAAGGTGTGTACTGATTTTGACGAAATTTTGCATTCAATTATGAAATGTTCGCTAAGGTGTCCAATATTTTATACTATACAGACCTGGAAATCATTTCAATTGCAATCGGTGGTACATATGGAATTAAAAGAAGTGTGTGTATACACATGAGGTAAAGAAATCAGCTATGAAATTACATTCCATTCACTTCATGTGCGTTGAGAAAAAAAATCATTATACATTGTATGGAATTAGCTCAATCAAATAACAAAAATAGATGTCGAGAGCAAGAAAAAAAAGAACTAGCTACGGCCACGTTTCTGTTTGCGTTCCAATTTTTATTCAATTGATTTTTTTCTCTCGCAAGAGCATATTTCGATTTTCCACATCTATAAAATCGATCTATATCATAATCGATTGTCAGCAATTTCGGTGTAAATTCGATTTGCCATCACAAACAGCCAACTTTCCAAAAAAAAAAAAAATCGACCACACAATTTGCCAAAATCTATTTTCTTCTCCATTCTCTGATTCTCTATCTCAGTTGACATATATGGTTCTGCTTTGGTGAAATCAATGATTGCAATAACTCTCGCAACTGATATACGATTTAAATATATTTTGTTGTTGTTGTAATTTTAGCACACTTATGTAAAATAATGTGTAATGCAATTGCTCAAAGCTGGAAAAAATGTCCCTTTTCAATTAACATTCAAGCAATTTCTACATAAATAACCGTTAAATTAACCGAAAATCGAACACTTTAAGCAAATTAAGCACTTATGTAAGTTTGTGGCAGCTCAGAATGGCAAGAAACCAAATTGGTTTCAATTGCACACAAGCAATGAAGAAACTTAAATAAAATGCGAATAACATTTCAGCAGCGTTGAAACTTTCGTTGACAAATTTATTTAACACTTCAGCGACTTTTGGTTGTGGGACTGAAGCAATCGCAGCTTGTCATGTGTTCTGGAATTAACATTCGATTGTTATTGCAATATTACAATCATTGTAAATTTGATCTCTGATCGAATAGAAATCAGCTGCGAATGGGCTAAAAAGCGAAATTTTCTGTCAATCAAATCATCGTTTTTATTGCAATGAGATTCTTATTACGTTTGATTGGTAATTACGAATCGTTTAGTGAAAATGAAAATATATATATAAAAAACGCCCATTTTGATAGGCACACATGTGGTTTTTGCGACGCTAACTAAACACACATTAAATGTGGCTTAACGGCCAATTTTCATCGGCTCGAAGAGAGAATAGCAGAAGAGACAGTGGCGATTTTTTTTTGCTGTTTATTTTATTTCAAGTGAAATTTTTTTTTTTTTTTTGAGAAAGGTGCAGTGCATGGCACAATTACAGATTTTGATGTTTTTTTGCTTCTGCTTCTTCATTTTGGTTTCGAATCTTTACGCATTTATCGTCTTGCTCTGGCCACTGCCAGCACCACAGCAACAGGTGAATTAAGTTAACCGTGACATTGTTCAATCAATCGTGAGGAATTTCATAAACAATTTAATTTTTTTCTCTTTTCCGCCGAAGCCACGCGGTATGTTATTTGTCATTGCTGGCCAATTTCTTCAAATGGAAACTGTGAATTCGAAATTTACATTTGATTGAAAAATAGAGAGAAGCAAAATAAGAAAGAAAAAAACGTCTCGATGTTTTTTTTCTACTTCAATTCAATGTTATAAATATCTGAAAATCTATATTTCGACTTAGTCCATTTTTTGTGGTTCAGCAGAGAGAAACAAATTTTACTTGAACGCATAACAGGTGAAGTGTGTTGTACAAATAGAAAAAAAGATATCATCAAGTGAATATATCGTGTATGAATTGTGTGTATGAGATTACGTTCGGTATTTGGATTTTATTCATCTTTGATTTAAATTGAGGCAAACAAGAGTGTTTTGTCATCATGACATTAACCGGTGCATTAATTTTAGTGATAAATCTGGTGTTTGTATTGTGCATTGGTGATTTGTATGCATATGAATTATTTCGACCAATGCGTGCTGCGACGGGACGTGGAATGTCGCATGTCGTTCCAATTCGTTCTTTGGATCAATCGACAATGCGTCGATTAACTCGTAGACCAATCGAAATAAATCCGGATTCGGAGTCCATTTTTCTACCATCGCATCAGGCAAAACAGCGACCATTGCAAATAATGGAACGCATTTCAGTTCCAGTTGATGCAAATCATAATTTTCCACGCAAGAAAAAAGAAAATTTTAACGTTTTAAATTTTGAAGCATATGTAATGAAACCATCAATGAATGAGGCCACCATAAAACCGGTGACCGAACGTATTTTACATTTAAATTATCATAACGATGACGATCGAGATGATGCTAGACCAAGTCCGAGTAGCCATCACAAATATCGTTCACGACCCGTGCCAAAGAAGCCAAAGAAAAGTATTCACATGTCACATGCCAAAGAGTATGACGATTTAGAATTTTATCGTGCATTTTTAGAGCATCAAAAGCATGCAGCGATGGTAAAACGATTGAAACCAAAACCCGAACAAAACTCTCGTTTGCCCATTGGCATCGATTATTTTGAAAATAAAAATAAAAATAAAATGTTTCCGCCGATAACGTATTCACCACTTTATTTAAGTAATTTACATCGTTCACATGCATATGAAGATGTTGAAGCATCAAATGTACAACAAGTTAAAATGCGACATCCAGATATGATGAAAAAGGAAGTGATGACAAGTATGCAACAGCATCAGCAACACCATCAGCAACACCATCACCAACACCAACTAACAACACTAATTCCGGATGCATTAAGCACCATGAATATGCCAATGGAAAATGAAAAACAAGTAACTGAAACGATGCCACCACCCGAAATTTCAATATCAAACGAACCAGATAGATTTAACAGTTTAGCATCGGAACCAGATAGATATCTTAGTTTAGCCTCCGAACCGGATCATTTTCATGGCTTAGCATCGGAACCGGAAATGTATAAATTTACAATTGATGATGTTGTTGTGAAACCACATGCTGTTGGTGTTGTTAATAATCCATTCACGGGTCCCGTAACATTATCACCGCCACCAATGCAATATCAAAATACACCAAACTCGAATTTTATGCGACAAGATCGTATGCCACCTGCAGGTCCAAACACTATACATGACAAGCGTTTTGATTCGAGTCTTCAAACACAATTGAATTATCCACCAAAAATGTATGCACGCACTGGACAACGTCGATTTGAATCAACATCATTCAAAAATGTACCAATCGAAACATCAGTGGCGGAGTCATCACCACAACAACAAGTTCAAAAATATTCCATTGATCCAATTATAATGACCACACAAATGACATTCGCCACAGATGGTGAGCAGAACGATGCACCAGTGAAAGCAGTCCATGAAATCGATTCGAAGCGTATCGAAAATAAACGGGGCAAAAAACGTCGCTTAAATGGCGAACGACCTAAACCAGAATATACACGAAAGGTCAATCATCAAAATGACTATCAGAATAATTTGGAATTTTCGAGTTCGTATTCAAAGCGACGAACTCAAGGTTACAATAGCGAAGAAGAGACAGCAACAACACCAATTACACCCATCAAATTGAAAAATAACAAAACTGAACCAAAACAATCCGAAACATTTACAACCGATACTCCGACGAAAAGCGAAAAGGTCAAATATTTTCAGTAAGTTCAAAGATGGAAATTCGATATTTTAATAAAAAAAAAATGGTGTTTTTACTCTTTTCTTTCGTAAATTTACGATTGTCATTTCTATTTTTATTCGCAAAAAATTAGAGACACTTTAACGGAACAATTAACACCGCATGAAATTGATACGGGTCATTTAAGTGAAAATCCAGACGGTTGGGAAGAGCGCTACGAACGAAAAAATCTCAAATCGCAACGCTTTCAGGGCAAAGTATGAATTTCAATCATAGTTTTTTTTTAATTAGGAGTAACTTGAAAATAAATATATCATATTTTGCAGATGAAATGGGGTGACCGAAAGGGAAACTTCGGTGAACACTATTACGATTTGAACCATCATCGCAATACGAAAGAGTCAAATAACACTAGATAATTATGTAGCATTACAATTGAATTTGAACCAAAAAGAAAATGACAACCTATTTATTATTTACGCTTTACTTAGCACTTTTCGCGAAACGAACTGTTTTTTTTACTGCTCACAACGTTGGTATTTCGGATATTAAATTGTTAGACGCTATGTATAAGATGTACCAATTGAATAAATGATGAATTGAAATGGAAAATATAATTACTACAGAGACATCGACGTTCAATCAACTTGTCGATAGGTTTTTTCCATTAAATTCATATTTTTTTTTTAATTTCTTTCGATAGATTCGTCATTGGAAAATAATTCTATATTCAGCAGTTATTTAAGGCTTTTTGCTTTCTAATCAAAACGATTATTTATTTAGTACCTTTATTTGATTTGAAAGTTGAATTCGAATTAAATTATCACGAGCGAGTAAATCGAATAAAAATAAAGAGGGAAAATCGTATAATTTGGCTTTGGAATGAGATATTTTTTACAGTCTTTGTGAATTGGTTTTAAAGTAAATTTGCTTACACTCGCATTGATTGTTTTTGTTTTTTTATTATTTATTTTCTTCAATAACATTGAATCACATACCAATTTTCAACTATTCAGAATGCCGATCCAAGACCGCTTTTTAATAAATACGATTTTAAATTCAATTTTTGTCAAAAAAAAAAAGATTTTTTTGAAATATTTTGTTTTATTTTTTACTTTTCACCATCTTGAAGCAAGAGTCTTGATTAGAGACGTGCGTTGCCTAATATTTAGATTGTATTCGAAAGGATTCGAAATGGGCAGCGGGCATAACTTCGTGGGTTTCAAAAACTATCTATCATGATGAAAAACTCTCCACTTTTATGTACCGAGAAACTGCAGTGGACCATGGAATGTGGAATTACCAAAAGTGGATTGTTCATACCATCTGCGAATATTTTATACACAAAATGGAGAAAAAAAAATGTCACTAAAAAAACATTCCTGCTATCTTTAGCATGATCTTTAGACTTTTTAAATCGATGTGTTATAATAATCATATGACACAAAGGTAAGGTAATGTTAATCACTTTACTTTTTAATTTGAAAATTCATTTAATATTTTCAAATATTGTAGATATTAAATCGCATGAACTTGTATAAAAACAATCCTTTTTACCTTCTTCCTTCGGGCAATGAGCTCTTTGAGACGACGGTGGTGCCCTCCATCTCCTACAACATGGTTAAAATTCTCCTACATGTGCAAGCATTTTCGATATTATTTGAATAAAATAAACAGCCTGCGGTTTGATTATAAAAAATTTCACAAAAGCTCAGCTCGTTTATTGCATAAAAATATATTTTATCATTTATGAAGATATTATAAATACATCTAAAGTGGTTCAACAAAAATGTTATTATTTTGAACACATTTTCTGAGCGAACCCATTTATCAAAATGTTGTTTGGTTTGGTATCCAAGTTAGATGGCTGATTCCCTGAGTAGTTTTATGGACACATTGACAATGTTGACACAAACTTAACTATTTAGCACAAAAATGATAAGTTGCATGCAAATAGTAAACAAAAAGTGTTAAGAGTTAGTGATTAACTAATCTCAGTATATAAATGATCAACATTTCGTTGTCGACTGTTGGATGAAACCCTATAGTGCTCCTTTCGCGGATCAAATGGATCGACAACAATTTGTTCAGTTCCTTTGATTTCAGCGCGACAGAACGGACACGTTCCGTGTTCTTCGGAGTCAATATGCCATGCGGTTAAACACTGAATGCACAACAAATGACCGCATGGTTCAAGTCGTATATCTTTGTCATTTTCTGTGCATATTTTGCATAATTGAAATGTGCTGTTCATTTTGCGGTATTGTTCATATTGTTCTTGTGTCACAGTTATATGACCCTCCATAGTTCCAACATACGACACATCACTGTACGAGCCATTTATCGATGCGTAACTACATTCACTGTACGTATCATCCAATGAAACGTATTGGTGTGAATCGAATGACTGGGAGAAGTGAGAACGATTTAACGCATTTGCCTGCCTTCGACGAACAGCATTCAAAAGATTCGATGTAGATGTACTTAAATCCGGCTTAAGTGACTATAAGTAAACAAAAAATGAATAGCACCATTTTCGGTTCAAGAACATTTTAAACAGCTTTTACCGAAATCGATGCCCCCCGCAACTCACGTAGTTCAACGTTACGGAATAAATCACATCGTACAAGCTCCTCAATGGTTGGATATCGATTACCGGGAGATTCGAAAATCATTTGCATTACCTCCACCACCTATTGGATTTCAAATGTATTCATCCTTTACCAAATTCATCGAAAAATTGGTGATACATACCTTCGGATGTTGTTCTAAGTCCAAAAACAAATTTGTTGCGGTTGGTTGTTGTGTCGGCAACTCATATCCCATGCACATTTCGAATAGTAAATGGCCAAAGCAAATAACGTCTCGATGTTCAACATCAGCCATATTCTTAGCTGAAACAACCGCATTTACTTTTGAGTCTAAGCCAAGCAAACCATTTTCCAATCCTGATAGCCTAACGCATTTGCAGGGAAAGAGGAAAAATGTGCATCTTTGACAAATATTTGATAAATAAATCATTAATTCCATACGGTATGGACCATACCTTGCAACACCGTTTTGAATTATAACATTGCCGCTATGAAGGTGTCCATGTGATGGTATACCTCGCACACGCAAAAATAACAACGCTTCCAAAATGTGCCGACCGAATCGCTGCACCTGTGTCATTGTCAAACATGTACATTTTTTTCTATATTTACGTCTCCACGGCTCATTCCAACGAATTGCCTGTGAATGGGTGCAGAGGAGGAGAAACAACATATTTAAAATAAAAGATTGAAACAGTCATTGAATTGAGTGCCTACTTTGTTAATTAAATCCTTCAGACTGCCACGGGCATTGACAGGCATCACAAGACACGCGCAGTGATTTTGATTCGAGTAGAAAAGCCCCAGATCTAGCACTGGATAAACGTATGGATGTTGCAGTGAACCAAGAAGTTCCATAAGCACACCTTTCGTTGAACTTAATGGCGATAGTTCTTCCAATGCAATACAGTCGGCTGGCAATGATATCCACGACATCAGACGATTCGTTCGAACAGTTGAATCGTTAAGTAAAAACCAATTTTTATCCGTTCTACAGCCGATATCATCCAAATGTGCCATGATCTTGTAACGGCCGTCCGATTTTTCTGTCCACTCTTGACACGAAATGAATGCCCTCTCGCGGATTTCTCGTTCATGTGGTGTGCGCTCTGCAGCTCTCATTCTAGGATCCAGGGACGAATACTGGATTTTCACGTTTTTCCTACAACATTTTCCAAAAAGAATTCAATTATTACTTATAACAAAGCGATTTTCTTTTTAAAAAATATATATATTATAAAAAATATTTTCATACCATAAATTATCCAACCATGACGGTGAGCTTGCAACTTTTTTCGAGCAACCACCACAATTTTTTGATGAATTTTCACGATTGAATAGTTTTTTGGCAAATGTTTCGAGTATCGAATTGGCCATTGGAGATTTGTTGGTTTGCTCACATTCCGAAATGTCTGGCTCGGATTGTGTTCGTCGTACAACTCTTGTACGCTTTCTCTGTACTGGAAATCTAAATATCAACAAAGCTCGATTTATACATTGTTCCACTTTATTCGTTGGGATGTTTTTCGTTTGTCTAAACGTAATGAAGCAGCCTACCTGGATTTGTGATATCTTCTTTTATAATATTCATCGCAAATAGTTTGGTAATCGTTCTGGTTTGCTAATCGAGACCTAACGTATGGTCCGTACATTTTTTACACGAAAATCGATTAGTAACAAAAACTAATAATAAATCACTGTGAATTCAACTGCGTAGAAATGGACTACTCTACTTTTCTAATCTAAGTTCGATGCTAATCTATCTCAAATTATAAATGCTTTTTTTGTTCGTTCTTTCCACTTTGGTTTCAATCAATTGCAATGTCATGAGAATATTATTTAATTAATATTAGGAACATTTTCTCTCAATAGGCGTGAAAACAATTCTCACTTCGATTAAATAAGAGAAACGTCATATGCTTTTAATGAATTTCCTGAGACGTCATTAGGATTGAGCTTTTCGATTTTCCAACCATTTTCAACGAACGTGGCAACACCAGTGTGTTTAGCAGACGTGGCAACACCAGAATTCAGTTTGTTTACTTTTCGACACTTTTGGTTTCACATTTGACGCATCAATGTTTTATGTGCGTATTTAATATGACGACATGATTTTTTATGGAGAAAGACTCAAGACCTGCCGACTGCTATGCCAACTCACGCCAAAGCAATGGAATTTTTTAAATGAAACAAACGAAGTCGGTTCCATTGATGTAATACATTTTATAATTCAACAAACTGTAGAAGCTTGGAAAAGATATTCAAAATATTCCTGGGCTGATTTGATTAACTTTTCCGGAGATTTTTATTTAAAATAAACAAAAATATTTAGAAAAAAAATATAGCAAAATGCGCTTAATTTTTTCAAAGATTTTTCTCTTCTCTGATAATTAATTTTTCCAAGGTTCAAGTATTTAAATTAAAAAAGATTACATTATGTCACTTTTTATCGGGTTTTTCTCAATTTTCAAAAAAAAAAACTCTTGAATCTCAGAGAAATCATTTAAAACTTTGTCAGAATTGAATTTTATATATGATCCAAAGAGGAAACTTTCATCACATCTTCATCGCCATTATATAGTCGGTTTTATTGTTTGTATATTTTTCAAATTTTATGACCAGCTACAATTTATTTATAAAATATATAAATGCTGGCACATTCTGGTTGCCAAAAGCGTAATAGAAAAAAAGAATGCCACTTAAAACAAAAATATTTTTAGAGTGTTGATTGTAGATCATTTGATAATCTTAATGTTCAAGATCATTTGTTCAGTTGTGTATGAAAATTTCTACATGCAAGTTGACGACTACGACGACGCATGTTCAAATTGGATAGAATAGTTTATTTGCTTAAATAGAATGAAATTATTGTTGTACATATCGTGCACAAGATCACAATCATAGTCAATTTGTTAAATTTTTTTCCGCTTGTGTATTCCATTTAAACAGCCGAAAAAACGAATTGAAGACGCAAATTAAATAATGGCCCAAGTAAAAGTTCATCGTCAATCGGTACTTATGTTTGTACTTGCCATTTTGACACACATTGTGTCCGCACTCTTTCGAATAGCAGTTCGCATTAAACGACCAAAAGCTCAGATTTAGATCTATTTCAATTGCGTTTAGTCACCAAATCCGTACATGATAAAAGAAACACTGAACCAAAGAACTTGACAACAAACCATCATTAAAAGTGCATTTACAACAAGACCACCGCCATCACCAAGTTAGCGATTGTAATTAAACGAAATTTAGTGCATAACGTCTAGTGATAAACAAAAATGTTTGCTTTGTTAAGATGTAAGAAGAAATTTTACCTATAATAATTTGAAAAATACCCAAAAAAAATATTTAATCATAGCGTATGTAGTCGTTTTTTAATCAAAAACTCAAAATGTAGTTTTTTTTCTTTTAAATAAAAACATCCATGAAAATAAATATCGTTCATGCTCTGACTCGTTCGGTGTCACTGATATACATGAGTTCCAACCGAAAGGTTGATGCTCGCATCTACCGGACATTCTAATCAATTTTAATAAGACAATTTCAATTTGTTAACAATCATTTAAAAAGATTCTATCCGCGTGCATTAAACCGCTCATCTCACAAATTGTAAAAAACATTGAATTACATTGTATTTACAGTGTCAACTATTGGACGCTTGTCTCAAATTGGAATTAGAAGAAAATCATCAACGGCCGCTCAAAATTTCCGTACAATATTACAAAACCAATTGAATGACGTGCATGCAGCTGGTACATACAAAAATGAGCGTGTCATATCATCGCCGCAAAGAACTGACATCAATATTGAAGGATCGTCGAAAAGTGTCATCAATTTTTGTGCGAACAATTATTTGGGCATGTCTGTAAGTGAAATAAAGGAAAAATTTCATTCGAAAAATACTTTTTTAAAAAAATGTTATTTATGCAGAACAACAAAGAGGTGGTCGAGTATAGTAAGGAAATACTTGAGAAATATGGAAGTGGTCTGAGCTCAGTTCGGTAAATACAATCATTTTATCAATTTCAACATTTTGTTACACTTTATTACTCACATTTCTATTGCAGTTTTATTTGCGGAACACAATCTATTCACAAGGTAAACAATGCGTTTTATTTTAACCGTCGTGAAATTATATGGATGAACAAATTGTATATGTGTTTTTGTTTGTTTTAGGAGCTGGAACGGAAATTATCCAATTTTCACGAACGCGAAGATACAATTCTGTATGCATCATGTTTTGATGCAAATGCGGGCATTTTTGAAGTTATCACCACACCAGAAGATGCAATTTTCTCCGATGAACTAAATCACGCTTCAATCATTGATGGCATTCGATTATGTAAAGCCCAAAAGCAACGCTATTCACATCGCAATATGGAAGGTTTGATCATTGTGATGCTATTGAAATAATTTAAGTGAACATTGTGATTTTTTTGTTCATTAGATTTGGAAGAGAAATTAAAATCGTCGAATGCGCGCATTAAATTAATTGTAACTGATGGTGTTTTCTCGATGGACGGCAACGTTGCACCGTTAGATAAAATTTGTGATTTGGCTGAAAAATACGGTGCATTAACGTTCGTTGATGATTGCCATGCCACAGGTTTCTTCGGGAGAACGGGAAGGTTAGTAATTTTAAAATAGGCAAGTTTTGAAAGTGAGAATTGCCGTGAGTTGAAATAATTTTGCACAGAATTTACTCCCCCCTCCAAAATAATGATAACACTTTTTATCATTTTAGAGGAACTGAAGAATTTTTCAACATGATGGGCCGGGTGGATATTATAAATTCAACACTAGGAAAGGCATTGGGTGGTGCCGCCGGTTGGTATACATAAAACTTTTTTTTTATTCAAATAAAATTGCAAATGGAACATTTATTTTTTTTCAGGTGGGTATACAACTGGTTCTCGTGAATTGATCGATTTGTTGAAGCAGAAGTCTCGTCCGTATTTGTTTTCGAACACCTTACCACCGGCTGTGGTTGGCAGTGCCAGCAAAGTCATTGATTTGCTTATGCATTCATCGGAATATCCGCAACGAGTTCAAAGCAATACGGAACGCTTTCGCAGGTATGGATGGATTCTTAAAACTTACTTTTTTCATTCAAATAAAATTGCAAATGAAAATGTCTTTATGCGGACAATTTTTTTTTGGTGCACTCGGGGTCACATGATTTTCATTAAAATCTAATTGATTTTCGCAGTAAAATGGTTGCGGCTGGATTCACTATTGCTGGTTCAGAACATGCAATTTGTCCTGTAATGTTGGGCGAAGCAAGACTTGCCAATGTCTTTGCCGATGAAATGCTAAGTACGAATTGTTTTTTACTCAAATTTTCATCTACAAAGAAAATTTAAATCTCTTTTTTTCCATTTAATTCACTTTTGTGAATTTAATTATTTTTAATGGCAATTTTTTTTTTTTCATTTCAGAGAAAGGAATATATGTAATTGGATTTAGTTATCCAGTTGTTCCAAAAGGAAAAGCTCGAATTCGTGTTCAAATCTCTGCTGCTCATACAACCGAGCAAATAGATCAGTGTGTCGATGCATTCATCAGTGTTGGACGACAACTACAAGTCATTCCATGAAATCAAACGAAAATTCCCAAAACAAAACCGAAAAAACAAGAAATTCAAAGCTGCAATTTGTTTTTAAAATATCATTAATATTGTTTTTCAGTTTATATATGGTCAAAATGAGATATAATTTACATTGTTTTTATGTGTTTTTGTTGTTAAATTCAAAGAAAAAAAAACTCTTCTAATTTGTTTCTAATAATATTATGTATACAATCAATTAGGTTTCATTTTTTCCTCGCATTTCCATTTCAATTCGTCGTGAATGAAGTATGTAAAGTGTCTGAAGTTATTCTTTTTTTTGCATTTGCAATATTTCATTTTGGTTCATCAACATCACAAGAAATGAATTTAAGAACTGTTCTTTTGTTGTCGCGAATATGTTACCGCTGCTGTTCTTTTTCCATTTTCTAAATTTTCATTCAAAGTTCATCTCATTTATTGTACACAATATAATCGTATTCAACGCGTTTACTTCCATTTTTTTTGTTTCTCTAAAATTCTTTTCTACAAATATTCTGGTATGAAAAGTTCACATATATTGTAAAAAAACTTTTTTTTTTTTGTTAAATTATTATTATTATTTTCAAATCTCCTTATACGTTGTGCTGTCTTAATGCCAGTTATAGAATGTTGGAATATAATCTATGTAATAACTGTAAATATATCAAAAAAATAGGCAGAAACGAAACATTTCGAGGAAGAAGAATTTCAACGATGATTTTCAGGGAAAAATGAAGAAGAAGAAAAAAAGAATTTCTAAAAAAGAACAATTGATGAATTATTATGCATTATTATTTTAAGTGATAAAGTTTGTCTGCTTCAGTTTGATCTATTTTGGAATGTCATATTTTATTTTAAATTTGTATGTACGATGAGAAAGAGTGTGAGTTGGTTGTGTGTTTGTGTTGTTCGTATGGGGGTGTATGTGCGTAGATTGTAAGCTCATTGTATATTCTTTATTTCGGGGAACTAACGTCTTGCAATGTGAATTTCGTTAGTCGATTTGGTCCAATTTCTCCTATATACATGGCCGAACCATTCGGGCAAATTGCAATGGTGTGCGGATTCTCAAAGCCACCCCAGTGATCGATTATCTGTTCGGTCATTGGATCGATGGTAAAGCCGCGAACTGGGATTATTTGTGATGTTGGTCCATTAATAGCATAAACAAAATTACCTAAAACAAAACAAAAAACCACACCATACAAATAAGCATTTTATTCGACGATAAATGGCTATTGATTTAATTTACCATATGCTGCGACATCAAATACTCGGCCCAAATCTGGTTCTTGTATGGTTGCTGCTGGTGTTCCTTCATCCAAGGATGTCTTGAGCCCAGCTCTAGAAAAGCAATTTTTAATCACAAATCAATTGGATTTTAATGAAAATCATGTGATCCCAAGTGCACAAAAAAAAAAATTCCGCACAAAGACATTTTCATTTGCAATTTTATTTGAATTAAAAAAGTAAGTTTTAGGCATGCATCCATACCTCGGGCAAACGACGCGCATATTCTCTCTATCTGCAATGCAAACCAAGTCCAAGTGCTCGAGCAAGGTTAAACCATGTGGAACTTGAAGTGACAAAAATTCGGGTGGTTGTGGAATTACACGTAGAATTCGTCCGGCTGCATTGAATTTTAAAATTCGATTATTGCAGTAACCATCGGCAACAAAAATCTAAAAATCATCAAAAATTCTTAATAATTTATTTAATGTGAAAAACGTGAAAAAAAGAGAATATATTGTACCTCGCCAGTAGTTGCAACAGCAACGGCTGTTGGTTTGCACAATTGACTTGGAATGGAACCAGGTTGGAATCGTCTACCAATGGTGATGGAAGGGTAACGTGATTTTGGTTTAAACTTAAACACTTGATGCAATGCAACATCTGTCACCCATATGTTACCGTGGTGATCAATTGTCATGCCATGTGGAAAGAAAAACAACGATGCACCCCACGAATTCAATACTTTTCCATTTGCAGCGTCCAATTTTAAAATTGTATCAACATCAATTGGTCCAATGTGCGTCAACTGATAATGATTTGTTTCATTGAATGTTCTGAACGATGAAAAAAGAGCAATCACATAAATTGGCTGTTAACGTTGATTACGTGTAAATTTAATTTTCACTTACTCATCTGTCCAAATTCGATCGGCCCGATGAAAAATGACAGGATGACCATCCAATCCAATCGAAACAGCAACAACTTGTCCCAGGCGCAAATCAAGTTTTGGCCAATCGGTTACCTAGTGATTTGGACGAAATCTTAGTATAATGACACAAGCAAACAATTGAAAAAGAAATAAATCACAGTTACCTGTGTCGGTTTAGGTGGTTTGATTGTTGGATAGTTTCCCTGTACTTTTTCGTCGGCTGTTTGAGAAACGGTTGTTTCAATGTAACGTTCATCAGCATTAGCGATTGGCGCTGGTGATTCAGTTGTGGTCGTTTCTAGTTCGGCTGCTACAGCAGCTGCTTCCGATGATATTTTTTGTTCCAACAATTGACGAACTTCATCATAAAATCGTTCGCTTATCGCTTCGGCCTGTTGTTCGGCTTGCTGTTGTTCATCTTGCAGAAATGTTGATGGCAACGTTTCAACGTAATTACATCGCAGTGTTATACAAAGTAATACAATCACATAAATCTCAAGTGCCGACCCTGAAACCATTTTTATTTGCACTGACGAATCCAAATGAATGTTGACTCAACGAATAATTGGACGAATTAAAATGACGGAAAGATAATTTTTTCAAACCAAAAGTAATAAATACACACACACACCACGCGAAAGAAAAATAGATGGTTGTGTCACTAAGAACGTAGGTCGTTCGTAATATTTCCAAATCAAAGGAAATTATGCTTGTGATCGAAATTTGTAGCAAACATATGCAACATTCACGATTTGATTTTACGTTGATTCACCACAAAAATCGTAAAATCAGGCACACGTCGGTCTGTCTCACCAAAGCATATATTAAACTCACTTTTTTTTTCTTCTTCAATTTCACTTAAAGAAATGTCGCGCTCTTTCTCTTTCTCTCTCTGTCTATCTCAAGATAAATGCAATGTTTTGCAAAAAAATTATTAAAATTTCATGTACCGCCACAACGTATGCTCATTTGAATCATTTACACTTGTTTCGCGAATATCAATTGCACAAAACATATAAAAATCACGCCACTTTTGATTTTCGATTTGAAATTAAGTTTTCACACAAATTGAGAGGAAGAACAAAAAAGCATGTATGACTACATAAAATATAAAGAGAAGACTAAAACACAAATGAATTTACTTTACAGCTTATGGAAATTCTTCAATCGATTATTGTGCGACATGTAAACAACATTTGAAACATATGGTCTATGCGCTTTCGATACTTTTCTTCGTTAAATTATTCTTCGTATGGTCGGACTTTTTGTGTTCGCTGCCTATATTCCCTTGCTTTACGTACACACAATGTAATATATGGAAAAACGAAAAGAGAAACAAGTGGGAAAAAGTGGTTGTATTATCTACAGTCAAAATTGGTGTACGCGCGCATCGAATCATTTGAGAAACGAAAAAAAGAAATAATCGTACATTGTGAATATTTGTATGGTTTTGTGTTCTTTTTGTGTGCCGTCTTTGTAAAATGTATTTGCGCAGAAGCTGTCGTTGCATATTGATTAATTTCGTTTTGACGGGCATGATGTATGAAATATGTATAGATTAAGTGTTGTCGTTGTGAACGAGAGACGAGATGTACACATGAATGTTCCGTGTTATATATACTTTTTTTTTTCCTGTTCTTAATGTGTGTATCATTTGAGGGAAAAAAACGAATCACTTGAACGACGACAACGACGACGTTGACGGTTGCGACACCGCAAAAGCATATAAGCCACGCTGGCATCCAAGCAATACACATAGGGAAGAGTTGTATTACTTAGTTCAGGATTTCGTAATTTATGAGAATCAAACGAACGACAATGAGAGAAAGAGATATACAGAATAAAAGGAAAACAAATTAGAAAAATAAGTATTAATTCTACAGTAGGCTGGCATTCGGTTCGGCAAATTGGGATACAAAACATTCAGGCACGATGAATCATCTACTTAATTTGTCACACGATTTCATTGAGAAACAATTTGACTTGAATTTGATTGAAAAAACCCTCACGCCAAATGTAAACACAGAGAGAAAGACAGATACAGGGATGTATTGCATAAACACATGATAAGCATACAATTCCACCAAATTTAAGTAAAATGTGCATAAAATTATTGCAGCCAGTCTATTGAAATGTGGCCAAGAATGAACAAAACTCACACCAACATGTGTAAAACATGTAAGATATTGTCATTCGAGGCGTTAGGAATGCTTAATTTATGCCCCTTGGTTGAGAGAGAGAGAGAGAGAATGAAAATATTATTTTTCAACTTTATGAGATAGTTACTGTGAGCTGAGCATTTCGGAATTGTAATTATCAATTAATTTACATCCTTGCACACAATATAAATCGCATTTACACTGTCATGTATTTCTCTGGTGGAATTAACTTATAAACATATACATCATATGCATCATACAAACACGTCTCTAAACTGTCTTCAATCAAATACTTGATTTGTATCTGTTCATCTGCATCTTGTCATTGGATTTAATAGAATTGAATTAGCCGCATATTCACAGAGCGCAAGAGAGGGAGAGAGAGAGATATGAGGCTCTTCTACAATTTTCATTCAGAAAATAATTCAGTTTCGGTTGATTTTTTCTTCCCGAAACGTACACGAGAGTCGGTTAATGAGATTGAGCTTTTTGAATAAAATTGAAAAAAATAAATGTATTATTAGTATTATTCTGGTTATTATGTCACCAAATCAACACATAAGTATAACATTGAATGAGCAATAAGAATGCAATACGGAATATAAATGTTGTGTGTGTACCTAAATACAAATTAGATCAAGAATATAAAAAGACGATTATTGTTTACGAAATATCGTGTCGGAGTGTGAATGTATGATTCAAGATTTAAATCTTGTCCACAATTTTAATGAGATGCATTTGCTATGTAATCATTAAAAAAAATACGTCCACAATATACCGTGTGAAAGATTTCACTTGTTTATAATCTCCATTGCATCCAAGTTGCTCATCGAAAAAAAATGCAGGCCTTTTTCACGTGTGAAATATACAGCCGAAATGATCACAAATTTATGATCCATAATATTAATAATAATGTTTTACACTAGGTCTCAACAACAAACAACTATAGCTGCCACAATACTTTTATATTTTATTGTATTTAATAATTCTTGAGCTTATGGAAGTTCTACTATATATAACCTACCATGATAAAATACAACAATAAACATTTGGCTTCATTTCGTTCGTTTCAGCATGTGAATGATTTCTTCGTTATATTTTTGTGTACTACTTTATTGAAACTGTCATTTAGCAGCCCCGCTTTTTTTGAATATAACGTTTTAAACGACGTTTTGTTTTATTATTAAAATTGCATTGCGGAAAATGTCATTTTCGGCAAGCCAATTTTACTTAAATTGTAAATAAATCTCATATTTGTTTTCAATTTGTCATTCATTTTTTTTTTTTAATTCAGACAGCATTTTTTATTTTGTTCAGAAATTTTTCGTTTCGGTAACGATATTGGCAAACTATTATTTCCTTTTTTTATTTGATTATATCGAAATGCAGTGCGCTGCTCTCACACTGTCCTATAAAAACATGACCGCACTATACAACATACCATTATAATTTCTAATAAAAATTGTCTTTAAATTGTATCGTATTGTGTGTTGTCTTTTATGGAAGCCCTAAGAAACTAGAAGAAGACTTTTACATGTTGGTTTTATCCAACTTGTTTTCGTTATTATTTCTTTTCACTTTAAAATTGATTTTAAAAAAAAAGTCAAATCAGCACTTATCAGAATAAGATACTTTTTTGATTTTTTTCAAATCACACAGTATTATAAGAGTTTGATTTTTCGGTCAATATGATTTTTGCCTTTTGCATTCGAGTTTTGTAGACAAATTTTTCACAATTTCATTTTCTCAATGTGTAAACAAACGCTGATATCAATGGATGTTTTGCGATGATCATGCTTTCAGTATGTGATGATATATGACCCGCCTAGAATAAATCAGCATTACTAGATAAATGTCTTCAAATGCGTTATAGAAAAAAGTACGTCAGCAATAGTGTCAAAAACTGTATGTGACGCGTTATATAAAAAAGTTCGCCAACAAAAGCGTGACATCGTCCATATATTTTATAACGCTTTTACTGACTGACTTTTTTCAGTAACGCATTTGAAGACATTTATCTAGTAATGTTGATTTATTCTAAGTGATTCATATAAAGAAAATCATTTTTATATAAAAAAAAAATGCAAAAAATGACTATGAAAACAGTCATATTTGAACATTGATCGAAAAAATTGAGCTTTTGTTATTCCTGTTTCGATGTTTAAGCCAAGTACAAATTTTAACATGATTGATTAAACGTTAAACAATATGTGCACTTCAAATCGATGAACGAATGAGGCAGTATTTAAGAATTTCGTGACCATTTTAATTTTCTTCCTGTGTATCTTCTTTGCTTATTTTTTTAATTTGCCTTCAATTTGCTACCCGGAATATGCATAAAGTATTTGGTTTATGTTGAGTGTGTGTTTGTGTGTGTGAATGCTTTTGATTTGGCATGAAAATTGTCTGTAAGTGGTTGTGTGATGTCAAACCCGGAAACGGTTAATGTTGCGGTTCGTTTCGCAGTGCTCACACACGGTTTGGATGCTTTGATGATCAGGGAACCCAATCCAAATGCGGCTGCGTCCATATGTACCTACAAGAATTGAGACAGTATCGGTCAAAACTGATAAGTTTCAAAAAAAAAAAAAACTTAATCAAATTGTATACCCCGTATTCGTCATAGTACAGTATGCATTATAATATCTGCCAGGTGATCGACAGTAAGAGTAAACGGGACACTTGCAACGAAACAATTGCTGGAATTCCTCTTTACACACTTCATTCCACCAGCAAATGCGCTATAAATACAAATCACAAATTCCGAAAGAGGGAGAGGCAGAGAGAGAGAGAGAGAGAGAGAGAGAGAGAGAGAGAGAGAGGATAGAAAAAACAAATATGAAAATAATTATATTGAAAAAATCAATTTGGAATAGATTTATGCACACACCTCTGTCAAATAGCCGCGAACACTTTGATCCGAATAGCTTCGTTTTACCAATCTCGGTTCGATGCTTACAATCAAACAAATTACGGCCAACAATCGAAACATCTGTATCAAAAAACAACAACACATTTTACAAGCATAAATAAATAAATAAATAATATAAATTTGTTGGTGTTATCTATGGCAGATTCCAAATGATATATATATAATATATATAAATTGGGTTTGGCACTCACCATTTGATGCATAATGTTGTCATCCAGTTCGAATGAGAAACAAAAGTCAAATACGTTAATAGAAATGTGGCAATATAAAAAAATCAATGTTCGAAATGGCACACAATGTAATATAATTTCGTTGTAACTCTTTTTTTTTTTTGGAGAACACAATCAAAAGCTAAATGATTTGGTCGCTTATTGTAAGTATCTTTTTTAAAACGAATTCTCAATAAAAAATGATTATAAATATTTTTTTGGTGTTAACAAAGTTTTTTTCTTATACGAAACGTATGGATAAAAATTTCGTGTTTTTATTTAGATGGTTCATTCAGAGTGCAAAGAGGTAATCAACAAGCGATTGTTAAGCGAGAAGGAGAAAATTGTGTACATGTGATTAGATAGAATGGTTTTGCATGTGCCAAAACGAGATTTACAGATGTTTCATTCTCTTTTCCATCCGTCGCAATTTCACACACATTTTTTTTTGTGTGTGCTATGATGCGATTGCTACTATACGAGACGTGGGTGTTGTTGTTATATGCGCGATGATGACGTTTATGCGTTGCAAATTTTGTTGACATACGCAGACAACACCGACCAACATCAATAACAAAATTCAAACGTATAAAGTCATATCGAGCGAATGACGTTAACAACAATAATATAGCCTCTGTTTACATCCGACATTCGAACATTCGAGCATAGTTCTTTTTTAGGTGAGAATTTTTTGCATGATGACTAATCGAAGCACATTCCAAACCACAAGGAAAAATCAATTACAACTCCCATATCGAAGGTTCACACCAACATTCCATTCGGTCATTTTACAAAATGTCCTATTTATAGAAATTGGTTATTTTTGTAAACCAAATGTACCGATTTAAATGTTCATCATTAGCATGAAATCGTAATTTCTAGAAATATACTTTTTTTTTCATTTCGTTTCATTTGCTTTTACACCGTTGTGTGTTTGTTTTGAAAATGATATGACGAATCAGAATAAGAAAAAAACAGCCATCAAAAATGCAAAATGATGACTAATGAAAACAGTTTCGGGCGCGTCGTCAACACATTGAGCGAAAAGATCACCGTTCTTAAAAAAGGCAATTACACACATGAAAAAAGTGCCCACACGGTGCCCGCTTTGGCGATGAAACACCATGTCTGTTTTTAGATTCACCGTCGGAAAAAATGAAATTTCATAACGATATATAAATTGGCAAGGAGGACCAAACAGTCAAGTAGTATTTGACTTTCATTCAAAGCTTTTGGATCGTGAAAATATACAAAAAATCATACAGTGAGTTTTCCAAAACTTTACCGTTTTTTAGTTGATTTCAATTTTCCAGAAAGTGAAAAGAATTTTAAGAAAGAAAATATTTCTCATAAAAATATTATTGTGGATTTGATTTTGTTTTCGTATTCATTTTGTGTGTAATTTTTCGCATTGTTTTTTTTCTTTATTTTTGTAGAAATGTCAGTTGTTCCTTTGAGTTTCCGTGACTGGTGGGATGATTTCAGTGCATTTGATCGTCCATTCCGCTCATCACGTTTATTAGATCAAGAATTCGGCACTGGATTGCGTCGTGATGATCTCTTATCTTCATTCTGGAATCCAACACCCAGTGTATTGCGTAGCGGCTATGTCCGACCATGGAGATCAAATAATTTGAAGCGTGAAGGAAGTGGTTCAACATTGAACGTTGACAACGATAAATTCCAAGTTATTTTGGATGTTCAACAATTCACACCAAATGAAATTACTGTCAAGACCACCGAAAAATTTGTTGTTGTTGAAGGCCGACATGAAGAAAAAGCCGACGAACACGGGTAAATATTTACATCTCGTAAATATTTGTAACAAGTCATTTAATATGTTACGTTGTTTTTTTTTCTTATAGCTACATCTCACGTCAATTCACACGCAGATACGCCTTGCCAGGTAAGATATTCATTCACTTTAAAATTGAAAATTAAATTGTGATACACGATACTAATTGAAAACATGTTCGTGTTTTGTTTAAATCAATAGCAAACACCAACCCGAACGATGTACAATCATCATTATCGTCCGATGGTGTGCTAACCATTACAGCCGCCCGTAAACAAGTTCAACAAAATACCGAACGTGTTGTACCAATCACACAAACTGGCCCATCCAAAAATGAAGACTCATCTGCACAAAGTACCGCCTCAACACCAGCCAGCGAAACAAAAGTTGAATAAATTATAAACAAGAGTCTGAACGAACTTACGTATTTGAAACCATTATTTTCAGGTTGGACTACCATAAGCAATAAGCCTTATTATTGTCATTTGGATGCTTTAATTTGTAAATTTTGGCCAAGCAATTTTTTGAATGATTTTTTTTTTTTTTTTGAAATTCTAAATTTAGGACTTTTATATGAACACACAAAAAAACAAGCACTTTTTTAAATAAAAATATATACAAACAAGGAAACCAATAAAAAGTTGTTTATATTATATTGAGAGTCGAGTATTCCAGAAGCTATAATATCAATGTGAGAACAATACCACGTTTACAACAAGAACGGTTGATTTTTTATTTAACCATTTCGTTACCAAAGTACAGTCAGACAACTGAAAATCATATTGATAATATTTTTGTTTTTCTTTAAATTCATACTCGGTCGCTGTCCAATATGAACGTTTGAACTGAATGTTTTGGCGCATCAAAGCCATTTTACGATCGTATCAATGGTGCAACACAAAATTTAAGCGGATTATGACACTAAATCATACGAAAGAAGAAACAAAAACACGAGAGGTGGAATTTGAACCAAAATTGGATTGGTGCCAATGTAAACAAAAGGTGTTTTTTGAACATTGTGTACGTTCGGCGATTAACGCCCGAATATAGGCAATTTCAAAATTTAAAAAATCATCACAATGTCGGAATTGGAACACCTTTTCACGTTCTGATATAAATGAAAATCGATGTTCAAGCCATATATTATTTGGATAAAATATGTCAAATAAAATTAACAAATAAATCCATTCCGTTCGCCATATAGCTTTCCTATTTTTTTGCAAAAAAAAAAGGATAAACAAAATTTGTATTACAAATACTGTTCATTATTTTGTAGTATTTTTTTCAACAAAATTATTTTTTTATTGGATTTTTTTCTTCATAATTTTTTTTTTATACTAGACAAATAAGAGAAAATACCATGCTCTGAGCCATACGTAAACCAATTTCAATTATAATTCTATGCATTGATATCACTTTTTTTCATACACCCATTGTCAGCTAATTAACTACAAAAAAACAAATCCAATAAATAAATAAAAAAAAAAAATCAGTAAATTCGATTTGAAAACAATCTGAGTTTAATTTTTTTTAAATTTAAATTTTATAACCAAATGCGAGATTTAAAACATAATTATTGTAATTTTTTTTAAAGACAGTATTACAAATAAAGCTACGTTTTTAATTCAACTTAAAGCGTTTTTATAATAAGATTTTTTTTTCCACATCTACATTGCCATATGTGCTTTTTCCAGCAATAAAATTATTAGTCGCTCGACACGCCAATTCACTGGTATGTGAATAAAATAGGTATTCAACGTATGGTCCAGAATACAACAATTTCATTTCAAAATAAATAACAATTATTAATTTTGTTTTGTTCGTACATATTTGTATGTGCGTTCTATATGTACGATTGTGTGTATGATTCCTTCTCTGTGAGAAAGTGTCAGTTTTGTAGATAAATATTCAATTCAATAAGAAAAAGAAAAATCGTATGCATATGAAAATTTGCATGATTTTTTTTATATTCATATATGTACAAAGTAGTTTCTTCTTGTTGTTTTTTTTTTGTGTTCTCATTTCAATCCTTTTAATACTTATAAATTTCGAAATATTTCGCGTTCAATCAAAAATATTAAGGGAATTATGACAAGAAAAAATGTTGTAAGAAGAACTAGTCCAACCGTTGAATACCACGAAAATAATTGAAAATATTGAATTCTGTAATTGGATAAAAGAGAATGAAATATGGTTAAAACTAACAAAACAATTTTAAAAAAATGCGAATTTTGACATTTACCTGAAAAACCATGATATCACGACCGACAGACATATCAGAAATAAACTCAAATTCAATAAACGTTGTGTGTTTCGATTTCGATTTTGATTGGAATTCATTAGATTATTGATTCCCATTTGCTCGGCCACATCTGAACACAATATCCATAGAGAAAAGTCAATAAATGTATAATAAAGCATCAATCTTTTTTTTATTTTGATAAATTTACCTTCATTACCAAGTGGAATTTGTTGATTATTTGCTAACGGATTGGACTCGGTGACAGTATTTGGCCGCCGATTATGAATTAAGCAATGTACAACACAGTTATCGAATAAACCGCAGGCAGCAATTGTTTTTGCATCGGGTTGTAGAACATGACCATTGAAAACTAAACGAACCAATTTTTGAGCGTTCAACTCTTCATTGAAGTTTCGTCTGTGCGAGGCAACAACAAAAAAAAAACACGTGCGCAAAACAAGAAGTGTAATGAAATAGTTTAGTCAAATTACAAATAAAAAAAAACATATTGCCGAACAAAGTACCAACTTTTTGAAATCTCCAATCGGTTCATTAGTTCTGGCCTTGACAATTTTCAAATCATCATTCAAATATTTAAGTTTAATGGTGATTTCATCGCTGCTGGAATATGTGGCTTCGTTTGAGGCACTACTTATATTTTCCACAGCCCCGCCAACCGATGTCGATTGAACGTCCTCCTCTGGAATCGTCGTCGAACCATTTGTACGATTCTCTGTGTCACATCCAGTTCTAGCCGTATTTACAGCAGCTGTATCTACTCTGTCTGTCGATATACCAATAGGATCGACATTGTTATTATTACTGGTTGTGTTGTTGTTATTCCTATGTAAACGAAAAAAAATCGAAAAATTGTCAAACATGATTAAAACAATGACATCACAATTATCATATGAAATATGATGGTACGTACCCCGTTACCGTATTTGTTCGTCGATTACGTAGTCCGCTTTGATTTTCGAATAAATTGTTTGGTTCACGGTCCATTTCTCTGATAATTTCTTGTGTTTCTTCTTCAATCACTGAATCATCATCAATATTTTCATCTTGTTGTGGTGGCGGCGATTGATACGTGATGCCATTCATTTCGTCCAAAATTGATTCGAATGTTGGTGTTGTTTGTGCAAAATTATTATTCAAATTGTTCAATAACAATCCGAGTGAATGCTGTTGAAAATCTCCGGTTTGTGGATTAAAAATAAAAACAGTACGTTGTCTATATGGTATGTTGCGGGCCTCATGCCGTACAAATGTCGATCGCCAGGCTATGTATATGATAAGCGCTCCAATTAAAAAATAAACAAATGTCATATGCGAAACCTCATCTAAGACCGGTGCTAAAACTGTGCTTGGATCAATCCTTGACATTTTCTATTGTCCTTATTTTTATTAAATAAATTTCTTTTCACTTATGACGTGATCTTATGCGTTCGGGAGGAGGTTTTCTTCTCTCTTTTTTTTTTTTTGTTCACTGAAAACACACAATAAATTCAATAAATTTATTGAATTTTATTTTTTAAACGAGAATATGTCATACATTCAACAATTTAACGGCACTAAATAGTTATCATTATTGCGCAAATCATCCGATTCTTGGTGTGACCTAGTTTTCATAAAAGAGAAGCAACAATTTAAATGGCTTAAAATCAATATGGATTAGAATTTTCTTACCCAAAATGCATCGATTTGTGGTGCCGCTGTGATGTGTGTATGTGTGTGGGGGGAGTGTGCGTTTTGTTTGCATTAATTGTTATGGTACGTAGCTATTTGTGTTGGAGCACATCTCTGGATTACTGCAAATCGAAGCTATTGTATGCCGGTAAACTCTTGCGAATGCAATAATAATGTTAAATATCCGTCACCTTAGTTATCATATCATTTCCTACCAAATGAAAATAATGTACGCATATTATTTGTATAAAGCCACGTATACGTTGACAAGGTTATTGTATATTCAATACATTCTTCAAAATGAAAACAAAACCGAATTAAAAAAAATCTATACACAAATAGTACTAAAATGCGTAGCGAAAGAGAAAAATGCCGTCCGAATTTGATCGTTTTGTTATGAGGTAAACACACCAATTGGCTAAGCTCAAACGGTGCCCGCAATTTAAAGGCGCATCTTTGAACTCGTCACCACTCATAGAATATCAAATAAATTAGTGCACTAAGTACTTGGTATTGCTCAAATAATTCAAAAGCAATACAAAACAAAATTAAAAACGTACACCGTAACTAAATGTGGTGATTTTCCTTGCGTTTCGATAACATCAAACGATATCGAATGGAAATTGGTACGCAATTTTTAACAACAACAATAACACACACTAAAAAAATACTGTATAATGGAATTTATTTGCCCATTTCGAGGTAATATCGTTTTGACGTGCAAATGCACAAGATTTAGTATTTGTGTATTTTCGCTCGCGATCACACAGCGAAGGAAAGAGAGAGAGAGAGGAAAAATATAAGTGTAGAAGAAAGATTAAATATAAAAAAACAACAAATGTAAAACAAGTCAGAGGCAGTAATATTAATAAAACTATATATATATAGATATATGTACATATTGTGAACGATTGGTGCTTATATGTCTTTCTCTGTGTCTGCGTCGTCTGTCAAATGTTGGAATATTACTAAAAAAATATTTCAAACCATTTTTACAGTGCATTTACGCAGTTTGACTCACTTTTTATACGTCAAAATAGCGTGAACTCATATAGACACTTTTCCAAATACCGAAAATATCACAAAACATTCACTCAATCACATTCAATGCAACTAAATAATTGGTTTCTTTAAAAAAAATTAAATCCATTCAAGTGTATGAAGTAGGCACATTTATACAGCGTTTTCAAGTCATCTCGCGCAGATAGAAAAAGAATTGTCATAAACTACCCACACATTTGCTCATTACAATCAAATATTTACCCATTTATTACAAAAGTTATTGAACACAAAATTCCAATACAATCCCAATGTAATTTTCTTTTCTTTTTTCCTTCACACTTGTCTCAAACGTATGATAAATTGCTGTCTCTCGTACAGCAAGTATCCATCAGTTGTTTATTTTCGGGCAACATTTTTTTTTTGACAGTTTATTTTTTACCAATAGGGACCAAAGTAGACGATTTGTTCGAAGAAAAAAAAAACACGAACTATATACATAATGTGAATGACATTTAACGTGTGGTGATTAGTGAAAACATGTATGCCAGTCGAATATCAAAGTGAAGCTTCAAAACTTGTGTTGAATACCTTTCCTATAGACGTGTTTATAAATATATTTTTTTTAAATTCAAAATGGGAGTTCCAGCATTTTTTCGCTGGTTAAGTAGAAAATATCCAAGTGTTATTATCGAATGTGTTGAAAATAAGGTGAGCATTTTAAAGAGAAATTTAGGCATTTTTTCATCAATGATAAACATAACCTCCGAACTTGTCTGTGTGTATACTGAATGTAATTTGTTATTTTTGTTCATTGTGTCGCATCATTTGTTTACACCACCAAAAATTAATATTTTCGTATGATTGAAGCGATTTTTTAAGTAATGCAAATATCTTAAATTGATTATTATCGAATGGCATTTTCAAAAAACAAAAAAAAATATGTTTAACTTCATTTTCAGACTGAAGGACCAGATGGCAAATGGGTTCCCGAAGATGCAACACTACCAAATCCGAATGGTATTGAATTTGATAATCTCTATTTGGATATGAATGGAATCATTCATCCGTGCACGCATCCAGAAGATAAGCCAGCACCAAAAAATGAAGATGAAATGATGGTGGCCATTTTCGAATGTATCGATCGCCTCCTCAATATTGTACGACCACGAAAAGTGCTGTACATGGCCATCGATGGCGTTGCACCACGTGCTAAAATGAATCAACAACGGTTTGTAAACACTTTTATTTTTGGTTGTCAATGTATTTTGGTTTAGTTTTTTTTTCTTTGTTTTGATTAATAAAGCAATGTACATGTGTGATATTTTATGTTTTTTTTTTTTTTAATTTCAGATCCCGACGTTTTCGTGCATCAAAAGAAACAGCCGAGAAACAATTAGAGGTGGCACGAATAAAGGAGAAATTACTTTCGGTCGGTGCAATTGTACCGCCAGAAAAGGAAAAAGGTGAACATTTTGATTCGAATTGTATTACACCGGGTACACCGTTTATGGATCGACTGAGCAAGTGCTTGCACTATTACGTTCACGATCGTTTAAACAATAATCCGGCTTGGAAGGGATTGAAGGTATTTCTATCGGACGCTAGTGTTCCGGGTGAGGGTGAGCACAAGATTATGGACTTCATTCGTAGGCAACGAGGTCAACCAAATCACGATCCAAACACGCAACATGTATTGTGCGGTGCTGATGCCGATTTAATTATGCTTGGATTGGCAACGCATGAGCCAAATTTCACAATTATTCGTGAAGAATTTTTACCAAACAAGCCACGTCCATGTGAAATTTGCGGTTCGGTGGGCCATGAAATGGGTAGCTGTGAGGGTATAATGCCAGCAACTGCAGCCGAAACAAATATACAAATATCGGCCGAAGTGAAATTTATTTTCGTTCGTTTGTCAGTGCTTAAGGAATATTTGAAGAGAACATTGCAAATGCCAAATTTACCATTCCCATATGATTTTGAGCGTGTACTTGACGATTGGGTGTTTTTATGTTTCTTTGTTGGCAATGATTTTCTACCGCATTTACCAAGCTTGGAAATTCGAGAGGGGGCCATCGATCGTCTAATTGGTTTATATAAAAATTGTGTATATAAAACAAATGGATATTTGACACATTCGGGTGAAGTAAATTTGGAGCGTGTCCAAATGATTTTACGTGATTTGGGAATGGTTGAAGATGAAATTTTTACACAACGACAAAAGAAAGAGATTCAATTTCGTGAACGTAACAAACAACAAAATAAGCGAAGAAAATTAGACACACCAAACTTTCAGCATATGCACAATTCACAATTTGCACCGACGCAATTGGGCAAAGGCTTTCAACCGCAAACCATCAGAAATGTACGAAACGAAATTGCAAATTTTCGACGAGTGGATTTTCAGAATGAACAAAAATCCGATTTGGAAAAGTTTTTAGAGCCAAACAGTGGCAACGTCGCATCAACAACGATAAAACCATCCGGCAGTAGAAAGCGGAAACATGATGACGGTGGCGAAGAGAAAGAGGGAGACAATGAAGCCGAAGGCGAAGCTGAAGCCGAGGAAGAAGAAGACCCGGATGCAAATGATGAAGTTCGACTATGGGAACCGGGCTTTAAAGATCGATACTATGAATCGAAATTCGATGTTGGTGCAGAGAATTTACAATTTCGTTATTCGGTTGCCTTGCAATACGTTCGTGGACTTTGTTGGGTCCTCAAATACTATTATCAAGGTTGTGCATCATGGAACTGGTATTTTCCATATCATTATGCTCCATTCGCTTCTGATTTCATACACATTGCCGGTTTATCGACACAATTTGAAAAGAATACAACACCATTTAATCCACTGGAACAATTGATGGGTGTTTTTCCAGCTGCAAGTAGTGTACATGTACCAAAACCATGGGCTAAACTAATGTCCGATCCAGAATCCGAAATCATTGATTTTTATCCCGAAGACTTTAAAATTGATTTAAATGGAAAGAAATTCGCATGGCAAGGAGTTGCTTTACTGCCTTTTGTCGATGAAAAAAGATTAATCAAAGCACTTGAACCATATTACAAAAAATTAACACCAGAAGAAGGTAAGTTTTTTTAGATCAAATGGTCAACCATCGAATTTTATCGAATAAAATTTCATTTTCAAATTTTTACTTTCAGTGAAGCGCAATAAAAGAGGTGAAGATAAATTGTATGTTGGACCGGATAACAAAGGATTTTCAACGCTATTAGCATTGTATAAAAAGAACACGGATCCAACAACAGAGACACCTATTTGTATTGACGGAGTTCAAGGCACAGTTTTAGTATCTGACGAAAATATACCGGCAGGAAAGTACGTATTCATTTCGTGGTCCATCAGTTTCTACCTTCATACATGAGCGTTTATTAATCCAAAAAAAATATTCCGTTTTAGATCACTTGAATCACCAATTTACGGTCTTGACGACATTTACAACAATAAAATTGTAACAATACTATTTCGTGATCCGAAATATCCAGACGGATTCATTTTTGAATCAAAGCCATTACCGGGCGCAATTGAACCGCCAAATGTACTGGCACCAGAAAATCGACCATCAAATTATCGGCCACAAATTGGTTTCAATCGAAACTATGGACAAGCATCACTTGGCGATGCTGGCCATCGAATGGTCAATCATCATTCAGGTGCGTATAAGCATCACCAGCAACAACAGCAGCAACAATACAACAGTGACAATAGAAACTTTGCCACAATTGGACCACCAAACAGTTACAATCGACAGAGTGAGTACTTTTTTCCACTTTTAATTAAATGCACTTGTTAATTCAATCTGGTCTAGGTTCAAGATAGACTAATTTTTTTATTGAAATATGCAGAAAAAGATAGCGATTGTATTAATTAATTTTCCGAGAATGCGCATTTTTTTTTCCTTGCTTTATTCAATTGTGTTTGGTAATTATATGATCACTATCAAAAATCAGTCGATATTCAATGAACGATTTACACCACAAATATGCCGATTTTCATGGTTAATCGAAGAAAAAATTGTATGGACTAAGGGAAACAAATGCATGACGGCATCGTTTTGCTTGTGTACTGTCCATTGCCATGTTATGATTTAATTTGATATGCTATTGTGCCCTAATTATACGCGTCACACACACTCCAAACAACGATGCACAAAATGATTTACAGCTTATTGTTCGAAATGAAAAGTGTCGCGTGCCTCCAAATCCCAAAGTGAGAAAGAGAGAGCGAGAAAGAAAGGAAGAGCGTAAGTGAGATAGAGAAATGGCTGTATTTGTTTGCGTGAAATATATTCTCTACTTCACATTTCATATTTTGGTGTATGACATTTTCGCACCCTTATTAAATTATGATAAGTTTATTGTTTTCCCATTTTGCTTCGAGGCATTATAAATTTGAAATATCCGTACATAAGACCATGTTTTCGGTTTCCAATGAATGTGGGTGCGCGCGTATGTTAGTTGTCATCATATAATGCCGAGATTTATTTGTCGGTCACAGAAAGAAATCCATAATTGATTTTTCTTTGATTAATTTTTTTTTTTTTCAAACTTAGAGACTCTATTTCTACCCCACCTTCTCTCGAACCACTTCAATCTCAGCAAATAGAGAGAACGACATAGACACGATTTGATAACAATGATTTCTGAATGATTTATGATTAATATAAAAGAAAATGACGTTTTTTTTTGTTACATACAATGCAATCGTGTTATTTAAATTTCATTGGTATTCGTTCCGATGCAGATTTAAGATTTTATTTCAAGGAAAAATGTTCGGAATACCATTGCAAGGACAAACGATTCAATGATAATGGAGACTATCATTTTCTATGAAAAGAAATAATAATAATAATAATATGGCAAACCATTTCAACAATACAACTCATCTAAATTCAAGTAGAAGCCAATGATAGCACGAGAGATAATTGTTTACTATACCGTCGGAATGTTGATGATTTGCTTGAAACTAATTCAATGCCATATTGCAAATTCATGCTAAAGTATATTTTGTAAGCTTCGTACTTTGTTTGGAACAAACATTTTCTCAACTCAAATTTTTATGCACATTCTTAATTGTTCACTCACTCGTTCTCTGTCATGCACACAAACACACTCGCATTGGTTTTATCTTGGAAATAACTAATAGTAGTTCACCGCAAGTTCAAGTGAATTACCAAAGGCGATTAATATTTACCATAGTAATAATAACCGTTACCAAGTACAGGTAGTCTCGGCTTATTTAACTGTGAGTTAGTTTTGTGTACGTGCATACATGTTCAAATGAAATGGATGCAGTTAAAAAGTGTTTGCAATACATTTAATAGGAATCGGAAAATTAGTACTTTTCATTTGAAATCATGCTCGAATCCAATTCGAGATCACTATGTTGCAAGGCACAGGCGAATTGTGGAAAGATGAATCGCATTCGTGTTGGATGTTTTTTTTCTCTTTCTCTCTCGTCATCGTCATCATCTTCTATCGTTCACATGAACATATAGTCTTCTTATGCTGGAGTACAAGACCGAGGATATTCATAATTGCTATTACAAAACGAAAATTTCGTACGTGCTCTAGTATTTGAAATCAAAGTTGAGGAATTATGACGATTTATGGCATTAAAATTTGCACGGATGTGATGATGATGATGATGGGCGACGGTGGTACGATGATGATGACAACGGCGTCGGGCGGCAATGTGTGTACGACGCTTGAATGAAATACATGATTTTTCGATAAGAGACACATACAAAATGTATAGTTGGGCACGGTATATTATAGACAGCACAAGCAGCCAACATATTTTTTCATTAATTCAACATACCGATTTTTCGTGTCTGCGATCGCACATCGTAAGAAGCATAATTACCAGTGAATTTACAATGCTTTTATTCGCGTTTTCATTCCATCCTACTTACAACTCCTACTCTGTCTCTCTTGTTCGTACATTTCACTCTGTCTCTGTTCTCTCAAGTAATCAAGCAAGCAATTTTTCTAAATGATAACATGAATTTCAACTTGAATGGTGAATGAATTCCGAACAAATTATAAACCGTTAATGATAAAGAAAGTGGCAATTTAAAAAAACGATGCAAAATACAACTCTGTTGAGTGGTACGAGCTCAATCTGAAGGACATTCGCTTCTCTGTCGAAAAGTCACGAGTTTTTTTTTTATTTTAATAATTTTTTACATTTTCTGCATTTTCTTTTTATTCTTCTGTTGGCCAACATACATTAAATTGTGGATATTTCGCAATGATTTTTGCACCAAATCAAATCGATTATTTTATATATTTGTGTTTTTTTATGTCGTTTTTATTAGATGACGGCGGAGGATACAATACACAAAAATGGAGTCACGGTAACAGCGGTAATTATCAGCAGAATCGCCAAACGGGCTATTCGAATAATTACAATAATTATTCAGGCCATGGTAATCAGCCGTATCATCGTCAAAATCAACAAGGGCATTTCCAACAACAAAATCGAAACAATCGATTTCCATCGCATCAACAAAGGTCAAACAATAATTTTGGTCCAAATGGTGGCGCAGGAAATAGTGGTTTTAATCGGAACCAGCAAGGCAATCGTAACCAGCAAGGTGGTGGTGGCAGTGGCAGTGGCAGTGGTGGATATTGGCGATAATTTTTTTTTATAATTTTACTTATTTTACAAAAAATCGATTGAGGAATTGATTTTTATTCAAATTGATGTGAATATATATCAAAATAAATAAACGAAATTATCATCACAGGATATGAATTGAGGAATTTTATCGTATTTTATTTTGTTTTATTGCTGAATTAAAAAACAAATACATAATAATGAGGAAAAAAATGTCGAAATATTTTAAGTTTTTCTTTCTTTCTTTATTGACATTTTGTTTTCAGTTGATTTGATTCGTCCAATCCATCCCCCTTGCTCGAATATGAGTGAAAAAAAAACGGTTGAAAACTTTCATTTTGTTGATAAAATTGCGTTATATATTTTTAGATTAGTTTGGCCCGATATACGGTATGAGGGAAATAGAAATCGACAATAAAAAAAAATGCGAATATGCATGACATTTTAAGTCAAAAAAACAAAGGCCGCACATTTAAAGGCACTTCAAGAGCTATCGAACTGAACTTTTTTTTTTCATATTTGAACCTTTGTGTTCCCCTTCGTGTGCATGACGTGTATATATACATATATTTACCGGGCGCGTTTTTCTATTGTGACTTCTGATTTGTTTCGGCATCCCTTCGGCTTCTTTTGCATCTTATAAGTCTTGTTCGCGCTCGATCCCTTTTTCTGGTTTGAGCGTGCTCTGTCTATCACACCAACTCTTTGCAAATAAGAAATGCCGTTCGTTTTTAACCGATTTATTTTACAATTTTTTCTCTTTTTTTTCGATGTCGTGTGTACTTTTTCACTCGTATTTCGTTATTTTCGTGGCGAAAGCCCGTATCCTGGGCGAAATGTTGTAATGGCAGTATATGGTAACGTATAACGTATTGGCGTTTTCAACGTCACATATTGAGCGGATATACAAACACATACGCATAATGAAAATGCATTTCGAACAATTGTTTTCCATCAGGTACTTGTAATATGTTCGATATTTATTGTTCTTTGGTTAAGTGTCCACTTTAAATTTATGACTCGCATACGGCAATAATCTGTCTTTATTTTCAGTTTTTTTCTCTTTCTCTGCGGCGTTCCGGTTCGTTTTTTTTATTCATGTTTTTCTTTGTCGCTTTTATTTGGTTATAAGTTCCGCACAGTTTCAATGCAAGCAAGGGTGTAGAGAAATACAGTATATTCAACATAAGAAATTAGAGCAAAATAATCACAATAAAAACGAATTCCAACAAAATAATAATCAGAATAATGTGAACAACAAAAAGAAGTACATGCACACAAACACAGCGAAAGTGAAGCGCACACCGAAAAGAGCCAACATAAAAATGTCCATCGAATTTGCCAGCGAGGTACAGTAAGCAATTGAAATTCATTTTTTTTTTGTTTTGTTTTCTTCATCAAAATCAATTCCATTTGCAAATGTGACATATTTTTGCTTGTTTTCTCTAGTGCCGTCTCTAAATTATTAAATTTTATCGTCCACACATTTCATTGTTTTCGTGTGCTTTTCTCATTCGATCATTTTTATCAAGGGTTTCCATTTGTGTTTGGCCACTTTTGTTATAACGAGAACGGCCACTCTAATTTTCCAATTTTCTTTTCGGCGCATTTCATGCAAATCAATTGACATCTCGTGTTGTTGTTTGATTATTTCAATGATTACCAATATATTTGTGCGATTTGCATCCCAGAGATTTATCATCAATTCCATTGGATCTGCCGCAACAAACCAGTGTAGTGCAGATTGCTTTTTCATTTTCTTTACCTAAACGCGCCTAATCTCCAGCGGTGAAAATCACGCGTTTGATATGATTTTGTGCATACTCTTCTCTTCTGCACACAATAAGTACGAAAGTCAATCGTACAACGGTGAAACGCTATCTCGAATACTGTTAAAGTAAATCGGGGCGATTATGTCGAGAGAGAGATAGAGAGAGATAAATAAAGAGACAATCATTACATTTAATATGATATCAAAGCATTACAGGATTACATGCAATCGTATCTTCCATTCTCGTGCGCTTTAACTTTCATTCTATCTGTCTCTTTCGTTTGGTTGTGTGCACGCATTTTGTTTCATAGGTCGTTGAGAACATTTTAAATTCGATAAATAATGCCAAATAAGCGTGAAAACATTTCCAAATGAAATTGGATTCAAAATACAGATTTATGTCATGCAACACATATTTCAAACAGGAGCACCGAAACAAATAAACACAAAAAATCCAAAGCAACTAATTGTTGCTATGGAATCAATCGTAATATAAATTTTATGAACGAACTCGAGTAAATTGCTTCAGTTAGTGTGTATTTTCCAAAAAAAAATATACGTTCCTTCTTGATATGATGTTATGATGATATATATCTTTTTGCACCTCGTGCGCAAACGCTTTCAATCTATCTATCAACTGATTTGATATCATTTTTTGTAATTCTCCACCCCTCGCTACCCTTGTGTATTTAGTTTGAATGACGACGAAAAAAAGAATTGTTGATAACTGACACGGATAACTCATAGTATTTGTTTGAGAGGAATTGGTATTACGATAGAAAAATATGTCGGCCAATATGAATTTTGATTTCTCAAAGTGGATAAATGATACCGATTCAGGTGGAACAAACATCACTTTTACGCAGAATTTCTGCATCATTATTTTCCGGAGGAAAAAAAAATCAATGATATAAGAATAGTAAATAAAACCTTGTGAAATAGAATCACATTTGTTAATGCCGGTGATTCGTTTCAGTTTCAGATGGAATGCGTTAAATATGAAACGCCCGTTTCCATTGTCATTCTATTTATTTAAATCGTAAAATGCACGATATGCCAAATAAATTGATATGCAACTTTTTCTCGTCTCGATTTTTGGCTGTGGTGCAATGACAAATGGACCGACGATATTGTGTGTGGTCAACAAATTTCGTGTTTATTTGGCCACCCTCATGTGAACAAAAGATAGAAAAGAGAGAGAGAGTCGAAACAGAGAGAGAGAAAAAGGAAAGATCTGTAGAGAACATTTACGCATCCACATACTGTACACACATATTAACTCCGAATATTTTATGGATTATTTTTTTTTCGTCTTCTGTTATTGTAACAAATTTGGTTTGACGGGAACTTTTCTTTTTTCATTTCTCTGGCATTTTTGCTTTTTCCGCTACGGACTGTCCACCATCACCACCACCAACAACAACAACAGTAACAGCATTCAAATGCAACATAAATATTTGCCGAAATAGTTGAAAATATCCAAACAAAGGCGTTTGAGTGCATGGAAGCTGTGTGTTGCTTTCCGCGCATTAATTTTATGTGCCAAAAATTTGGTGACTGTCGTCTGCAGACCAATATGATACAGATAAATATCGGCGATGAGCGAGTGAAAAACCATCGGTGTGCATGTGTGTTTACGCAAATAAAAATAAGGGAGTGATGAGCTCATGTGAATAATTGTTGTTTGTACCCGATTATATTCATTTTATATATATATTTATGCACAAACATTACGTATAACGCACACATATCAAGAATCGTTTTTTATGTGCCATCATTATTCGATTGGGTTATTTTATTCGTATTGTAACAAAATGCATTTTTCACAATGGAGGTGTTTTATGCGAGTGAAACGTGTCAACAGACAAACGCTTTTCAAACGTTTTTATTCGATTATTCGGCGGTCGAACTGAATACAAAGATTTTGCGTGTACAAAAAAAAAACTATTCCACCTTTGACACCAGCTATAGATGAAATTTACATTTAGACTGAAAAATCGATCATTTTTGAATGTCCGAACGTGCTTTTAGCTTCAACATCAATTCTTTCGATTCTATTAACTATCAAAATCATGGACCTGCTTTATATATGACATTGGCATTCGTCCAGAATCTCATTTGTTTTGTCAATTTAAAATTCTTTTGCCCGAAAATCGAATGTAAACAACACACACAAAGGACTCGAATAGCATAGAAAATAAAAGCAGGAGAAGATAGTTCAAAAGGGATAAACATTTGGGAAATTTACCATTTCTGCAATTGACATTTTTAACTGACCACAATATAAAATACTCACACGAGATATACAACCAATCGACAACTTTGTGATTGTGGGCTATTTAAAATGATGGTGAATGAGTGAGTGCGTGTGCATTGAAACGAAAAATTGAAATTGATTCAGTCAGTCCATCATTCATTTACATCTTAATAATATTCGACCGCAATATAATCTGTTTGGCATAAATTTATTCTGAAATCGCCACACAGACTTTTGGCCAAATGAATGATAAAAATTGATTTAATCATTCATTATTTGCATCTGAATATTGATTCTCTTCACTAATTTTCACATAAGAAATGTAACAGAGGGATAAAGGAGCGAATAATTTTTTTTTTTAAATTGGTAACCCAAATTTCAGTTCCAGTTGACCGCGTGCGACACACGGTCGTATGTGAACCCAAGAAATGCGAGAGACACATCGAATTGCGAAAAAAGTCAAAGTCAACTGCATTCGATGACTTCTAATCGATGCGGTGACAAAAGCATCAAGAATAAGTAATTCATCGCTCAGGGCATCGCATTAGAGCCAGTCGAATAAATCGTGTGAGAGTATCGGCCAAAAAGTCAGCATATCTTGCTGATGCGAAGCAAAATAAGAAGAAGAAAAAAAAGAACGACAATTTCAACAACAAAAAAAGGACGATCAATATTATATTTCGTATTCAATTGCGAATATCGTACGTGTCGTACATCACTTCAATGTGCATTTCATGCGCTAACTGATAGCAACAAAGACAACATGCTAAGAAATACGCCACGGGATCTCTTGTTGTTCAACTCTCGTTATATTCGCGCTACTCAGCAAATTTCATTCGATGTATGTACATAGGCGCGCGAACACACAATCGCCGTGCTGATGCATGAGCATATTATGATTTAGGATCTTGTACACGCAGACATTGACACGTTCTTTCGTTCGTTCGGCAAGAAGCCTATGTACATGCTGAAGTATTTGCGTCAATCACTCATTTCAAAATAATCAATGGAATGGCTATGCACTCGGTGTGTGTGTGTGCCTCTCTATATCGCTCTCTTCCTCTCTCTCTCTCTCTCACTCTCTCGCTCAGCTAGATCTCGACACGTTATTCTTCGCT